CCTCCCCCCGCTCTAAGCGGCTGTCGAGTAACAGGCCCCGAGTCCATACAACGTCCACTAGATTGCTATTCTGCGCTGCGCTGTGATGTGCTGTGATGCGCCGTCGTTAGTGCCGTCTCTGGGCGGCTCCAGGGGTCAGCAGCACGGGCGATGGGCCTCCAGTGGCCCACCCCGCCATCTGTGGACGATCCACCAGCCCACCGTCTCACTGTATCACTGTATCAGCAGGGCTCTGTACCTGTACCCGTACCTGTACGATGTATTATCCTAGACTATCAGTACGCTATAACTGGGGAGGAGCTGCTCGTATTTACTGGAGAGACCTACGAATTGGAGCAAGCTTCAGTGGTTTGAGATCATCATCATCCCTCCACCAAAGGGGGGAAGCATAGGTCGAATCTCTCCCCTCCTCTTCATGTCTTTTATTCTTCCATGAGGAGGGGCCCTTCTGTTTCAACTGTTTCCTCTATTTTTACTGCTAGTCGTCGTCACCTACTCATTTGTTTGCCGTTGTCGCTGCCTAACCGCCCACCTTGCGTCATAAGCTGATAGAGCTCCGTCTCTCTCTCTCTCTCTCCATCTCTCTGGCCCTGCTCCTTCCATCTCCGCCACACTAGCACACGCACCCCGCTCCGACCGCCGCCGCCGCCGCCTTTTCCTCGACACATCTCGACAAGACGACGACCGACGGGGATCAGAACAGACCGGAAGAGAACGGGGTGAGGAACACTCCCAGAAAGAAGAGATCTATGCTCACATTCCCGGAATATTCAACACCATTCCCGTCGAAACAGCACCCCTCCCCCCCACCTGCCGTTGTCGTCCTACCCACCTAGGAAACCAGGTCGCATACAACGCGGCCTCCCGACCAAAGCAAACAGACTACCCACACAACCTACACGCCACCCCGGGTACCTTGGGCGCGCGCGTGCGCACGTCAAGGGCCTGCCTTGCAGCTGTATATCTTCGAGTGCTCTGATCGACACTCGAAAAGCGAAGAGATCCTCGAGCAAGTTGTTGCTGTCACGTATCGATCCCCGAATCGAACCACCCTACGAGAAACGACAGACGACGAGGAAACGACGACCATGGCGCAGTCGCCCATGATATCGGTGCCGCTCAAGGCTACAAACGAGATTGACTGGGTAACACCCCTAAAGACATACATCCGAGATAGCTACGGCGACGACCCGGAGCGATACGCAGAGGAGTGCGCCACCCTCAACCGCATGAGGCAGGATGTCCGCGGTGCCGGCAAGGAGAGCACCTCGGGAAGGGACATGCTCTACCGCTACTACGGTCAGCTCGAGCTGCTCGACTTGCGCTTTCCCGTCGATGAGCAGCATATAAAAATCTCATTCACATGGTACTCACAGCCGTCATCTTCCTCCTCCTCCTCCTCTTCCTCCTCCGCATCTTCTCTCGTCACCCATCTTCTCCCTCTCCTCCCTCACCGACCTTGGTTGGCTGACCGTGCTCGACTTGGACGAAACAGGTTCGATGCATTTACCCACAAACCCACGTCACAGTACTCGCTGGCCTTTGAAAAGGCTTCCGTCATCTTCAACATCTCGGCCGTCCTGTCGGGTCATGCCGCATTCCAGAACCGCTCCGACGAATCGGCCCTCAAGACGGCCTACCACTCATTCCAGGCATCGGCCGGCATGTTCACATACATCAACGAGAACTTCCTGCACGCGCCCTCTTCCGATCTCAGCAGGGATACCGTCAAGAGCCTCATCAATGTCATGCTCGCCCAGGCCCAGGAGATCTTTCTTGAGAAGCAGGTTGCCGACAGGAAAAAGGCGGGCCTGCTGGCTAAGATCGCTGCCCAGGCCGGCTTCCTTTACGGCCAGGCGGTCGAGGGTATCCAGGAGAATGTGGCAAGGGCCGTCTTTGACAAGAGCTGGCTCACCTTTGCCCAGGTCAAGTCCAACCTCGTCAGCTCGATAGCCCAGCACTACCAGGCCACGGCCGACGAGGAGGGCGGCAAGTACGGCGTGGCAATCGCCAGGCTGCAGTCGGCCGACAGGATGGTCAAGGAGGCCGACAGGCTCGCCAGGAGCTTCCCCACGTCGCTGCCGGCCAGCGCCAACCTGGGGGCCGACACGGGCGCCCTGCTGCAGACCTTTACCAAGCGCCACATGTCGGCCGTGGCCGAGAAGCTTCAGGAACTGCTCAAGGACAACGACTACATCTACCACCACACCATACCCGCCGAGGCCAGCCTCGATGCCCTGGCTAAGCTCCCCGCCGCCAAGCCCATACCCGTCAACGATCTGTACGCGGGGCAGGACATCCAGCGCATCACGGGTCCGGACCTGTTCGCCAAGATCGTGCCCATGGCCGTCACCGAGTCGGCCAGCCTGTACGACGAGGAAAAGGCCAAGCTGGTGCGGGCCGAGACGGAGAAGGTGGACACGGCCAACGGCGAGATGGCTGCCAGCCTAGACTACCTCCGGCTCCCGGGGGCGCTGCAGGTGCTCAAGGGAGGCTTCGACCAGGACATCCTCCCGGACGAGGACTTCCGGCAGTGGTGCGACGACGTGGCCGGGCACGAGGACCCGGCAGCCATCTTTGAGGGGCTGCGGGCCGACAGGGAGGCCGTCATCGGCTCGCTGGACCGCTGCTCCAAGCAGCTCGACATGGAGGAGAGCGTGTGCGAGAAGATGCGGTCCAAGTACGAGGGCGAGTGGACGCAGCAGCCCAGCTCGGGGCTGACGACGACGCTGCGGGGCGACCTGCGCAGCTACCGGCAGGCGCTGGATGAGGCCATGCGCAGCGACGGCCAGCTCCTGACCAAGCTGAGGCAGAACGAGGTCGAGTTCAACGAGATGCGCACGGCCGCACAGGACGGCGATGTCGACCAGCTATTCCAGCGGGCTGTGTCCAGGGTCCGGAGCGGCGCCGGCAGCAGCCCGGCGTCAGCCACGGCCAACAGCGCACCCGCCGAGGGGAACCTCCTCGACGACGACTTTGACGAGGGCGGGACCACGGTGGTGGCCCAGATTGCCAGGGTGGAGGATGTGCTCAAGAAGCTGAACATGGTCAAGAGGGAGCGAAATCAGGTTCTCAAGGACCTCAAGGACAAGGTAAGCTTACATGCAGGAGATGTCGAAGTTTCAGAGGAAAGAGATGGGAAGACGAGGAAGAGGAAGAGGAAGAGAGCGAGAGCGAGAGCGAGAGCGAGAGAGGACGAGAAAAAGGGAGAAAGAGAAAGACTGAGACTGACACACACCCTCCCTCTCAGGTACACAACGACGATATTTCTCAGATTCTGATTCTCAACAAAAAGTCGATAAGCAACTACGAGACCCAACTGTTTGAACAGGAGCTAGAAAAGTTCCGGGGTCACCAGACGCGACTCCTACAGGCCAACCACAAGCAGTCGGCACTGATGAAGGAGCTCACGGCAACATTCAACGCGCTGCTCCAGGACAAGCGGGTGCGGTCGGAGCAGAGCAAGTACGAGGCGATACAGCGGCAGCGGTCGGGAGCCATCGGGCGGTACAAGAGGGCGTACCAGGAGTTCCTGGACCTTACGGCGGGCCTCCACGGGGCCAAGAACTGGTACGGCGAGATGCGAGAGACGGTGGGCAGCCTGGAGAAGAATGTGGAGTCGTTCGTGGGTAACCGGCGGTCGGAAGGCGCGCAGCTCCTCAACCAGATCGAGGAGTCGCGGTCGTCGAACAAGTCGTCGCAGGCGGAGCTGGAGCGCGAGAGGCTGAGGGGACTGATGGAGCGCATGTCGATGGACAGTGCGGGAGGGACACCGGCGCCGCTATCGGCCTCGGCGACACCGCAACCGCAGGTGCCAGCCAAACCGTCCAGACACACGCCGGCACCGCTCTTCCAGACGGGCCAAGCGCCGCGGTACGGCCAAACCACGTACCAGGGTCCGAACTCGCCACCCCTGACCCAGCCGTACGGTGGCTACGCACAGCAGCAGCCGCAGCCGACGTACGACCCCAGCCAGTACGGCCTCACACCAGGGCCTACATCCCCGCCAGCGAACCAGTCCACCTTTGGCAACGTGACGGGCGGCGGCATGCACTCGATGCGAGCGGGACCGACATCCCCGCCACCTCATAGGGCGTCGTTCGGTCACCAGATATCGAACACATATGGAGCTCCCGCATCACAGCAGCAGCAGCAGCAGCAGCAGCAGCAGCAGCAGCCGCAGCACATCCCTACCGGGTACGTTCCGCCTCCGCCACCTCCGGGGCCTCCACCCCTCGGACCGCAGCAGACGATGCACTATGGGCAACAGCAGCAGCAGCAGGCTCAGCAAGGGTACGGGCAGCAGGGACAGCAAGGACATGATCCGTGGGCGGGATTGAATGCCTGGAAGTAGTCAGGGCCAAATACCAATCAGCAACACACATCTCAATTTGAAGCATTCTAGAGTTACTAGTACCAGGAGAGCGTCAGTGACCCCGGTGACGAGAATGTAAGAATGTACCTGTACAAAAGAGACGACAAGTCGGAACCGACATTTACGGGGAAATGGGAGATGGGGAAAAAAAGTTGACCAACGTGTGCGGATCGATTTGTCGAATGAGGGAGCCACAGCGGGTCTCGAGAATGCAGTATTAATAACATTACATGTAATTCTTCCCCGCATGCAGTTGACCCGAAGCCGAGGTCAGTCAACGTTGTAACAAGACACGATGCACTGTTGCTGCTGCTGCTGCTGCTGTTCCATCTTACTTATCATTATGAAATAGTCATCTTTGAAAGTATTGGTGTGCTCGTCGATGGGATATGATTATATGTTGTAGTAATGCCATCTACCGGAGTAGCGATTCGAGGCTCATGGATTGCCAGAACAGCGACGACGACGTCAATGCGGAGGAAACTTGGGGGGGAGGGGGGGGGGGGGAAAGGGGGGAATGGCTCTCCCTTGTTTTCTGTACTCCACAAGTAACTCCGTACATGATAATATACAATGACGAAGAGAAGATGGAGATGTTACTCGTACTTGACACTTCAGCCTATAGCCTCCGATCAGAGGAGTATCGAGTACGTCTTGCTGGCTTTGTCTCTAAGAAAGACACGGATAAGAGCCGATTGAAACGGGTCGGCCCCGGTTTTGGCATCATCACTTCTCTCTCTTCTCTCTTTTCTTCTCCGCCATCTTTTTTTTTTTTTTCTTTTTTTTTTTCTTTTGTCCTCTCTCTCTCTCTTCCTCTTCATACCCTTTTACTCTCTTACCATCCCATTGTGCTTCTCTTCTCCTTCATCTCCCTTGTTGAACTCTTCCATCTACACGCACACACACACACTCGCGCACACACTCACACGCACACAATGCTTCTCAAGGCGGCTGATGTAGCACAGCACAATGACGACAAGTCATGCTGGGTTATCGTCCACGTGCGTCCACTCCTCGAGGCCCTCTCCTGAGAGACAGGAGTGTAACTGACACCCGTACAGGGAAAAGCTTACGACGTGACCGAGTTTCTGCCAGAGCACCCGGGTGGTTCGAAAATCATTCTCAAATATGCAGTATGCCAGGCCCTCTCTCGACAAGACGATCACCTTCACCGCTCGAAAGGAAGGGCAGAAAGGACAGGGAGAAGCTGACAGAGACAGGGCAAGGATGCTACCGAGGAGTTCGAACCGATCCACCCCCCCGACACGCTGGACAAGTACCTAGACCAGTCCAAGCACCTGGGCCCCGTCGACATGGAAACGGTCGAGCAGGAGGAGAAGGAGGAAGACCCGGAGGAGGTGGAGAGGCAGGAGAGGCTGAAGCAGAAGCCGCTCCTGTCGCAGTGCTACAACCTTCACGACTTCGAGGCCGTGGCCAGGCGGGTCATGAAGAGGGGTGCCTGGGGGTACTACTCCAGTGCGGCGGACGATGAGATCGTGAGTCCTACCGGTCCCAGAATCACAGGAAGGGAAAGGAAGAGAAGAGCGAGGGCGACAAAGGAAGGAAAGAGAGGAGGCAAGACAAGAGAAGAGGAGGAAAGGAAAGGAAAGAAGGCGGAAGAAGAAAGCTGACATGCAGCCAGACCATGCGAGAAAACCACAACGCCTTCCACAGAATCTGGTTCCGACCTCGGGTCCTTGTCAACGTAGAGAAGGTGGACTTCTCGACGACGATGCTGGGGACGCGGTGCTCGATACCGTTCTACGTGACGGCGACGGCGCTGGGAAAGCTGGGCCACCCGGAGGGCGAGGTGGTGCTGACGAGGGCGGCGCACAAGCACGACGTGATCCAGATGATACCGACGCTGGCGTCGTGCTCATTTGACGAGATCGTCGACGCGCGCTCGGGCGACCAGGTGCAGTGGCTGCAGCTGTACGTCAACAAGGACCGGTCAATCACGCGGCGGATCGTGGAGCACGCGGAGCGGCGCGGGTGCAGGGGCCTGTTCATCACCGTGGACGCTCCGCAGCTGGGCCGCCGCGAGAAGGACATGCGGTCCAAGTTCACCGACCCCGGGAGCAACGTGCAGGAGGGTACGGCCACAGACACGAGCCAGGGCGCCGCCCGCGCCATCTCCACCTTCATCGACCCGGCTCTCAGCTGGTCCGACATACCGTGGTTCAAGGCCATCACTCGCATGCCCATCGTCCTCAAGGGCGTCCAGCGCGCCGAGGACGTGCTGCGCGCCGTCGAGGCCGGCGTCGACGGCGTCGTCCTGTCCAACCACGGGGGGCGCCAGCTCGACTTCGCCCGGTCAGGTGTCGAGGTTCTCGCCGAGACCATGGCCGCCCTGCGCGAGCGCGGCCTCGAAGATAGGATAGAGGTCTTCGTCGACGGAGGTGTGCGCCGCGCGACGGACATACTCAAGTGCCTCTGCCTCGGGGCCAAGGGCGTCGGCATCGGCCGCCCCTTCCTCTACGCCATGAGCGCCTACGGCCAGGAGGGCGTCGAGAGGGCCTTCCAGCTGCTCAAGGACGAGATGGAGATGAACATGCGCCTCATCGGTTGCACCAGCGTCGAGGACCTCACCCCCGACCTGCTCGACATCCGCGCCCTGCCGAACCACTCTAACCCTACTCCCGCCGACAGCCTATCGCTCGCCACGTATGACCCGCTTGCTGTCCCTGCCCAGAGGCCACAGTCCAAATTATAGGGTGGTTTTTCTTTTAAATAATGTTCTTCTTCGGATTCTTTTTTCGTTTACTTTTTCCGTATGCGGAGTCCGTCAGGGCAATATACTAGAAATAGACACTATAATAGTGCCTATTTAATACATACGTCTTCAGTTTTCCCTGTGTATGATAGTATACGGCGTTGCATTAATCTGCTTATGTGTCATTCGATTGATATGTATATACCCGCCATGCAAATGCTATTCCTCCTTCTGATCGTTCCAAGAAAGCGGACTTCTACAACCCCCTTAGGAAATCCTGCAGCGGCAGGGGCTTCCTGACAGCATTATTCATACCTTCGTGGTACGTAACCCACACTTTTCTCTCCTCAATCTTGGCCCTCTCCTGCGCCTTGGTATCCAGCTCAGCCAGGTCGCGCGCCTCGATGACGCGCCCGAAGAAGTCCTTCTTGACTATCTTGGCAGCGGTGTGCGTCGTTGTCGCCCTCTTCTGCGCCGCCCTGGTGGCAGCATACAACGCTAATGCGCTAGGCGCTTGCGTCTGCTGCTCGTCATCGTCGCCGTTGTCATCCCTGCCTGCGCGGAATCGCGCCTGGCGAGCGTGGGCTTCACGTCGCGCGAGGGCACGCTGTAGTTCCTGGTCGAGGACTTGTCTGACGGCGTAGCGAATAGGTGCGTGCGATGAGACCAATGTCGCTGCTGTCTCGAATGTTCCTAGGGCATCTAGGTCACTAGAGGATGAAAAAGAAAAGAAGAGGTCAGTTTAAGTCGTATAATAAGAAAGGGGAGGGGGGGGGGGGATAAGGGAGAACATACGGTTCCATGCGGTAGACGTATTGCGCGCTACGTGCATTGACGTCGGCCTCGATCTTGCCCCTGTGCAGAGAAACGCCTACCTCGGCGAGCACCTCGGCCGCCCTGGCCACCATCCTCTTCTCCGACTCTTTCCGCACCGAGGCCGTGGACCCGCCTTCGCTGCCGCCCACGACTACCGGTCGCACGTCTGGCGACACGATGCGCCGCAGGTAAGGGAGGAACTCGGTGGCCACGTCCTCTGCGGACCGGAACGACCGGGTGAGCGTGGGGCTCAGCTGCGCCTGCAGAGTCTGGAGTTGGGCGCGGTTATGCCTCTCTGCCTCGCGGGCCTCGGCGTCCGCCCTGGGTCCGGTGAAGGGCTTGGGTGCTTCGGTCTCGGCCTCGTTCTGGCCTTGCTGGTATTGCTTCTGCTGGTGCTGCGGCTGGTGCCGGTGAGGGGAGGCAAACAGGTGGTGGCACGCGAGCACCGGTTGGCTCAGGTAGGGCGCTAGCTCCCAGTCCTGGCTGGCGTACAGCCGGGACTGGCACGCGTCGTGGAAGTGAAGCCAGTCGTACGCCTGGTTAGGCTTGGTCAGGTAGCTGTCGTCGTTAAACTCGCGCTGCGGGTACTCGGCGAACACCTCGGTGAGGATGTAGCTGATCTCACCGCTGGTATCGGCCATCTCGCGCAGGCGCTCCATGGCGTACTTCTTCTGCTGCTCGCCGAAACCCAGCTCCGCCTTGGGCTGCTCGTGCATCGTCTTCTTTGACACATCCACCGCCACCTGCTGCTGCTGGGGGAATCCTCCGCCGAGCTGGAATAGCCGTCCGACAATGTCCCTGACACTGCCGCGTCCCAGGCCACGCGCTCCCGCCGCGCCGCTCGTCAGGTCGTGCATGACATTCTGCTCTATCCACTGCCGTGTGAGGCGCTCCGTGCTGCTGCTGCCCGCCACCGATGACCGGAACCGCCCGGCCACCCATTCGCCTACTACCATGACGCCACGGAGGTCGCCTTCCACCGTGCTCTCTGCACGCCTCTTGTTCTGCATGCCGCCGGAGACGCCCCACGCTGCTTCGCATAGCTTCCGCGCGGCGTCCTTGTCGCACGGAATCGCCTCCTTGTCAAACACTGCTTTGAGGCGACCGACCACGGCGTCGATGGACGGGCGTCCCACGTGAATCACCTCGGCCAGACCCGAGTGCCGCAGCGGCCGGAGTGAAGGGTGGTACACGTCGTTGCAGATGAGGATGAGCGGCCGCATGAGGCGGAAGTCGTCGCCCTTCTTCTTCTGCTTCTTTCCGTAGCTTGATCCTCCGCCGCCGCCGGCCGGAGGACTGCTGTTTTTCTCGTCCAGCTGGACCAGATCAATAAGGGCTTTGACGAACCCGCCCTCCCCGGAAGCTGACGACCCCGTCACAGCACCATCCACCTCGTCCACCACGACACATACAGGCTTGATCGGCTTGCTGCTTCCCTTGCTCACTGTCTTGACCGTCTCGGTCCCGAGGCTGGTCCTGATTCGATTCTTGACCACGTCACGGCTGCGGTCGTCGCTGGCGTTGACCTCGAGAACCTCGTAGCCGGCCTGCTTTGCACAGACGTGGGCCAGCGTCGTCTTGCCTAGGCCGGGTGGGCCTGTAAGCATCAGGATCTTACGGTGCGGCTTCTCCTCCTCAGTTTGCCGCGACTGGCCAAGGCGCTTCATCATGGCTGACTTAGACTTGGCCGTGCCCGGGAAGACGATCGGATCCCAACGCTTGAGCCAGCGTAGAACCATTCTATTGGTGCCGTCGTCGCCACATAGGTCCATGAAGTTGCGGGCACGGTATTTCTCCGTCCAGAGGAGGCTCTTCTTTGGCTTTTTTCCAGAATTCTCCGCCGACTCTAGCGGTACATTTCTTGATGTAGTCGTGTCTTTCTCGGGTTCTGTTGCTGCCGTGTCTCTCGAGGCCGCCATTTCCTTCGCGGCGCCGTCTATGAGCTGGTGAATGTCGATGCCATAATAACTCTTCTTGGCGCGTCCTTCCTTGGTCTTGGATCTGGACGCAACCATTGCCTCGTACGAGACAGCAGCTGCTGCCTTGCGTTCCTTGATCGTCGATATCTTTCCATCGCTCGTCACAATGCTGTAGCTCGAGGGGGTGAGGGTACCCATCAACGATGCGGAGAATAGCGGCCGTTGCGTCGACCATACGGGAGCTGGTTTTTGGATGTCGTTTCCAGGAGCAGGGCCCTGTATAGCATCGCCATTCGCCTCGAACCCTACAGCCTCTGCGGCGGCTTCATCTAGGCCAGATTCCGTCTGGGGGTTGGCTTGGGTCTCGCCTCTCAGGTCGTGGACCATACGTCGTTTCGGTAACGGCTCTGGTCCAGGAAGTGTTGGTTGATCCGACTCCTCGTTTGCTCCATCTTGGTTATCGTCGTCATCAGAATCGTCCTCGTCGTCTACGAATGGGCCGGAAACCCTAGGCCGTGGCTTGGGTGGTCCATTGCTGTGTGGCCGCTTCCCGGTCTGAGGAAGACCAGGAGACGCTGAGAACGTAAGCATATTTGTTGTTGAAAAGAAATGCCTGTGTAGGATGAAAAAGTAACAAGAGAAGCAAAAAAAAAACCCTAGTAAATAAGCAAGATAGTCGTGATGAGCCCGAATCACAACCCGATCCTGGGAATTGGTGGCGTAGAACGACGTTTTCTACGGCCTGGCAATATACCATGTCGCGACGCGATCCTGTGGCCCTTAAAGTGGCCCAGAGACGCGTTCGAGATGTACCGACCCAGTTATTTCTAAATGAGGAAATCAACCGACAATGGCGACCAAGGACATTTCGGAGCCGGAAAATATTCCCAGCCGAAAGCCCTCCTTCACCAAAAATCTAAACTCGTCACCTCAACGCGCCCCATCCTTGAAGCTCTCTTGCAGATTGCCCGTTCTATCATCCTCCACCAGCCTTGTTCCAACGGGCCAATCCGTCAAGATGCGGAAGCCAGCAAAGTACCTCAGCCTGAGGCGTCCTGTAAGCTTCGACCACAACGATCCTGGCTACCGCCATGGTGCTACGCTATCTACACCGCACCCTTTTCCGAGCAATAGCGCGGCTGTAACTCCCTAGACAGGCTGGAATACTGACCCGACTCCCCTTGATCATAGAAACTGCGTCAATCATGGAACATTCACAACCTGTACAACCTGTCTCGCATGACGGGTGAAGAGACGTTCCTGGACAGCCGCAAGACTTTCTTCCAGCAAAAGTGGTCGGCCAAGTCGAGGACGAGAGGATACCATGGCGAGCACGTCCCCGAGAAGAAGTGGAAGCGCATATTTTCCCGACGCCTCAGCGCCGCCGTCGATATGCCCCCCCGTTATCTCGCCATCCACGACGGTTCGGAGCAAGCTGCCGGACGCGGTTCAGGTCTGACGACTGGCCAGACCTCTGCTGCCGACTACTGGGAGCGTCCTGTCGCTGCGTCGACCGCTCCGCCCGCTCATAGGAGAGTTGCCACTGGAATCAGGGCTGTCAACCAGATGATTGAGGAGCCTCTATCAGCGGTGACGCCCCTGATGCAGATGACATTTGCGCCCCTGGAGCGCAGGCTGGACACGGCCGTCTTCCGCGCTCTGTTCGCCACCAGTGTCCGCCAGGCCCGCCAGTTTGTTGTCCACGGTGCTGTCAAGGTCAATGGCAAGAAAGTGCGTAATTTTTCATGTATATATTCACATGTACACTGCCTGAGCACGGCTAACTCGTTTCCTAGATTACCTTTCCCTCATATGCCCTAAACCCCGGAGACATGTTTCAGGTCGACGCCGACAAGGTCTTGTACGCTACCGGTGCCCCGAAGACACCCGGACTCAAGGCTCGCGTTCTCGGAATCCTCAAGAAGAACGAGGACAAGTACCAGAAGATGGAGGAGAAGTTCCTCTCGTCCAAAAAGGCAGTCAAGTCCGGGGCAGAGTCCGAGGCCGTCGCTTCATCAGAGACCCCTGCCGAAGAGGCCACTGAAGAAGCTAAGGCGCAGAAAGAGAAGAGCCGATCTGAAGGGTCTGAGAAGACCGAGACCCTCTCGGCAGAGGACGCTCTCGATCTGAGGAAGCTCCGACTCGAGTGCGCCCTCTTAGAGGCCAAGCAGGTTATCCGTGACAAGGTTGAAGACCGCGACCCGGAGTGGCGTGCCATGAGGCTGCGCAGCTTCAAGGACCGCGCCGGCTATGTCCTGTCGACGAGTGGCACGCGCAACCTCGAGGTGGACGAGCTCATCAACGAGCTACAGCTCGAGATGAAGACGCTCAACATGCTACGCAGCGATGAACAGAGCTCCAGCGACGAGGAGGACAGCTCAGACAAGAAGGCCAAGAACGAGAGCAGCGCTGACCGCCAAAACAGGCGTCGGGCCCTCGTTGACAGGGCGCTTGAGATGGACGGCGTCAAGAAGGGCTTGAGGAAGGAATTGATGAAGACGATTGGCGACGAGGACCTGTCGACTAAGGAGATGCGCGACCTCGGCCGCATCCTCAAGAGGGACGCCGAGAACCCCGTCGACGAGACCAAGGCTTACAACACGCCCTGGGCCCCCAGGCCGTACATGAAGCCCTTTGTTTTTGTGCCCCGGTACCTCGAGGTCAACCACAAGATCTGCGCGGCGGTCTACCTGCGTCATCCCGTTGCCAGGCGCGGCGCGGGTGAGGTGCCTACGCCTTTCAGCTTCCTGACCAACCAGCTGGCGCACAACTGGTACGTGGAGCGAGGTTGAGGTCGGGCCGGTCCCCTTCGTACGAGTCTGAACCCAGGCAAGGTGGTAGGTGGAGAAGTGCAGTTGTATACTAGATATTATATTGTACCAAATTTTCGCGACTCTCAGGGAGATAAGAAGACATGTACTATTCACTATGAACAAAACTAGACTACCTTTCGGCTCTGCTGTCCCTGTTTCAGATGTATGTATGACATCCTTGCGAGTCTGTTGTCCCTTAGAAATGGTGCGAGCAGAGCAGCATCTTGGGCCATCCGCGGCAGCACATCCGTTGGGAGGAGACCAATTGGACAAATCTCGATGTGATAAGGTTGGGACATGAGCGCTGACGTTATTCTGCAGGTCTGGCAATCCGTTACCGTTGATAGGATACAAAGATGGTGGTGTGACAGAGGACTCTGAAGTTCCCGTCCTCCTTATCTGGGAGTCACATGCAGATGCATACTAGTAGCAGTACGAGTAAGTAGTAATCATCCAGAACTCGGATCTCAGAGGATGAGAAGGCCTCAAGGGAAGCAGAGGGAGGTTGGAAGGGAGCAAATAAGGAAAGAGGAAGGAACAACGTCCCACTACACTTGCTTTTGATGCACACACCACACGAAATACCCCTCACCATCTCCGTAGTCACACACAGATCGACTACTATTATTTACCATTCATAGAACATCAATATGCACCATGGTGAAACCGATGGCACCCGTGCAAGAGCCAGGACAGACCGTTATCATGGCCCGTGATGCGCAGCGAGACATTCATCACCCCAGCCCTCCTCCATCCAACTACAATCAATCATCCGTGCCGTCGCGCAACCAACAGTGGCTGGAATCGATACCAGCATGCAAGAGGAGAGCCAACCACCACCAGGCCCTCTGCAATCATCTACGAGGCACTTATCAGTGATCAGCTCTCGCGCACGGTCGAGGTTCGAGTTGAAGAATCGAGTGGCGTTGAAATAGACGCTGCACCATTTGACAATCACCATACCCCGGTCTCCACTTTGTATCATAATCCCAGTATCCCACCTATTCAGCCCATCTTAGTCCCAGTCCAGCGGAAATGGGATTCGCCAGTAATAGCACACTCTAAAGATTGAGACGGTAATCTGTAGTGCTGTACGAGTACGAAAACAGGGTCCCGATATTACCAAGCAGAGGCCAAGTTTTGCCCTCCCACCCCCCCCCGAGGTATGCATCGCGTCTCTCAGAAAATGCATCACCAACACCTCTACCGCGTGCCCTACTTCTCCGAGGAAGAGACACACTCACAAGAAGGGGTTAAAAAGAACGAAGGCAGAGACAACGCGAAGAACATCTCTGCACTCGTCACGTCGTAGCCCCTGACAGAGAGGGGGTGATCTCATTACCCCATTCCATTTGGTCACATTTCTGTCCGCGAGGGTCACTCTGGGGCAACATGAGTGGCTCATCCGGCTCATTCGGCGGCGGTCACGGCCAGGATACTTTCAACCCGCAATCCGCACCCCCGCTCCCGAGCTCGGCACCAGCACCATGGCAACAGCCGTCCGAGGTGCCCAAGAAGAAACCGTCTCGTCGGAAGACGGGTGCATCGAGCCCCAAGCGGAGGTGCGTCAGTACCGCCTGCATCGCCTGCCGCAAGCGCAAGTCCAAATGCGATGGCGCTATTCCCAGCTGCGCTGCCTGCGCCAGCGTCTACGGCACCGAGTGTATCTACGACCCCAACTCGGATCACCGCCGCAAGGGCGTCTACAAGGACAAGATGGATAGCATGAAGGCCCCGAACTCGACACTGCAAATCCTTGTCGAGGCCATTCTGAACGGCTCTGAAGATGAGGCCTTTACCATTGTCAAGAAGATGCGCTCGTGCGACAGCCTCGACATGGTGGCTGAGCAAATCATGAGCAATAGTCTGATTGGGGATGATCTAGTCTCGGATCAGTCTGGAGACAGCGACATGGGCCAGTACGTCGGCGTTCAGGGTGAGAGGGAGCTGGCTCGCAAGATGGGTGAGCTGCGACTCGAGAACGGCTCGGTCCGCTTCTTTGGTGGCACATCCCATCTCATCTACACGGATGCTCCCACTGACAGCCTCAACGATGAGCCGGATGCCGAGGAGCTGATGTCGGGGAAAGACCCGATAACGACCTGGACCCGCGTCACCGATGACCCCAAACTCATCACCCATCTCGTGGACAAATACTTCAACTACCACTACCCGTACTTTACTACCCTGTCCCGCAGCATGTTCGAACGAGACTATCGGAGGGGAAAGGCGAGTCTGGCTCGCGGAGGGACCGTCTACTGCTCGTCATTACTGGTCAACGCCATGCTCGCCTTAGGTTGTCACTTTACGGATATCCCTGAGGCCTATGCAGTCCCGGGAGACAGCCGCACCAAGGGCGACCACTTCTTCAACGAGGCCAAACGCCTCATCGTCGAGAACAGCGAGTACGAGAAGCCCCGACTGGTGACGGTCCAGGCTCTGGCCCTCATGTCTGTCCGCGAGGCGGGCTGTGCGCGAGAGGCCAGGGGCTGGGTGTACAGTGGTATGAGCTTTCGCATGGCGCAAGATATAGGCCTCAACCTCGAGGCCGAGAGTCTGGAGAAGGACCGGATGGCGGAGCACGAGATTGATGCTCGGAGAATAACGTTCTGGGGGTGCTTCCTCTTTGACAAGTGCTGGTCCAACTATCTCGGCCGGCTGCCTCTGATACCGCAGAATTCGTTCAACGTGGCCAAGTGCGAAGTCTTCCCAGACGAAGACTCGGAGATGTGGCGCCCCTTTCCGGACGGAGGATTCGAGGATTCCCTGGCACAGCCGGCCAGGACGCGCGCCGTGGCGCTGCAGCTGTCCAAGCTCTGCGAGATCAGCGGCGACCTGCTCATCTTCTTCTACCACCCCAACCACCTCGGGCGGTCAAGCGGGAAAGCTGTTGAGCTCAGGAAGCTGAGCGAGCTCCACCGGCGTCTCGAGGATTGGCGCAAGGAGCTGCCTCGGGAACTCGAGCCCAAGGAGGGGCAGCTACCGAATGTCATCTTGATGCAGTAAGTCTCACCTCTTGTCTCTCTGGCCAGACATGCTTGCGCATCAGACGCAATGGGAATGGTGACATCGTACAACTCTACTCTCTCCTCTCTCCCGGCCAGCGTCGTACGTTGAACACGAGGGAATGATGCGCTGACAGGAGTACTAGTATGTTCTTCCATCTGCAGTATATACATCTTTTCAGGCCATTCCTCAAGTACGCTCCGTCAGCGTCGCCGCTCCCTTCGCACGTCTCACCCCGGCGCATATGCACTGCCAACGCCGGCGCCATATCCAAGCTCATGCGGCTGTACAAGAAGTTTTACAACCTCCGGCAGATATGCAACATTGCAGTGTACATGGTCCACAGTGCCTGCACCATCCACCTTCTCAACCTGCCGGAGAAGACGGCACGCAGAGACATAACACACGGTCTCAAACACCTCGAGGAGATTGCCGAGGACTGGCTCTGTGCTCGGCGGACGCTTGTCATCCTGAGCGTTCTAGCCCGCAAGTGGGATTGCCAGCTACCCGAGGAGGCCACCTTTGTACTCCGGCGGGCGGATGAGAAATACGGCTACTACAGCCCCTCGGAGGTGCCTTCTCCGAGGTCCCATGTGGCATCCTCTCCCGCATCCTCTGACAGGGAACCACCAGCTGCGCATCGAGGCGCCGCCGCCCCGATTCAAAGCCCTCAAGTGTACAGCAGCAGTAACATGGATCACCAGCGACCAGCCCCGCAGTTCTTCGGGGTGGCGTTTTCGGATAGCCCCGTGGGTGGTATGCCCTCTATTGGTCCCACAGTGCACCACGCCATGGGTCGCCGGGATTTTGCGGCTGTGCCGCATCCAGCCATGCCTCCGAGCAGCACAGGCGTAGAGTTCGGGAGGCCTGAAGCTCTCGACTACTGGAACGATCCGCCGTTAAGGGTTCAGACGGCTCGGCAGCAACCATACCGGCAGCAGCGGCAGCAGCAACAACAACAAGACTACCGAGGCGTAACCCCTGCGCCCAACGGTTTCAGCAACCCCGCCCAGGAGCCGTCGACGGGCGCTCCCTCGTCGACCTCCTCGCATATGGCTCCGCAGACAGCCTCAATGGCAGGTGTCAACATTGGCGGCTCAGAGTACTTTCTCAGCGACAGCGCGCGCTGGCAGCAGAGCTTTGAGATGTGGAGGCAGGGTGGCGGCGGCGGTGGAGGTAACCCGCCTGAAGCCGGAGCTGCGGGTGGCGCCCCTTTGGCCACGTTTGTTCCCGGGCAGGGGATTGCTGCTGCAGGGGCGGATGCGGATGGCGGGAGCAGCAGTCTACGCTCGACGCCGCCACAGCATCAGCTCTGGGGAGATGGGGGAGATGGGACTGGATTGGACAGCCTGCATCTCTCGCTGGGTAATGAGAGTTACCTACCAGGACTGGATTAGCATAGATAGCAATGGTCTGGGATTTTATTTGAGAGAAATTGTGATGATTTAATGGGCCTACATGATGATGAGATGCATTTTGTTTTCTTGTAGCATGATGCGTCCTTTCTTCCTCTCCTTCTTCATCATCCTCTCTTCTCTCCCTTCTATCCTTGTGTGTCTGCATGTCTGGGAAGGGAGACGGGAGACGGCAGCAGCGCAGACTTACCCAGGGGTCTCGATTAGCATGCGGTAAAGTTATTACTTAGCAGTACAGGCAATCTTGGGGATCTAGGGGGGGGGGGGGGGGGGGGGAGGAGGTTTGAAGCGGGGCTACCCGGCGATGTAAAGAGTTGAGATGAGAGCTGGAACCTTGCGAGGTAGTCTGTTCATCATACGGTACCTGCGACGATTACTCGTATCCTATTCGTGGCACATTTCTTTTCTTTTTTTTTTCTTTTCTTTCGATACAACGTTACCAAGCAGGTTTTTTTTTCTTAAAAGAAAAAAAGGGTGGAGGGGAGATAGCTGACGCACAGATATTATATACTACTACTGCTAATACTATATGCAATTTCTGCGTTACACTGGTTACCAGCATCATTACTCGTACGTGTTTAGCATCTCAGCTGCTCGCACATCAGGTTACGAGGGGGTGTAGAGGAGTACTACGCGACGTAAGATATGTGGGAATCGTGGGTTGGGTTGGAACGGTGTTTTCCGACGAAACACGGTATATTACCAGTACTCGTACAATAACATACCCAGGAAGCCAGCAAGTATGGAATTTTGGCAGTGGTAGTCCTAGCACATGTACTAACGATACTGGTAGTACATAGTAGTCTGGGTTTACGGCGCATTAATACTACGGATACGTATACATGTAACGATGATATATTAATATCTGGCGGACCGGGAACGGATTCACCCCTGTCATGTCGATCTCTTTTTCTTTTCTTTTGATTTGTGTGTGACGTTGTAATGCTAGCAGTATCAGTAGGGAAAGTGATGACCTTGGTAGTATTATTATGTCAGGACACATACACACACGGAGAGAGAGGGAGAGCAAAGGATAACAGAGATGTGTGGAGGTATTATGCGAACAATGCAGCCTTTTCCATGTAGGCACGGTGAGGTTGTCTTCTCCGTGAGCAGAGTGAGGGAGTCTAAGTCTAAGCCTCTCACCCCTCTCAACCAACCCCCCACCACCCCCCACGTTACCTGCGGTAACTTGCCAAATCAGAGCACAACCGATACATGGGAGAAAAATGCGGGCTGAATGGAGGAGTATGAGCGGGTGCGTGCGTGCGTGCGTGCGTGCGTGCGTGCGTGCGTGTGTGTTTGCGTGTGTGTTTGCGTGTGTTGAGTACGGATAGCCGACGTACCGTATGTACATGAGGGTTCAGATTTGCCGATAGTAGGGCGTATCACTAGCCAGATTAATCACTATTCTACTCATCCTTCTTCTCTTATACGCCGTAGCAGACAAGAGACATGTGACTTCTAAGGGGGTGTATGTATACGTCTACATACCCGTATGCATGCATGGCAATTAAACAATCCGGGGGAGGACGCCTGTGACGATATGATGCGTAGGCGTGTACTTGACGAGTTGGAGTACCTGGTGAGTTGGAGTGCTTGACGAGTTGGAGTATAGGTACAGCAGGTTATTCAGGTTATTCAATAATAATAATAGTACCTGAACATGGTCAAAGTCGCAGAACCGCGGGACCGGTGAGCTATCACCGATGCTGAGTGGTAATACTACTAGTACTCGTACTCGTGATATTAGACAGAATCCAGAGTTTCGGAGAGTACGAAATGGATGTTGTTTGCGAGGGAAAAAAAAAAGGGGGGGGGGGGCCACGTGAAAAGAAGAAGGAAAAGCTCCCCATGATAATGGGGCGGTGTGTTGGAGACGGATATAAGAGATGGGTGATTAGTTGTGGCTGCTGAGGACCAACAGGGACGGGAAGCGTCAATCAGTAATATGAAAAGGAGTTTTTATTTTATCTTATTCTTATACATTGTAGCCATCATCTTATCTTGTTTTATTCTACGTTCTAGAATGGGAGGGTTGGCCTGGTAGGTATCATATACGACGTTGGTAATAGCGTTACTATTAGTATTACTAGTTGTATATCTGTACAGATCATCAGTATACGAATATTAATAGAGATGTTGTTACATTGGCCATGGTGTTCCAATCCCGCGGATATGGAAATATCATATTTTCTTTTTCTTTCCTTCTTCTTGTTCCCAACCTAAATGGACCCTTGCACTTCTTTCTTCTCCACCCTAAGAGTAATACAAGACAGGACAGGACAGGTAATACACCAGCAGAAGTGACTGCAGAGTTGACCAGAAAGTAGTAATGGTACGTAATGTCGGGAGTGTTTCTAGTAGTAGCAGTAATAGTAGTAGTAGCTAGTATTGGTAGTAGTGATGGTAGTAGTAGTAGTAGTGATGGTAGTAGTAGTAGTAGTAGTTAGTATCAGTAGTAGTAGTTAGCAGCAGTAGTACAGTGGTAGTAGCAGCAGTAGTAGTAGTTGTAGTTGTAGTTGTAGTAGTGGTGGTGGTGGTGGTGGTGATAGTGAGTAACCGTATCATTACTCCGTGGTAATAACTGTAGCACTAGTGATAGCTGTAGCACTAGTAAAACACACAAGATGAGATGGTATTTACGGAATACTGCACACCAAATGCTCGCTGCGTTGGTAATTAACTCTCCATAACGTGGTGGTGACGTTCAATGATAGACAATAGCGACCGTGACGCCAAGACGCCAGCTGGGATTGGCAGCGGGTGTCTGTGCACCAGCGACACCGCTAGTCTTAGCCTCTGGGTAACGTACTCGTACTGTGGAATGCCGTCGTACGATGGCCCGCCGCCATTCTTCGTTTTCTTTTCTTTTCTTTTTCTTTTCCTGCGACGAGCTATCGTGACAATTTAACTGCTGCTCGCAGTATTCCAGCTCTCCCTGAGATGATGCTTCTACATATACAGATGTAATATCAATAATACTCCGTGCTATTACTGGTAGCGGCATCATCTACTCCATTACATGTAACATCTCATCATACGGATTACACTATTACTAACCAGCAGTCCTACACTTGTAGCCTGTACAGATTAGATCCATGGCAGATGGTAACGGCAGATGGAAGGAGCCTCCATCGAACCTACATGCCACTTGGAAGAAGCAAAGTGCCAGTCCATGAAACACCTGCCTCGGCTTGCCTCGACTAGCCTCGTGCCTTCCCATCTGCGATTCTTCTACATCTGTCCATCTGCTTCTCGTGTTTACATAATAGTACACTCTCTCCGTATTACTGCCCCGTGCTGCTACCGATAATACTATGTGTACGAGTACTCGCTAGTGATGTCACGAGCTATACTCGCATGTACTCGTACAGTACAGTATCCCGTCCTCGGGTTGATGCTACTACGTCAACACTCGGATGCACAGCTATGCACGCGCACCAGATTTGACATGGTCCCCCGGATTATCGATCGAGAGAGCTTTCTTATCCGTCTTTTTGCCTCAGTATATTACCTCCTTGTCGTTATTACATACTTGCATACTTGTACAGACTGCTGCATACTTGTACTGCTTTGTCGTCGTTGCTCGTCGCTTTGCTTGTTTGCTGGCCTGACCTGACCTGACCTGGCCTGGCCTGGCCTGGCCTGCAGTCTGCAGATACTCGACGTCTGTGCGTCCCGCAGCCATGGCCCACCATCATTCATCGCTGTCTAGGATGACATCTCAGCCTCGGCACTCCTTGACAATGTTGCACCGAAAACATGCAGCACTCGCTCGTCAGTCAACTTCTACAGGGTGCAATTTCACAGACTGACCAATCGCTCACACGACTGACCGTCGCTTCCGAGAGTACGTACGCGTACTTCTCTTTCTGACCTGCGACTGATACTCTTCTGCGCACACAGAAAGCGACGGGATATACCCACCGCCCCCCTCTTTCTCCACCAATGGCGGAGACTGCCGCTCTTGTTTTGTGTAATCTGTAATCTGCACATATAAACAGTCTCTCTGCAATCCTCGCCGCTGTCGTCCCCGGAGAAGCACTCAAACAGTTCAGAGGCCTCGGAGAACCAACGCGTTCTCACCTAGAGCATGGCGTCCCCCCTCCCTCCCGGAGCCAAGTTTCCACATCTTCCCCTCTCCGAGGGCCTCCAAGAACCTGAATGGCCAGCCATGGAGGTATCCACACCCAGAATCGACATGGTCCTCGGCCCTTGGGCAACTTGGGGACCTAGCCTCTAGGGGGGTTTGGTGGTGGTGGTGGTGGTCGGGGCTTGGGCTCGGTGGGTTTTAACGCGCCACCCATGGCCCCTGCTCGTGGACATTGGTCAAGACGTCGACAAGACTCGAAGGGACACGGCCAGAGAGGCCGTGGTCAAGGCGGAGGAGCCTCTCTTCTCTCTCCTCCCTTGGCTCCTCGAGTCTCGCCTACAAGGCCAAGCTTCGTTCAAGGGTTAGGTCCGATCACTCTCCGACTCCTTGGGTCTGCCGTTTCACGCGATATCACTAGCCCCTCCCCTCCCCCCACGCCATGCGGTCATGGCCATGTCTACGGAGTATCACTCTCCAAGGACATGGATGGTCGGTCATACGACATATCCCAATGGCATGTACGAGTACGAGTGTACAGAACATCCAAAGTCGAGAGGTTAACAGTAATGCCAGAGGGCCGCAAACGCCGCTCCGTCGATTGACAAAACTCCACACACACTACGCACACCGTAACAGCCCGACATTGCCCCCCCTCCTCCCCCCCCCTTCCACATGGCAAGGAACTGCCAGCCTGGTGCCAGCCTCTGCTAGGACCTATACTCAGGCTTGCGAGGTTTAAGGCTTGAGTACGTAATACCTTTTGATAATACTCGATAGGTTGGTGGTATATGCAATACTATAGTCTATCAGACTTCCTCCCCCCCCCCCCCCAAAGGGTAGTGTAACGTACTCCGTATAATGCATACGCTTACCATGCCCGGCCTGTTGCCGGCCATACTTTGCTGCACGTAATTACCTCTGTGCATAATACGACTACTGCTACACCACAGGTTACGTGTACTTGTACGAACCTCTTATAAGTGCCGGAGTAATATCGGGGAAAAATGAGATGATGAAGAATGTCGTCCTTACTCTCCTGTCCTTGTTCTCAATCATCTTTTCCCCGCATTTAATTCAAAGAGGATAACTGGACCTTGGACCTTGGGACATGCTATTTTTCATCATCACCCGACCTGTGCTGAATGTCTAGACATGCATACAGTACAGCAGCATTGACGCAGACGGTTAAAGAAGGAGGGGGGGAGGTATTGAGACTCATGATATATTCCTTCTATACCAACCCCCCCTCCCTTTTCCGTGACAAGACCAAGACAAACAAGAAATTGGAAAGTAAAAGGAAGAAGGAGAGAAAAAGAATAATGATTAGACTCGTTCGTCTTAGTAGCGCCTATAACCCGCACCCCATTCTTTCCCGCGGTTCCCTCCACCCTCGGACCCGCCCCCTCCCCTCTCTATATTAGTAGTATTAGTAGGTCATACATGTAATAGTTGGTAGAAATACCTGTAGGAAGTAGCATCTGTGATGCAAGCCGTACTCGTACTGTAGCGACGGTCTTGGCGCACGAGAAAAAAAAAAGTACAAAAGGAGAGGAAAAAAAAAAGGCCAAACCCCTGGTCAGCTTAGGATCAGGTTGCACTGGTCGGTTCATCGGTTGAGGGGGTCGGAGTAGTAGTAGCTCATCGAGAAGAAGAAGGGGGGGGGGGGCGAAAGAGGGCCACCAGCGAAGTGGACAGAAAAAAGAAAAGAAAGAAAAAAAAGAAAGCCTTTAATAGGTAAAAATAGCGCCTCGATTCTTGATTTATTGCTGCTCGTTTTGCTATTTCTTTTCCTCTCTCTTTTGTTATATCGTCTGCTTCTCTTTGCTCTCTCTCTCTCTCTCTTAAGTGAGCCGAGGCCGGTCCCTCTCTGTGGCATTTTTACTAGAAAATCGCCCCTCTTTTTGCTCCTTTCTCGCGATCTTGATTTTATTTCTCTCTCCCTCTCTCTCTCTCTCGCTAGTCCAACTGTTATTAATTTCCCTGTCATTTATAATATTTCTTATTCCCTTTTTTTCTTCCTGTTTCTTGGTTTCGCGAGTAAACAGATAACCGGCATATTCCCCTTATACCAAGTTTAATCAACCCTTTTGGTGTTTCTGACCGACCACACACGAGTCTTCCCCCCCCCCCCCCCCCCCCCCTCCTCTCTTTTTCAATCACGGCTTGGTTTCTCTCGGGAAACGGAAGAGAGAGAAGTTGAGGGGGAAAAAAAGAGGAGAGGACGCCATCATCATTGGGTTGGGATTATGCACTTTGGATCTTTTGTCCCTTCAGAAATATCATCCCCCCGTCATGCCAAGTCTTGGCTCGCGCGCCTTGTAAGACGGACGTTTCCCTCCCCTTCCATGCTGGGTAAAGAAGTCACAACGATATTCAACAAGGGGTCAATTACCAGAGAATTCTGAAGAGGCATTGCTGAACCATGTTGTCCAACCCTCTGCAACGGTTCTCACCGTACCAGAACCTCGCGCCTCCTGGCCTCATCCCAACAGACGACAACACCATCCCGTCCCATCCTCATCCTAGTATTCATCCTCCTCCTCCTCCGACAACTCTCACCCACCACAATGGCATTGACTCTCTGGGTTACGACCATCATCAACACCAGCACCAGCACCAGCACCAGCAGCATCAGCAGCAGCACCAGCAGCACCATGCTGCCCAGCTCGGTATCCCGCACCAGATTCACCAGAGTATGGGAGGTGCCGGTGACCTACCCAGTCCACACATGATGCCTTCCACTACTGCTGTTGCCGCTACCGCCACTTCCAGATCACTGGTTGGTACTGCGGCCAAGCAACATCAACATCAGCAGCACCACCAGAGATATCAGCCGTACGCGCAGGTGGGCAGGATGCCTGGCACCCCCAGTGCTACTGCCACTGCTGCTGCAGCCGCGGCGGCAGGTCAGGTCAGGAGGCGTATCAGTCGGGCTTGCGATCAGTGTAATCAGCTCAGGACCAAGTGTAATGGGCAGCATCCCTGTGCACACTGCATTGGTGAGTTTTGCCCCCCCCCCCCTTCCCCTTCTTCAGTTTCGCTCGTCCGTCCGTTCGCTTTTTTTTCTTCACTGTCCGGTTCGGCCTTTGCGCCCGCTTTTGTGCTCAACATTCCTCTGTTTCATTCCTTACTCTCTCTCTTATATTGTACAAGACCTTCATCTGACCGTGGCAGAATTCGGCTTGGGTTGTGAATATGCTCGAGAGAGGAAGAAGAGAGGTAAAGCTTCTCGAAAGGATCTGGCAGCACGGGCGGCAGCAGCGGCTGGGGCGAGACCCGGCAGCGGTGGCAAGAGCAAGGATACGACCCCGACGGCTATCACCACAGACGCAAAGCATCAGCATCATCTCAACGACAACAGCAACATGGATGCGGATCCTCTGGACAACTCTCAACCTCTCGATCTGAATTCCGGCTTCGCATCTGCGTACGACCGACAGGGCATGGGGTCCTATGTAGGCCACACCCAGGCCGACATATCTGCTGCGGCTGCGGCCGCGGCGTATCCTGACCTCTCGGAGGCGTACCCGATGCAGCAGAGCCCCCCAGGATACAACAACAGCGGCAACAGCAGTAGCAGCAGCGGTATCAACAACAACAACAACAACAACAACAACGGGAGCAGCAGCTCCGGTAGGGGGTTCCCTATGATCGGCAGCAGCCCCATGGGTGCCGGGCCCGGGTACGTGGGCATGGGAGGCGCTGCGCCGTCCCCGGGATGGGCATCGCTTGGGTTCGCGACGGCGACATCGCCGGCGCACTTCCAGCAGGTCGCCACCCCTGCTGCCTCTGCTGCCGTGCCCGGCTACGGCACCCAGCTGCGGTATCCGGTCCTCGAGCCGCTCCTCCCTTATCTCGGCAGCGTAATGCCTATCAGTCTGGCGTGCGATCTCGTCGACGAATACTTCTCGTCGTCGTCGTCGGCCCAGATGCACCCCATGTCGCCGTACGTGCTGGGCTTCGTGTTCCGCAAGAGAGCCTTTGTGCACCCCACGCGTCCTCGACGATGCCGCCCGGCCCTGTTGGCCAGCATGCTGTGGGTGGCGGCTCAGACGAGCGACGCCCCGCTCCTGACGAGCATGCCATCGGCGCGGGCAAAGATGTGCCAGAGGTTGCTGGAGCTGACGGTGAGGCTGCTCAACCCGCTCATCCACACGCCCGCGTCCGGCAGCATCCATGCCGGCGGCGGAGCGTCTCCCGTCGGAGGGGCAGGTGGGAGCAGCAGCCCTCAGGCTGGGGCGGTGCCCCTGGATGGGCTGGGCGTGGCCCTCCCTGGGTCCCTGAGCATGGATGCCTACGTCCTCTCGGGGGAGTCTGGCCCCTTCGGCGCGGCGGGCACCATCGACGACGTGGCTGCGTACATACACATCGCCACCGTGGTGGCGGCGAGCGAGTACAAGGGGGCGAGCCTTCGATGGTGGAACGCGGCATGGTCGCTGGCAAGGGAACTCAAGCTGGGTAGGGAGTTGCCGCCCAGCAGCAGAAGCAGCGGACAGCAGTACCACGGCGGCGGCAGCATCGATCCCGGCGACGACGACCATTGCCTCGACGAGCACGACGTGTACCGGAACAACAATGCGAATATCGTGACGGACGAGGAGCGCGAGGAGCGCCGCCGCATCTGGTGGCTCGTGTACATAGTCGATCGGCACCTTGCGCTGTGCTACAACCGGCCGCTGTTCCTGCTCGACGCCGAGTGTGAGGGTCTGCAGAGGCCTGTCGACGACCTGGCGTGGCAGCGTGGTGAGTTCGGCTCCGGTGCTGGTGCTGGGGAGAATGTGAGCGGCAGCGGTGGAGGCAATCACGACGAGCAGACCAGGGGCACTCACCAGTTCGAGTGTCGAGGCCACAGCATCTTTGGGTATTTCCTCCCGCTCATGATCATCCAGGGCGAGATCGTGGACCTCCATCACGCCCGTAACCATCCTCGCTTCGGTGTCGGGTTCAGGTCGGCGGGCGAGTGGGACAGTCAGGTTGCTGAGATTGAGAGCCATCTCGAGATGTACGGAAGGAGTCTCCGGGCGTTTGAGCGGCAGCAGAGTGTTCCAGAGTGTAGCGCTTCCGTATTTTCACTGTCGCCGCCGGCGCTATCAGTGACCGAGACGGGACGAGGAGGAGGTGGTGGAGGCGGGAAGGAAGATGGCACTGCCGAGACCGCAGCGGCAGCAGATGCGGATACACCGTCTGCGCGAACGGCGGCAACGACGCCATCGACAGCTGGCCAGGGCCACCACCACCACCATCACCAGAGACTTACCGAGAGCGACATCCAGACGCGGATAGTCGTTGCCTACGGGACCCACGTAATGCACGTCCTGCACATCCTGCTCGCGGGGAAGTGGGACCCCATCGATCTTCTCGACGACGAGGACCTGTGGATATCCACGAGGGGCTTCATCGACGCGACGAGCCACGCCGTCTCGGCCGCGGACGCGATAGGCCACATCCTCGAATTCGACAGCGGCCTGGAGTTCATGCCTTTCTTCTTCGGCGTGTACCTCCTCCAAGGATCGTTCCTACTGCTGCTCATCGCGGACAAACTACAGCACGAGGCGTCACGGAATGTCGTCAGGGCTTGCGAGACAATCGTCAGGGCACACGAGGCTTGCGTTGTAACTCTCAATACAGAGTATCAGGTATGTTTTTTTTTCTTTTTCGCCTTTACTTTACTTCTATTCTTCCCATCGTGTAGATGACCGCCGGGGGAGGGGGCGCTTTGTTAGGGAATGGTTTCCACCCCCCCTCTTCACGACTCAGACTTCTTAGCTGGACGAAGTAACGGATAATAACTGACCTCTCCTCTTCTTGGTAGCGTAACTTTTCCAGAGTCATGAGGAGCGCCCTGGCGCAAGTCAAGGGACGAGTTCCGGAGGATTTACACGAGCAACATCAACGGAGGAGGGAACTGTTGAGACTATACAGATGGAGTGGGCATGGGACGGGGCTGGCCCTGTGATGGCTTCATGTTCTATTATTATCTTCTTTGAACACACACATATTGGACCTATCTACTTTTCTCTTTTCCCTTTCTTGCTCACTAAACAGCATGGCTTCATAGTTGGGAAGCGTGGGTAATGGGATACTGGCTACGGACGGGGGGAGGGGGGGGGAGGCAACGTCTCCTCCCTCAACAATAACAATGAACCTTGATATTTGAAAATAGTCACAAGGTGACGATGACCTGATTAATGGAATCATATAGAAGAAAAACGAGGAAGCGAAAGAAGTAGGAGTGTCCTGGAACAGGAAGGGTAGAGGGGAGGGGGGAGGCTCCCCTTGAGGTGGACGATGCACCTATCTTGGGCAGGTTTCTCCCCGTATAAAACAACCCATACAGCTGCTCATCAGTTGAAAGAAGCCACTGCCTCTGATTCATAGCCTTCTATAGTTATTTAACAAATATCAGAAAACGTATAAATTTGGCAGTCACTCCTTCCCTTCCTCCTCCGCTCTTTCCCTCTTCAGCATCGCTTTCACCCACACTTTTTTCTCATATTTCTTCTTTCTTCTTCTTCTTTTTCTTTCTTGTCAATAGACCTCCCGCTCATTTCGAGCATCTTCTATTGAGAAGAAGTGAGGAAAAACCAGCGTTTTCCCCTGTTATCTTATACCATTATCAAATTTTCTTATTCCCCTGCCCCGTTTCGTTACACATCAACAGTTGCAACTTGGCGGTGCGGGTGCTGCAACGCTTTCCCCAAGTAAAACGTTGCCTCACCTTCGAACCCTTTTTTTTTTTTTTTTTTTTTTTTTTGCCGAAACCCGTCAAGAATTCTCTTCGATAGAGAGAAAAAGGGGGCATTCGGGTCGACGTACCGTCACGGTATGCTACCCTTCTTCCTCGTCCTCCCCATCCACCCCCACGACGATACACTCTGAGTCAAGCACTCTGTTGTGTGTACGTGTGCCACACATGCCCCTTGTATGGGAAATACACCCTTTGCCTCCCCTCTCTCTTCCTCGTGTGATTTCTGCATCAGGAACCGAGCCGGTGTGACAAACTGGTCTTGGGGGCGAAATCAGGTCTCATCAGAGGGGCGGGCGTCTTGTCATGAGGACAAACATCGGCATACAATGTACACGTGCGACAAGAGAAAGAGCCAAAAACTAATGGCTATGGCAGTTTTTTCGATTCCCCTTCTTTTTTAACTCGACAATAAGCCAAAGAGAAGACGTGGACCGTCCTCTTGAACAAGGAATACACTCCGTCTCTTCTTCTCTTCTATTCTCTGAATAAAGTCACACACACGTACACACATCTTCCCTTGAGAAGTTACGTACGACACCCTTTCTTTTCTTTTTAAAGTCCGAAATTTATTTTCAGACTTTGATCGGATGCACAGCTGAAGAGGAAGATCATCATCTCTGATTATTTCCTCGAGCCAATCTCCGTTTCAAGATACGTATGCACTATCTCTGCTCTCCATTCCCTTCCCCTGCATTCATGGACAAGTTCCCAGATTAAAACACGAACTGATCGTATAGAAGACGATGGCCAACAGGGGGAACCCATGTCCCAACGGTGACCCTTCATCCGGAAGAAAGCGGGCGCCTTCCATGTCCCCGTCTGATGGTCCAACCCGCAAGAGGACTAGGAGCCGAACGGCCATGGAAAACAGCGCTGCCGAGGCTTCACTCGCACTCCCTGATATCCAGAGGGAATATTTTCATTCGTCTCCCGAGAACATGAACGTGGCAAGCGACGAGGCAGAGGCCGAGTCTGCCCTGCGTTTCTCTGCCCCAGAATCCAGCCCCGAGGAAGCCGCCGGTTCCTCGCGTGCCGCGGCAGCTCCGAATCCCCACGTCGTGCCGTCATTCTCCGAGCTCCGCATGGACAGCATTCCCCTTCACAGGCTGGGTCTGGAGTTTCCCCCAACCACAAGCCCGTCGGAGGCCAACGAAATGGCCGTCCTTCTCAAGAATGAGTTGACACGCCAAGAGCTCGAGCCGCCCGCCCTGCCTCCTAGCAAGGTGGAAGATCTGCCTAAGAAGGAGGTTGCCAAGCAGTACAGGGAGCTGCCCGAGAATGCCACCTGGCAGGAAAAGAATGCCATCAGGCACTACAACAACATGGTCTCGGAGGAGATTCAGAAGATCGACCGCGAACGAAACAACAAGGCTGCCAAGAAGAGTCGCGAGACTCGCCTCGAGGCTCTCCACGAGACGCGCAGGATGCTCAATGAGTCCACGGCGGAGAAGAACCTCCTTCGGCTCCAGCTCATTCTTCTCAAGGGCGACCTCGGCTTGTAGGGCAAGCTCGATGCCGCGGTGAGGAGGGCGATGATTGAAGTCGTCGAGCATCGTGTTCGCGAGTCGGACCAGAAGCTCGCAGATGAGCGCAAGCGCAACGAGGCCATCAAGCGCAGCGAGAGGGCCCGCAAGAGAAAGGCCGAGATCGAGGCCCTCAGGGCTGACGCAGCCACCCTTGACCAGATAATGGCATCATCCTCCATGGTACCGGCACCGGCACTCACTTCTGTCTACAACGACACTTCTGCCTTCAACAACACAGGTGGTACCTACAACAGCATAGGCGGTTCCCAGTTCAACAATGCCGGCGGTGTGTCCAACAACACAGGTGGTGTCTCCAACAAGACTTGTGTTGTATCCAGCAGCACTGCTACCAGCAGCAGCACCGGCCCCAATATCGGTGCCATCGGCGGTCCCTGCACGCCCACTCGCTTTTGCCAAGGCAACCATGAGGCTAGCCTCCATCACCAGGAACCTTGGCGCTCTATGACAATCTCTAACCCCAGGACAAGAGCTGCTCGTCAGCCGTTTGTGTGCCCGTTTGCTTCTCAGAACCGCATTCGGATGTTTGAGACGGTGGCCCGGAGGGCCGGGTCGTCGACGACGCCCGAGTCTTCTCCTCCTCCTCAGACGGACGCTCAACCTCTCCCCCAGGCGATTGCTCCGCCTCCTCCCTCTCCTGTCTTTCATTCAGAGCCCATGTCTGAGGATATGAATGACAATGATGTTCTTCTAGAGGGGTGGGTTCACGAGGATTCTGATTTTTAGTCTCATATTTGGCATCTTGACCTGATGCTTTGCTCTTACCTCTCTCTTTTCTTCTTTTTTTCTTTCTCCTTTTTTTTGCTCATCACTTTTTTTCTCGTCTGTTCTTATTCATGCTGGGAATTGGCTGATTTCTTCCCATTATACAGTCGTCGCCGGATGCCTTTTATTATCATAACCCTTTTTATATTTCCTTTTTATTTATCCCCAGTCATACAATCAGTACCATTTTTATAGCCTTTTCTGGGGTTGTCTATTCTCTCTTCTGTTTTCCATTTCTTTCTTTTTGAATTCTCCGACGTTGGCCTTTTCAAGGCTGGATATCCATCTCGGCATCCAACTGTCTGGGATGGTGGGCGTGGTTACGAAGCAATCAACTGCCCGACCAACGGCGAATACTTGTTACTGGTCATGCTCCTTCTAAACGTTGTTTTCTCTTATTGGAGTTGCTATTTATTTTGGGAGTTGGTTGTATTTCTCGGCACGTTTGCTTTGACATATACACATATAGAAAATGGCTGTAGATAGAAAAAAAACATTTGCTAGAAATTGGTATGGAACCATGATTGTCCATGTGATGTGACAATGTGAGACGTTGTTGGGAACAACATGAATATGGAACATTTACGCGAGATGAATACTGACAAGGTAACGGTGCAGCATGTCAAGACTTGGAAAACAATGACTGAAGAGGTATAGTATACTTGGAGAGTGTCAAGGGTCAAGATCGGAAAGAATGTAAAGTATCATGGAGGGACATGTACGTGTCAGGATGTAGTATGGGTATGTGGTATATGATGTGGGATTTCCGCGCTCCCAGGGACTAGCTACACTAAGACATTTGAGTAAAGAAGAGAAGAAAACAGAAAAAGACAAACCAACATGGGAATATATGAGAAGATAAAAACATTGAAGTATATGAAAACAAACATGTATATCGTAACTCGTACTCGCGGGGGTGGGGGCGACGAGATAAAAAATTTTGGTTATCCAGAAGAGGGATTTGTCTGGACTTTTGATCGAGAGAGAGAGAGAGAGAGAAAGAGTTAGGCAAATCGAGCTTGCTTGTCAGATGCATCATCCGACTTTGACCTCTCGACAAGTTCGGCATCAGTATTCCCGCTGCCTGTGACGTCGAGGAGGCAGATCCGGATGAAGACGAAGGAGGTGATGCTCGTCATGATCCTGGGGGAGGAAGAGAAGGGGGGAGATGCGATGTTAGTAGAAGGAAGAGAGAAGGGAGGGAGAGGGAGGGAGGGAGGGAAACATACCAGACGACAGCTCCGAGAACAGCACCGGCAGTCAGAGAAGCGTAAAAGGCCTTGTAGACGGTCCCGTCAAACTGGGAAGAGTCATTGCCGTTCAGGATGGCGCTCAGCCTATTGGACCAAGACGCGGCCCAGGACCAGCCGGCCATCCAGAAGATGGGGATCAGGAGCATGAGGCCGATGAATGTTGTGCGGTGGTAGAATCTCGGGAGGAAGATTTCGAGGATGAGCATCGCCCCGAGGACGATCCATGTCAGGATCGACTGTCTGTGTAAGTGGTCTTTCTCTGTTTTCAGATTGGAGAGAGGGAGAGAGGAGAGAGAGAGAGAGTGTGTGTGTGTGAGAGAGCGAAAGAAGAAGAGGAAGGAAGAGGAGGAGGAGAACTACATTGAATATGAGGAATCCCGGTGGTGATGATGTAGGTACTGCACCGCTAGAGTAGAGGGAGAGATTGTAGGCAGAAGCTACGAGGACGCCGAGACTGACGAGGATTGTGGAGGCGCGTAGGTAGAGGAGCCATCTTGGGAGGATTGGTACCGACATGTTGATGGAAGCAGGCAGAGGAATATTGAAGCAGGGCAGAGGATATTCAAGCGGGTAGAGGAGAGGGTGCAGAGGGTATTTAAAGAAGAATATCGTCAATACGAAGGAGAAAGAGGAAGAAGCAGAAGAGGAAGAAGAATAATGCAAGTGCAGAGGATATACGAGTATTATTACATGGTCTTATTCCTAGTAAGAAAGACATTGCCTACTCACTCTCTACCACTCTATTGCATGGAGCATGAGACATGAGGCAGTGAGGGTTATGAGAAGAAGAAAAAACCCCAGACAAGACCCCAGACAGAGGGTGTTACATGCTCCCCCCCCCCTCCCCCAAGTCTAAATATACACACTTACACACTGCACACTGCACATCCATTGATCAGGATCAGTCTGTCATGTCACACTTGGTAAGCGCCTATTTTCCATCTTGTAATCTTGTAGTGATAGGAGATGAAAAATATACAAAATACGAAAATACAAAAATACGACACATAAAAATACCTGACAGTGTACGCGTACCACTATTCCTTTTCTTCTTCTTTTTTCTTCTTTTATTTTTTTTTTACTCAACCATGACCCATTCACATCGTTTACTTGTACATTTATAGACTGATGGTATGTTAGTCGGCGCCAAGATGACGTTGGGCGGTTGGCCGCGCGACATGAATGGTTCTCAAAAGTGTTTAGGATGGGAAGGGTGCATACGAGTATCGTTTTATGCTTTTTTCTCTCTCTGTATATCTATCTGTCAGTCTCGTTCTCACCCGCGTGCGTAGGTGTTGTAGATAACACGGTCGCGTTAGCCCCCTTTAAAGGAAGGGCCGCGGCAGTTGTATTGATATCTGTTCCTTCTATTCTACCTTAAGAGGATGAGGCCGTAGATATATACCTGATCTGATGATGTCTGCCCAGAGGCCTGAGGCTCCAGGTCCGGACCGGAATAACCATTATGCGGCGTTTGCTAGAGCTTAGGCAAACAGTATCTTATGTGTGTGTGTGTGTGTATGCGCATATGAAGCCATGATGGGGAATAGGAGAGTCGGACCCTCAAAAGATCAAATCATGTTGAGAGAATTAAAGAGAGGAAAATAAAGATGATGAAGAAAAAAAGAAAAAAGAAAAAACCCCCCAATTCAATCATCTAGACAGAAAGAGATGAGAGGAGTGAAGCGGCACACACATACACACGCATGCACACATCTACATCTACATGCATCCAGATCTCCTGCCCTTCACCCTCCTCTCGTGTACCAACCTCCCCCCGACCCAGACCATCTTGGTATTCCTATCATCACCCGTATACAGCCACTTCTCCAACCTCTCCCCCCAGCTCTCCCAACCAAACACGTCGCAGTTGCCGTCGTCATCTTCCCCATCCTCCTCCTCCTCCTCCTCCTCCTTGACCATGCCGAGCCCGACCAGCTGCGCGTCCCACTGCATGCCGACCTCGAAGCCGCCCAGCCTGTCTTCCATGCCGACCACGACGGCACCGCCCCTGGTGGCGAGGTACAGTACCTCCTGGGCCGTCAGCTTGCTCGTCTCCGCCTCCCCGCCAGCCCGTCTCTCGGCCTCGGCGACGGCGACGACCCTGCTGACGAGGGCGGCCTGCCGCGCCGCCTCGAGGATGGAAGCGCTGTATCCGCCGCTCACGTCGGTGCCCAGGCCGACGTCTATGCCGTGCTGCCACAGCCAGCGGACGCGCGCCGAACCGCTCGCCAGCGCGCTGTTGCTGCACGGGCAGTGGGCCACCTTGCTCCCGCGCGCCGATACCAGCGCCGCCTCCCGCTCCGTCAGGTACACGCCGTGGGCGAGGATGGTGCGTCCCGTCAGCAGACCCACGGCGTCGTACACGCCCGGGTAGGACACCCCCCCGTCTTCGTCTCCCTCGAGCGTGGCGCCCTCTAGACCGGCAAACATCTTCTTGACGAGGCTGATCTCCCCCCTGTTCTCCGACACGTGCGTCTGCACCGGCAGGTCCCTCGACCGCTGCAGCGCGGCCAGCCCCCGCATCGACTCGACCGAGCACGACGGCGCGAACCGCGGCGTGAGGATGGGCCCCACCATCCGCCCCGTCGGGTCGACGCGCGCGCAGTGCTCCACCGTCTCGACCGTCCGCCGCAGCGACTCCTCCGCGCTCTCGTCGCGGTAGTAGGCCGGGCACACCGTCCTCTCGTCCATGCACACCCGCCCCACCAGCGCCCTCTGGCCCAGGGAGAGGCACACGTCCGCCAGCAGGTTGGTGGCCGCCACGTCAATGGTGGCGTAGTAGGCCGCCGTCGTCGTCCCGTTGCGCAGCGTCCGCCGCACGGCCGTCGTGTACACCCTCTTGGCCTTGGGGAGGTCTGACGCCAGGCTCGCCTCCAGCGGGAACGTGTACTCCTCCAGCCAGTCCAGCAGCGTCGTCTTGCCGAACAGTCCGGCGTTGGGGTACTGCGCCGCGTGGATGTGCGTGTCGACGAATCCCGGGAAGAAGAACTGGCCTTGCTCCGTCGCCACGACGTCGTAGCCATCGCGATGGTGGCTGCTGTTGCCGTCATCGCCGCCGCCGCCGCCGCCGCCGCCGCTCTCCGATGGTGATGATGATGCCCACGACGGCCCGAGTTGCGAGACCAGACGCTCGATACTGGCGGGGGAGTGGTCGCTGCCAAAGTCGCGCTCGATGTGGACGATCGTTCCCGAGGAACCGTCGACGCACATGGCTGCGTCGTGGAGGTATTCCAGCTCTGTGCGGCTCTTGCTATGCACAAATGTGCCCAAAAAGATTTTATTTCTTGATGCCATTGTGCCGGTTTTTTTCTTTTCCTTTGGTTTTCGTTTTCGTCTTCGATCTCTGTATATCTCTTTTTCTTTTTCTTTCTTGATTCCGTGTCCTGGTCTCGATGTTATATTACACCGCAAAGCTGTCGTTTGTCGGTTGTCCTCTTATATAACCGTTCGTCTTGGAAGATGCGAAGAGGCCCCCCCTCCATCAGGGACAGACAGAAACAAACACACGCACACAAAAGACAGGTTAGCCCCTTTTCGTCATCGACACATGAGCATGAGCCATTTTATACGTCTGGAACAATCAAAAGGCATGTGCATGTGCATGTGCATCGTGGGGGGTTGAAGAAGGGAGGGGGGGAAGCAAAGGGGGAAAATGTGGTTGGTACTCCGTAATATATCCCCCCTTAGACAAGGGAGATAGCGGGGAAGGGGGAACAAGCAGGTACAAGTCCGGCTCCGTCCGCTTGAACCGTCCGCAGCCCTTTTCGGGTTTCGGTCCTCGCCGCCGGCCGACAAGTCGACTGTCGAGATCTCATCACACTATGCATCGGCATCGGCATCGGCATCGCATCGCATCGTTTGTACAAAGAGGTTGGTATCACCACCACAGGGTGATTTATCACCATCATTTGTTTCACAATATCACTACAACTAGCATCGTACAGATCGGCCAATGATGAGGCCTCGCTGTCAAACTCCCGTGACGACACGAACAGACTACTTACACAATATATATACACACATATATACATACATACACACGCACATATATATATATATAGCTACAAGTCTTCACCACCCAACACATGTCATGACTTTCGGCATTCGGGACTCCAAAGCAGAAAAAGCAAGGAAGAAGAGTCAAGTGAACACTTACAACCCTGATTACTGGTAGTTCGTTCAGCTGTAAAAAGAAAGAGAAAACAGGTAAAGAAACAAAAAACACTGTATACAGCAAGACCTTCCTGTTCTTACTACTAGTAATATGCCAGGAAGATCTTACCAAAGAAGATTGAGATAACTAAAAAACATACACAAGACATTTCATATCATGCACCTTTTCCTCCTCTCCTATTTTTTTTTCGTCCTTCATTCATTATAAGCCATATGTGGCCACCCCAATCTCTCTACCCTCTCTGTCTCTGCCTAGACACCCTTAGGCCGCAGCCCCAGGTCCCTCGTAGTCACCCGAGGAGCCACTCTCGCTTCCATCACCATTATCCTCACGAGTGTACTTGTCCCAGTTGGCCAGGACTGCGCCAATCTTGGGCGAGTTGGTCAACTTGTACACATCCTCAAAGTACTCGCGCGTGAGCGCAAACGGCTTGGCCGTCACGTTGGGTATGTACTTGCCCACCAGCTTCGACGGGTCGATGGTCGTCTTGTTGATCTTCTTCATGAGGAACGAACGGAAGGGCTTGACGCCCGACCGGAGGAAGGTCGAGTGGAAGGGCACGTCGATGCCTTTGAGGGGGATCGTGGCGAAGCCGCGCTCGAGCTCCAGGGGTTGGGGCTTCTTGAGCGTCTTGTCGGCGCATCCGCGGATGATCTCGCGAAGCGCACCCTTGGCCTCCTCAATGTTGCTCCTCATCTCCTCAATGTCAATCTGCTGCATCTTGAGGAAGTTGGTCACGCCCGCCAGCGTGTCCAGCGCCCGGAGGTCACCGGCGGCCACGTACTGCATGTTCGCAATGTTGTAGTTGACAATCTCGATGAGCCACCCAGTCTCCTCGGCAATGTTGCTGACCACAAACTCGAGCGCCTCCTCGTTAAACGTCTTCGAGATGCGGCTCGGGTTCACGGCGCACATGCAGTAGTTGGACCGGCCATCAGCATCGCGCTCCACCGCAACCTGCATCGTCAGGCCTCGGTAGAACACGACAGACACGAGCGACTCGATCGGCATGACGTCAGCCAGAGCCGCCAACGCAGAGTACTCGCCCAGTGAGTGACCCGCAAACGTGCTGTCGCGCGGCACGAGGCCCTTGGACTTCATGTCTTCGAAGCTGGCCTTCTCCATCAGCGTCAGGGCCGGCTGCGTAAACTGAGTCGCCGACAGAAGACCGGTAGGCGACCGGTACGTGTACGACGACGTGCTCTCGCTGACCTCCTTGAAGATGCGCTCCGACTTGATGGAGCCGTCAGCAGACACCGACTCGAAAGTCATGGCCATGTAGTTCTGACGGATGGCCTTGCCGCGGGGCCCACCAAAGTGCACGGTCAGCTCCTTCGGGTTGTTGCGCACAATGTTCGTGATGGAGAAGCCGTAGTGGTCGAGCAGGTACTTGTCCGCGCGGTCCCACACATCCTTGGCCACCGGGCTGCTCTCGTACAGCTCCATGCCCATGCCCTGCTCCTGCGAGCCCTGGCCGGTGAAGACGTAGGCCGTCACGGGCTGCTCGATCTCGGCCTCGCCGAGGAGAACCTTGTCCTCGGTATCCTTGTTGCTGGCCTCGACCTTGATGATCTTGCGACCGGCAACCATGCCGACGTGCTGCAGCTTGACCTCGATGGCGTCGTTGGGGAGGACCATGCCGACCAGCGAAGCGTGGAAGCTGCGGACGCGCCCAATGTTGTTCTCGGCCGCCCACGTCTCCACCAGGCGACGGACGCTGGCACTGGAGTACATGCCGTGCGTGATGGTGCCGGGCAGGTTAGCGTAGCCGGAGAAGACGCGGGACACGTGGATGGGGTTGTAGTCGCCAGACACGCGGGCGTAGTTCTCGTTGGAGGCAGGGGCGCGGAGCTGGAGGGGGGTCTTGCCGTTCAGAGGGATGGGGTTCTCAAAGTTGATGGGCTGGTCCAGAGGCGAGCCGTTGCGGGTGAGGTAGTCGATGACGGGGTTGCCGTGCGACTCGCCAGCCTCGTAGTCGACGCTGGCCACCTGGATTACCTCCTTCGTGGGGAGCTCGAGGAGGACCTCGCCACGCGTCTCGACGCTGCTGAAGACATCCTTGCTCTTGAAGCGCACCAGGCTCTGGAGGCGGAACGTCAGCGTCTGGCCGAGCAGCTCAAGCTCGCTGGGCATCTCGTCCAGGTTGAACCACTGCTTAGATCGCAGCACGGCGACGTCGCGGCTGGTAGCGAGGTGGATCTGCACCGGTGTCTCTACCTTGCGCTGGAAGGTGTTCTCGAAGTCGGTGTAGGTGCCGCGGTACAGGAACTGCGACGTCACCTCCATAACAGGCTTCTGATCACGGACAATGGTGCCGCACACCTCGACCATCTTGCCAGAGTCCTGGTTGATGATGGCGTTGATCTGGGCAGTTGTCGACACTTCATCTCCCTTCTTAAGGGGCTCCGCACCGGGTATCATACGGAACTCATTGGACAGGTGAACTAGCTTGAGCAGGTCACCGTCAATGGTGCGCGGGAAGATGGGCTTAGTGATGGCCTTCCAGCCAACGACAATGGCAAAGTCCATGGGAGCGTATACCGTCTTTCCGGGCCGGTCGACAAAGGCCTCACCAGTGTTACCGACAGCGTGGATGAAGTCGCTGATGGCTTCACCAGTGATGGTGGTGCTGCCGCCGTCAAACTTGCTGGTGACGAGAGCGTCGAGGTCCAGGGGCTCATCGCCGAACCAAGCCTTCCAGTAGAACTCCTTGATGCGGTCGTTGCGACCCTCCATGACCTCGTGGATGGGGGCGTAACCAGCCTCCGGCAGGTACTTGAACTTGAGGGTGAGAGGGTACGGCTTGCCCAGGGCAGTCGACTCCTTGATCAGGTTGACCAAGATCTCGTTCTTGCCCGAGAGCTTGACTTCGATGACGTTGACGTACTGGTTATGGCGCGGCTGCTCCTTGACGATAATGGTCGTCTTGGCAGGGTCCTTGGGGTGGTGTACCTCCACAAACAGGCCGCGGGCGGGAGCGAAGATGCGGCGCATCGGGTTGGTCTGGAACTTCTTACCCTGAGCCACCACATCCGAGGTGAGGAGGGCATACCTCCAGTTGCGGGTGGGGCCGGCGAGCAGCGCCAGCCAGGCGTCCGTGTCGGGCATAGTGGCTGTGACGGATGACGAGAGGCGGTAGGTGTGCTTGTCAGCATCCTGGCTAACGGTCAAGCTTTCAATATCCTCGGGAGCCTCAGATTCGACCAGACTTCCGCCAAAGTACTCGACAGTGGGGATCTTGGAGGCGTCACCACCATAGTAGTCCTTGGTGAGGTACTCGATGTGGGTCTCGTGGATGCCATCCAGGATGCTCTTGATGGGCTCGTCGAGAACTGTGGAGAACCTGGCGGCCGTGGGTCCCTGAAGGACACAGGTACGGCCAACATCCTGGTCGATGACGGCATCGAGGTCCTCGGACTGCCAAAGGGAGTCCTTCTTGAAGAAGAACTCAAAGTTGTCATCCAGAGCGGGGACAAAGGTGACAGGCTTCTGACCGGGCCTCATGCATAGGAGCAGGAAGTGCTGAACATCCTGAGCGTTGATGATCTGCTCCTCCGACTCGGGGTAGTGAGCCAGGATGCGGTCAACGGCCTCGAAGGGCTCCTCCAGGTCGGCGTAGCTCTGGAGCATAGAAGGCTTGCCAGGGGTCTGGGTAAGACGCTCCTCGACGCGGTGGATAAAGTCACCGGTGAGACGGGTGTACGAGGGGTCGATCCACCTAGACTGGTGCTTGACGTAGAGGAGCTCCACAAGGCGACGGACAACCTCAGCGTAGGTCATGTCCTCGAGGTCGACGGTCTTGCCGTTCCTGTCACAGCCAAACCAAACCTTCTGGAAGTCATCGTTGAGCTTCTTGATGATGTACTCGCGGTTCTTCTTGAGCTCGGCGACGCGCTTCTCCTTGGGAAGGCTGAAGATCTTCTGGTCCATCTCGGCCCAGAACCTGACACCGCGAGTGGCCAGCTTGTGGATGGGCTCACCCATCTCGGAACGGACAGTGATGATGCCACCGGCCGGGCCCTTGTACGTCTTCTGCCACTCGCCGTCACCGACACCGGGAGCATCGACGATGGCCTGCTTGGCGTTCTTGCTGGTGTGGGCCTCCTTGGCGACCATCATGCGACTACCGAAGAGACAGCCGTCAAAGGGCATGGGAGGGTAGCCGTAGTCCCTAGCCCACTCACCGGTGAGGTAGGGGTAGGTATCGTCGGCGCCACCGAAGCCGCTGCCGGCAACCAGGATAATGTTCTCCTGGCGGCGGATGCGGCCGTACATCTGCAGTACGGGCTGGTGGAAGTCCTCAAAGGAGTGGTGGCCACCGGCACGACCTCCGGTCCACTGAAGGAAGACGGGGAAAGTGGGGTTGGCCTTGGCAATGTTGATGACAGACTGGATGGCATCGACAGAACCGGGCTTGAACGAGATGTGCTTCAGGCCAAGAGTCGTAATGTACTCCTGAGCAACCTCAATGGAGGGGACACCAGCACCGATGGTGAGACCCTCAATGGGCACACCCTCGGCACGGAGCCTGCCGAGCAGAGGGATCTGCCAAGCCATGGCACGGGGGTTGACGTAGATCAGGTTGACTGTGATGCCACGACCAGCGGGGATAGCACCCTCGATCTTGATAAGAGCCTCCGTCATACGCTTGCCGTTGAAGTAGCCACCACCAGCCAACTCGATGTGGTATCCGGCATTCATGGTGGCCGCGACAAAGTCCCAAGGGACGGTGGCGGGGGTCATACCAGCTACGAGAATAGGAGGCAGACCGAGGAGCCTGCTCATGCGCGTGTCGACATAGGTGGTGCCAGTCGAGGTCTTGACGAGTCGAGGGCTGAACTCCTTGACCCAGTCAATGGCGTACTTGACGGCGTGTTCCTCATCGCGATCAAACAACTCAGGCTTGTAGCCGACCTCCTTGGCAGTACCACTGATGGCACCAGCAAGGATGACGCGGACGCCAGTACCCTCCTTGTTGCGGCTGGTCAGAACACCGAGACCGGAGACGCCGCCAGGGCCGAAGTCGAGGATGTGGGTGGCCCCGGGAAAGACGGTAGCCTTCTCCCAGTTGACGGGGTCACGGGTGATGAGGCGGACCAGAGCGGGGACGATGTTCCCCTTGACTTGGTCGCGGAGGTCCTTGCCGGTGTTGGTGTCGATGACGGGCATGCCCAGGAGACTAGCATCAATATTGATATCCTTGAGATCCTCATCGATCATGGCGGTAGCCTTCTCAAGGTAAGTGCTGTGGAAGGGCGCGGTGATGGGGAGGAAGCGGTTGGAGAAGCGAATCTTGCGCTCCGTGTATGGAATCCTCGTCTGGTCAAGGCCAGTGGGAGCCTTGACCCTGCGCAGCTGCGAGTTGAGACCGTACAGCGAGGTGGGAGGGCCGGTAACGACCATGTTGCGCGGGCTGTTGATGAGCGAGATGCTGATATGACGGTCGGCGGGTAGGTACTGGTTGGTGGCATCGATGTGCTTCTGAACCTGCTCCTGCGACAGGTCGCGGATGCTGAGCATAGGAGTGGGTGTGCCCTCACCGTTCTCCTGGGACTCGCGCAACATGGTGGGGGTCATGGAGGTTACAGGGAAGGCCTGCTGGCTCCTGGCACCGATCCAGAAGAGGATGGTGAGGGTGGAAGCGACGATTTCCCTCCACGAGTCCCACGACTCGGCGGCGGCAGTGGCGGCAGCCATGACGATGCCCTGGGAGTGACCAGTAGAACCGGCAAACCTCTCGCGCAAAGCACCGGGGTCCACGCCGAGAACTTTGCAGGTAACTTCGTAATGCGCCATCTGTACCAGCCCGATCAAGGGGAAACTGACGGGGGCGGAGATGAGGTAGTCGACATCAGGGGTCGAGTCCGGGTTGTGTAGCCAGGCCATGATGTCGAGGCCCTTGGGATAGATCTTCTCGGCACTGGGATCGTTGGAGAGGGTCTGCAGAACCTCGGCCGACGAGGAGACGAGCTCGGAAACAAAGGTTGGGTAGGTCTGGTAGAGCTCTCGAAGCTCCTCAAAGTACTCCTCAATGTTACCTTGACCGCCAAAGATGGAGAAGATCTTGGCAGAGCCGTCATCGGCGGCCCTGAAGAGAGCCGACTCATGAGGCTTGATGGGGCGGTTCAGGACGGAGCGGGCAGAATAGTAGCTGCGCACAACGCTGAGCTTTTTGGAGTCGATGCCCTGGAGGCTAGCAGTGAGGGCGTGAACCTCGTTGCCGTTGAGGAATGCTCGCTCAAACTCGTTGAGGACGATCTTGAGCACCTCCTCGAAGGTGCCCTGGTCGTCGTCTTCTCCCTCCTCGATCTCGTCGGCAATGTAACCAAGGTAGCCAGCGACGAGCTCAGTGACGGATGAGGGCTCGTCATCTAGAGCCAGGTCGTCTGTAGCGGCCGGAAGGGTCGCAACAAAGCGGTCCTTCAGCTGGGCGGCGTGGAAGTGGAGGTTGGTGGGGAGGAGGAAGGAGGTTTCGAGAGAGCCATGGGAGAGGGTGAGAGGGCGGAGAGAGGCATTGGACCTAGGCGTGGAGATGCCCGTTTGCGGGCCAGTACCCGTGCCGTACATGGTGATGGTTATGGCGGTGGTGGCGGGAGTAGTAGGTGTTGGTGTAGGGAAGGCCGGATCGAGGGAAGCTCTGGGCGACAGAGGGTCAGCACACTGCCACGAGACAGAGGAAGGGGGGACAGCAAAACTCACCTCTGCCAGCGCAGATGTATGAGATCCCGGGAACTGCAACTCCGCCTCGCTGCTAGAGGTGATGCAGATGATTGATCTGCCGGTGCACAATGGCGCCAGCACGCCCCGAGGTAAGTTCGGGGGGGATTAATAGCAGAGCAGCGCACAAGCTCGGCTCCGGAAAGTAGTAGCTGTTGCAGCCCGAAGCAAGGGAGAGTATGGAAAGAAAGAGAAGGGGAAAAGGAAAACGAAGAGAATTACAAAGACGGTATATCCCTAGATGATGGCTGGGTATGAAAACTCTCTTCAGGGAAGGGGATATGAGGAGGAGATAGTTTGGGATTGTACAGGTAGGCGGTGGGAATTTTTGGGCAAGGCGGGATGGTTGGCATTGGTACACACCACGCAAAGGGCATTACGCCTCAAGTACCAGTGGTCACCACAATTGGCTACGGAAGGGTTGGGAGGCTCAGGCCAGGGAGCAGCCACAGGGCGGGGGAGAGAGGGAGGGGTGGGAGGGGAACGATTATTACCACGTATTGCTCTGGTACTGCTGACAGCCATAGGGGTTATTCGATCATTGTTGTCTTGCTATTAACGCCTATCGGGAAGGGTTACAGTGGACATGAAATACTCCCGACAGTCGAGAGGTATTACTCACTTGGAGGCCTAGAGGGTTTTTCCCCTTACTTTAGCGAGGGAGATGTGTGGTCCCCCTTCAGTCGCGCACCCAGATGTTCGACGGACACCCAAATTTTCACACTTCTGTTGGGGATAAGGAATGGGCGGGACAGACACCCGTTATCCTCCGCTAAGCCTACGCCGGAACGGCATGTATTACAGTGGATCACTAGCAATCAAGCCTCCCAAGCGACGACTCCGAGGCCTCTGAGCTACGGGTAATCCGTATAGTGGGTGAGAGCCATTGGTCCATTGAGCACTGAGCTATGAGCCCCAACCCGGTAAAAAAGGACGTCTCCACTCATATGTCTGGTCTGATCTGAACAAGGGTTTTTTGTTCACAGGGTCCAGCCAGGTGGCAGCCCAGCAAGCCCAGCTGCAACCCACTAAAGCACCATCCATGTATCGATACCTGCTCGACCCTTTTTTTTGTCCCTTTTTTTTTGCTGGTTCTCTATTTTGCTCAGTTTGGTTGTTGACGACGATGTTTGTTGAGTTGGTACATGACATGGCCCATGATGGCTATAATAGCACGCTTATTACAGACTCTGACAATAGGTACTTTAAACTTGACAGTGAAGAATTTTCATGTACTCCTCTTTTGCGATTCTTCTCGAAGAAATCCGCATCTTTCCCTGCCATGCTGCTTGATTATACAACAATACTTGTAGTAGTGGTAGCTAGTTGGAGGCATGGAATCTAAACAATCGGTGAAGGCTTGCCGGTCTATAATACTTGCTGAACATCGTATGGTACCGCTTGTTGAAGGGCGTGCATCATGACTGAGCACTATCCCCACACAACAGGTTCGATTGGGGTTTACTCCGTACGTCGTGAGCTGTACTCGTGGGTAACCTAGCATCACACTGGCAGTCTCCCACCATTCAAAACCAGCATTGATAACAATTCTCAGACGGCATATCAGGACCACTACTGGGTAGTTATGCATGCACACGCATCATACCACTTCGATTCCCCCATCAACAAGGATCAAGTCCTGGTGGCGTAACGTTGTTGACAGCCTCGAGCCGTTTGGGGATCGAGCCACCAACGCGCCTGTCGTGCCACGCTGTTAACACTCTTACGGACGAAGAGGAGGGACGTCCAAGCAGGTACCGGTACCGCCACGGCTTTGCTGATGAGGATCAGAAATTTGCTGCAGGGCCCAGGTTGCCGGGCAGAGTGGGTGCTATGAGGATGAGGCTAGCAAACCGCGGAGTAAACAGTTCTTGGAAAGCAAAGAGGCTTCAATTTCCTTCCATCCATCTGTAATAAGCACTCTGCTTCGTGCTCGACTATCTCGCCTCATGAGATATGGTAGCAGATATGGAATCATGCCTTTTCTTTCACTCCCATGATTGAGTGCATCCCGTCTGGAAAGGGTAGGCGTCAAGGAACGTAATTTCCCCCCATTGTTGGTCAGCTTTGTTGAACTACAATAAGATGGGATTTGTTTGCCCACCAGATAATGCCACACACGCACACACACACACACACAACACACCTACGCCACGCAACACATGGATAAGAAATCCATGTTTCTGCCAAGTCACGCCGGCCCGTCCACCCTTTTCAACTCCGTATTTTGGTATGAATGGTCTGCGGCACGAATGGGCTGATGATGGTGCCCCAAAAATTTCTTGCTGTGAGACGCATCTCTGGGGAGGGCATGTCGTGGAATGGGTACCACCATCCCTGATCGGGTTTAGCTTTCGATATGGTTGAGAAGCCCGCTGCAAGGGCCGCTGGCGGCGCCTCTTGTCCCTCTTCTGGGTGCTCTCGAGCAGTATTACCCTCCTGCCTGCTGCCTATGGACCAGTGCCCTGTCAAGAGTTTGCAAGCCATCGATGAATGGGCCATTGTACATGTAGTATTAGTAGTAAATGTACCTGGAATACGGAGTAGCAGGGTAATACTGCGCCCGTAGTGGTAGCGATACAAGTGGCTAGGATATTGTACGGAGTAGTTGATGCTGTATTTAGCCACCGCCAGTCACCAAGTAAGAGCCAAACCCATCATTTTCCCACGGCTTCCGGGCCTCTCTCCCCTAGAACATGTACTCGTACCCGTAGTGTTAGGCATCTGATGTATGAGTTTTTTCCCTTACGAGAGTCGAGAGCACTGTTATTCGTTAGTAGGTTTCCCGCCCTCAACTGGGCTCCAACTCAACAGCTACGCCAGGGTCCCACCTTTCGTAGAGCTGACCGCCTACCATCCTCGTACCTTCCTTTAGCCCTCCCTCCTCCAAGTGCTTTCCAAGTGCTTTTCTGCTTTGCACCCCATCGTCCCCATCGTCCCCATCACCATCATCCTCCCTCTTTCGCACCAGGCTGACAACCAAGAAAGCATCAAACTTGGTCGTCTATTGCCGCGTTGTTGCATCATACCAGCGGCGAAATCTCTTCCCTCCCCCTCTCCCTCTCTTTCTTCTTAATTTACACGTTTAGTAATTTTCCTCCCTGCCCGAAAGACCCCCTCCTCAACTCGGGTCTGAGGCGTTCTTCATATACACGACTTACCTTGTCCCGAGCGTCATTGGCTTGACGACTCTACACGAATCCTACTACTCTCGGCCACAACAATTCCATTGTACCTCCCTCCGACATCCGATCGCCCAGCATGCGTCCTGAGGTCGAGCAGGAGCTCTCCCACACTCTGCTCATTGAGCTCCTCGCATACCAGTTCGCTTCGCCTGTGAGATGGATTGAAACTCAAGATGTCTTCCTCGCCGAGAAGACGGCGGAGCGTGTGGTCGAGATTGGTCCCGCCGATACCCTCGGTGTCATGGCCAAGCGCACCATAGCTTCCAAGTACGAGGCATACGATGCCGCCAAGTCCGTCCAGCGCCAGATTCTTTGCTACAACAAGGACGCCAAGGAGATCTACTACGATGTCGACCCTATTGAGGAGGAGCCAGAGCCCACCGCTGCCGGCTCGTCAGCGGCAGCGTCTGCCTCGGCGGCTCCTGCTTCTGCTGCTGCCCCTGCTGCCGCCGCTGCTCCCCCACCGCCCAGTGCTGGCCCTGCCCAGGCGGTTGCCGATGAGCCTGTGCAGGCCGTCGACATTGTCCGTGCTCTTATTGCTCAGAAGCTAAAGAAGCCCCTGCTGGAGATCCCCTTGTCCAAAGCTATAAAAGATCTTGTCGGTGGTAAGCTCTATACGCCATGCAATGACCCCCCAACCAAGCCCTGGACAACACAATGCTAACCAGAACCTGTCCTCTAGGCAAGTCTACCCTTCAGAATGAGATCCTCGGTGATCTTGGCAAGGAATTTGGCTCAACCCCCGAGAAGCCCGAGGATACTCCCCTCGACGAGCTTGGTGCTTCTATGCAGGCTACTTTCAACGGCAGCCTCGGCAAGCAGTCGCAATCCCTCATCGCCCGTATGATCTCTTCCAAGATGCCTGGAGGTTTCAACATGACCTCTGCCCGCAAATATCTCGAGACGAGGTGGGGTCTCGGTCCTGGACGCCAGGACGGTGTTCTTCTCCTGTCCCTTACTCTGGAACCCGCCTCCCGTCTCGGAGCCGACGCCGATGCCAAGGCCTTCTTCGATTCTGTCGCTCAGCAGTACGCCACCAGCGCTGGAATCAGCCTGTCTACCGCTTCTGCTGGCGCCGCGGCCGAGGGCAGCGGCGGTGGCATGATGATGGACCCTGCTGCCATTGACGCTCTCACCAAGGACCAGAGGGCTCTCTTCAAGCAGCAGCTCGAGCTGTTTGCCCGTTACCTCAAGATGGACCTGCGTGCCGGAGACAAGGCCCACGTCGAGGCCCAAAAGTCCGAAAAGGTGCTGCAGGCCCAGCTCGACCTTTGGACTACCGAGCACGGCGACTTCTACGCCTCTGGTATTGAGCCCGTCTTCAGCCCGCTCAAGGCCCGCACCTACGATTCGTCGTGGAACTGGGTCCGTCAGGATGCCCTCAGCATGTACTATGACATTATCTTTGGCCGACTCCAGGTTGTCGACCGTGAGATTGTCAGCCAGTGCATCCGCATCATGAACCGCTCCAACCCCAAGCTGCTCGAGTTCATGCAGTACCACATCGACAATTGCCCCACCGAGCGTGGCGAGACGTACAAGCTCGCCCAGGAGCTTGGCAAGCAGCTGATTGAGAATTGCAAGGATGTCCTCGAAGTCTCCCCTGTCTACAAGGATGTGGCCGTGCCCACTGGTCCGCGTACATCGGTCGATGCTCGCGGCAACCTGAACTACGAGGAGGTTCCTCGCAGCAGCTGTCGCAAGCTCGAGCACTACGTCCAGCAGATGGCCGAGGGCGGTAAGATTTCCGAATACGGCAACCGCACCAAGGTCCAGAACGATCTCCAGCGCATCTACAAGCTCATCAAGCAGCAGCACAAGATGTCCAAGACGTCCCAGCTCGAGATTAAGAGCCTCTACGGCGATGTCCTCCGCTCCCTGTCCATGAACGAGAGCCAGATCATCCCCAAGGACAACGCCAAGGGCAGGAAGGTCAAGAGCGCCGCCCACAGCAAGGGCAAGGTTGAGACCATCCCCTTCCTTCACCTCAAGAAGAAGACGCTCCACGGCTGGGACTACAGCAAGAAGCTCACCGGTGCTTACCTCAATTGCCTCGAAGATGCCGCTAAGTCTGGCGTCACCTACAGCGGCAAGCATGTTCTCATGACTGGCGCCGGTGCTGGTTCTATCGGTGCCGAGGTCCTCCAGGGTCTCGTCAGCGGTGGTGCCAAGGTTGTTGTCACCACCAGTAGGTTCTCTCGCGAGGTCACCGAGTACTACCAGTCCATGTACACTCGCTTCGGCTCGCGTGGCTCTCAGATTGTCGTCGTACCCTTCAACCAGGGCAGCAAGCAGGATGTTGAGGCCCTTATTGAATACATCTATGACTCCAAGAATGGTCTGGGCTGGGATCTAGATTTCATCATTCCCTTCGCCGCCATCTCGGAGAATGGTCGCCAGATCGACTCGATTGACTCCAAGTCTGAGCTAGCTCACCGCATCATGCTTACCAACCTCATTCGCCTACTGGGTTGCGTCATGAGCCAGAAGTCCGAGCGCGGCTTCGAGACTCGCCCCGCCCAGGTTGTTCTGCCTCTGTCTCCCAACCACGGTACCTTTGGTAGCGACGGTCTGTACTCCGAGTCCAAGCTGGCTCTGGAGACCCTGTTCAACCGCTGGTACTCGGAGAACTGGGCCAACTACCTTACCATCTGCGGTGCCGTCATTGGATGGACCCGTGGTACTGGTCTCATGTCCGGCAACAACATCGTCGCCGAAGGTGTCGAGGCCTTTGGTGTCCGCACCTTCTCTCAGCAGGAGATGGCTTTCAACCTCCTGGGTCTCATGTCGCCTGCCATTGTTGATCTCTGCCAGGCTGAGCCCATCTTTGCCGATCTCAACGGTGGCCTCCAATTCGTCCCCAACCTCAACGAGGCCATGACCAAGCTGCGCAAGGATATCATGGAGACGAGCGAGGTCCGCAGGGCTGTCTCCAAGGAGAGTGCCATCGAGAATGAAATTGTCAACGGTGCCGACTCCGAGGTCCTCTACAAGAAGAAGACCATTGAGCCCCGTGCCAACATCAAGTTCGACTTCCCCACCCTGCCAGACTGGAAGGAGGAGATTGCTCCCCTTAACGACAAGCTCCGCGGCATGGTCGACCTCGAGAAGGTCGTCGTCGTCACCGGTTTTGCTGAGGTTGGTCCCTGGGGTAACTCACGAACCCGTTGGGAGATGGAGGCCTACGGCGAGTTCTCCCTCGAGGGCTGCGTGGAGATGGCTTGGATCATGGGTCTCATCAAGAACCACAACGGTCCTATCAAGGGCAAGCCCTATGCCGGCTGGGTCGACGCCAAGTCTGGCGACCCTGTCGACGACAAAGACATCAAGGCCAAATATGAGAAATTCATCCTCGAGCACTCTGGTATCCGTCTCATTGAACCTGAGCTCTTCGACGGCTACGACCCCAACAACAAGCAGCTGCTTCACGAGGTCGTCATCGAACAGGACCTTGAGCCCTTCGAGGGCTCCAAGGAGACTGCCGATGAGTTCAAGCGTGAGCACGGTGACAAGGTCGAGATCTTTGAGATTCCTGAGAGCAGCGAGTACACGATTCGTCTCAAGAAAGGTGCTGCCCTCTGGATCCCCAAGGCCCTGCGCTTCGACCGTCTAGTTGCCGGCCAGATTCCCACCGGCTGGGACGCCAAGCGCTACGGTATCCCCGAGGACATCATCTCCCAGGTTGACCCCGTCTCCCTGTTCGTTCTCGTGACCACCGCCGAGGCCCTGCTTGCTTGCGGTATCACCGACCCGTACGAGTTCTACAAGTACGTACATGTTTCTGAGGTTGGTAACTGCATTGGTTCCGGCATGGGTGGCTCTACTGCTCTGCGTGGCATGCACAAGGACCGCTTCCTGGACAAACCTCTGCAGAACGACATCCTGCAGGAGTCCTTCATCAACACCATGTCTGCCTGGGTCAATATGCTTCTCCTCTCGTCGTCCGGTCCCATCAAGACGCCCGTTGGTGCTTGCGCCACGGCCGTCGAGTCGGTCGACATTGGATACGAGACCATCATGGAGGGCAAGGCCCGCGTCTGCCTGGTCGGCGGTTTCGACGACTTTGGCGAGGAAGGCTCGTATGAGTTTGCCAACATGAAGGCCACCAGCAACACGAATGATGAGTTCGACCACGGCCGTACCCCCAAGGAGATGTCGCGTCCCACGACGACGACGAGGAACGGTTTCATGGAGTCGCAGGGTTGCGGTATCCAGGTCATCATGACTGCTAAGCTCGCCCTGGACATGGGTGTCCCCATCAACGGTGTCCTGGCCCTGACCACGACTGCCTCGGACAAGATTGGCCGCTCCGTGCCCGCCCCGGGACAGGGTGTCCTCACCACTGCCCGTGAGCATGCCAGCAAGTTCCCCTCGCCCCTGCTCGACATCGACTACCGCCGCCGCCAGATTGAGCGCCGCAAGAAGGCGATCAAGCAGTGGCAGGAGGATGAGCTCGAATACGTCTACGACGAGGTCCAGGCCATGAAGGCCCAGGGCAGTGAGTTCAACGAGGCCGAGTACGCCCAGGAACGCATTGACCACATCGAGAAGGAAGCCGCTCGCCAGGAGAAGGAGCTCCTCCGCAGCATGGGCAACAACTTCTGGAAGAACGACCCCAGCATCGCTCCCCTCCGTGGTGCCCTGGCTACCTGGGGCCTGACCATTGATGACCTTGACGTCGCCTCGTTCCACGGAACGTCGACCAAGGCCAATGACAAGAACGAGTCGAGCGTCATCTGCCAGCAGCTGCGTCACCTCGGCCGCCAGAAGGGCAACGCCGTCATGGGTATCTTCCAGAAGTATCTGACTGGCCACCCCAAGGGTGCCGCCGGTGCCTGGATGATGAATGGCTGTCTGCAGGTGCTCAACACCGGTCTCGTGCCGGGCAACCGTAACGCTGACAATATCGACCCCGTCATGGAGGACTTTGACCTCATTGTGTACCCCAGCCGCAGCATTCAGACGGACGGTGTCAAGGCCTTTTCGGTCACGTCATTTGGTTTCGGCCAGAAGGGTGCCCAGGCCATTGGTGTCCACCCCAAGTACCTCTTCGCCACTCTGGACGAGGCCACTTACACCAAATACTGCGCCAAGGTCGAGGCCCGCCAGAAGAAGGCGTATCGCTACTTCCACAACGGCCTCATCAACAACACGCTGTTCGTTGCCAAGTCTGAGTCGCCTTACTCCGACAGCCAGCTGAACAGCGTCCTGCTCAACCCTGACGCCAGGGCCAGCGCGGATGCTAAGACGTCTGAGCTCAAGTACGCCGACAACTTTATGAAGCAGTCGGAGAAGAAGGTGTCTTCTAGCAGGGCTGGCGAGACGCAGCAGGTCATGGAGGCTCTGGCCCAGAAGGTGGCCAATAAGAACAGCCGCGTCGGTGTCGACGTCGAGGAGATATCGGCGGTCAACATTGAGAACGACACATTCATCGAGCGCAACTTCACCCCCAACGAGATTGCCTACTGCCAGAAGGCTCCCAGCCCTCAGAGCTCTTTTGCCGGAAGGTGGAGCGCCAAGGAGGCCGTCTTTAAATCTCTGGGCGTTGCCAGCAAGGGCGCCGGTGCTGCTATGAAGGACATTGAGGTTCTCAGGGACGAGGACACGGGTGCTCCTATGGTCAGGGTAAGTTTCTTTTTTTTCTAATGTTTCTACTCACTCCAACGATCTGCCTTTCTCTCCCCTATGACAAAGGCCAAGGTTGACATCGTACTAACCAAAGATATCACAGCTCCGTGGCGAAGCCGCTGCCGCTGCCAAGAAGGCCGGTGTCCAGGACATTACGCTGTCCATCTCACACTCGGATAGCCAGGCCATTGCTGTCGCCGTTGCCAACTTCTAAGTGTTTGTGCAGCTGCGCTGCAAATGTGTACCATGGGAACGAGGGTAAAAAAGAATGATGAGATCTATGCGTTTCGTCATGTTTTGGAGCGTTTTATGTTTGTTTTTGTACTTTTTCTATTCCAATGCTTATTATTTGATTGATTCAACGTCTCAACGTCTGTTTGAAAAGAAAAATGTGGGAGGATTTGACATCTGCACTGGGAGCGTCGAAGTTCAAGTAGACGCAGGTATTTAATAACAGTAGTAGTAATTAACAGTGGTAGCAAGTACTCCTCTTGAAATTCCTCTACCTAATATCTCCTTTGTTTTTCTTATTCGAGCCAACTATCTATTGTGCTGTTCTGTACTCTGCAGCGATGCAGATGTGTTTTTGTTTGTAATCTACGTAGTGCCGGACCCCGGGAAGGGAAATGCTATCTTGACAGTGTAGATAGGCATACATATACGTAGTGAAGCCCTTGGCTTGCTCTTCCAATCCTCGTGTGCTTGGCATGGGGGGGGAGGGCACATAGTCATGGTCTTTTTTTTTTTTTTGCAAAGAAATAATATCCCATGAGGACCAACTTTTTGTTGTTCCCTTCCTTTCCTCCCGGGTATATGCCAGAACACCAGACCAGACCAGACCAGGACCGAACCAGGCAGCAAACAAAGCAGCAACAAGACACAAGGACCAGAACAAATAAGAGGAAGGTGCGGGAAGTAATTCATCAGAATCGTTTCGTGCTTCGTTGACCCGAGAGCCGGGGAGACGGACAGGGGAAATCATTGACCGCGTCCACCCCTCCCACGACCGCCCCTCCCGCCTCCGCGACCACCACGTCCCCTGTCTCCGCCGGCGCTGCCGCCACGGCCGCCATAGTCCCCTCTCGAGTGGTGGTGGTGCCCTCCGCGACTGCCGCCCCGGAAGCCGCCGCCTCCGCCCTGCTGGCTGTGGTGGTTCTTCTGCTGCTCGGCTACGATGTCGATGATTTCGTCGGGGACGCGAAGGTATTTGATCTGCGTGGTACCCTGGTAAGCTGAAGAACGCACACACACGAGGAAATGGGTCGGCGAGAGATATAGAGGGGTAACGTACGTTGTTTCCCTTGACGTAGACTTCTGGTAACCGAACAAACTTGTCGCCTTCCTGTGGGGGGGGAGTTAGTCACTGGGCAGAAGGGTAAGTGCTGGGCATCAGCAGGACGTACGGGACTCGTCCGGACTACCTCCTTCAGGGTGAGGTTCATCCAAGTATCGCAATTCACCAGGTGGCCGTTTAGAGTCTCGCCATTCTTGAGCTCGACGAGCATGGGGTGGCCTTGGGCGGCGTTGAGTAGACCGAGAGGTAGCTGCGGGGCGTCATGTCAACGCGGGAAAAACGAGAGGGTGAAAGCGACAGCGGCGGGGGGGCAGCTGGATCGTCTTTTCTCTTACCATGGTCTCTGTGTGTGTTGTTGCTGGGGGGGGGGGGGGGGGGGGGGGGGGGGGGGGGGTGGAGTTCGTGCGTGTTAGGCAGGCGATGGGGGGAGGTTATGGGCGATGATAAACTGTGTGTGACGCTGCCTCGGCCGCAACTTTCCGGTTCCTCTAAATTTGGTCACGTGTGCTAGCTAGTCTGAGTGGTGATTCACTGCCCCTCTAGGGGGAGAAAAAGAGACGCTCTTAAACTTTTTTGATTTACTATTTCATTATAATAAATTGGGCATCACTCTCTAATATTTATCCATCAGTTTTGTCATACTTTTCCGCTGTTTTGGTTGGCAGGAAAGCAGAACAGAGCTGTCCCTATGTTGTGTTCTGATAAGGACGGTGTCGAGTCCAACGGTATAGATGACAGGATCGACACATGAGCAAAGACCGTGTAAGAGGAACGACGGGGATTGCGAACGGCGAGAAGGTATCTCGGGGACGCTAGAACCCATCGCCTCTAGCCTCTCAAAGTAGGCCCCTAGAGGCAGCGTCACACACACACTCAAGTACGTTAGAGCTTTTGCATTCGGGCGCATTTGCATCACCGCTCTGATACGTGCATTGCCCCGGTTGATGCATATATCAGCAACCGCAGGCGGCAGCAACAACCTTGTCTCCTCAGTCACAGTCCCGACAATGGAAATACGGAGGCTTTGATATCCACGCCTTTTTTTTTCTTTTGTCTATTCTTCTTTCTAGCACAAGGAAAAATCACGATGCAACGGCCGATGTTATGCGACGGCTTATGGCGCTGCCTCTGTCCTTCCTACACTCCCCGCGCCCTCCTCCGAGCTGTCCAGACACCACTCCCCATCGCCGCACGAAGAGCTGCCAGACAGTGGCCGCACGGGAGGCAGTTCGGCGTAGAGACGCCGAGGGCGCCGACACGTAACGATGGCGGTGACAGCCAAGAAATTGCTTCCGCCGCTACCACCTCCAGGATGGACGAGGTCCTGCTTCGACCGACGCCACCGACTGAAGAGACACTATCGGACACGCCGACCGAGGAGATAGCCGCAGCACTGAGAAGGATGCGCGCGGTCCAAGGGTTCTCGGTGCACGGGCAGAGGCTAGACCGTTACCAGCGCATTCTGCAGCTAGTAGAGCACTTGGTCGGCAAGCGCGGGTGGCCGCCTTCGGACGCCTTCGTGTACGAGTGCATGATGGACGCCATGGCGGATCCGCGCGGCTCGGCCAGCGGCGTGCGCGCTCTTCTGCGCAGCACATGGTCGGATGCCGGACCGAGCGAGATGGCGTGCCGCAGCGCCCTGACCGCGCTGTCGGTGCATCCGGACTACGCCCTCCGTCAGCAGGTCCTGTCCGCGATGCGCACGTACTGGATGGCCGAGGACGACAGGGATGTGGCGCAGAGCGTGCTGGCCGCCATGCTGCGCGAGGGCCAGGTCGAGATGGCGTACGACCGGCTGATGAGGTTGGTGGACGACGGCGAGCGCGTGGACCTCTGGCTGTACGACGTGTTCGTCGTGGTGCTCGCGCGCGAGGGCCACCTGGATGAGATGCTCAGCGTGCTTCTGCGGCGCAAGCAGGCGAAGGGTGCAGATCACGCCATGCTTAGCCTCACGGGCCACGCGCTCGACGTGTGCGCCGCGGCGTCGCACCTCGACGGCGTAGTCTGGGCGTGGACGGCTGCCGTACGCAACGACCGCATCCAGCCGTCCGACGGGGTGCTGGAGAATGTCCTCGCCACGGCCGCCCGGCACGGCAACGTCGGCATCGCAACAGAGGCGCATGCCATGCTCTCGCGTCGCGGGAGAGTGCAGATCCACCACTACGAGGCCCTCGTCGATGCGTTTGCCCGCGATGCGGATGCCCCCGGGGCGCTGCGCGTCCTGAACATCATGCAACGGAGCGGGTTCCGCGTCGAGCGCGAGCATACACGGTCCGTGTACGCGCTCCTGCGCAGCAGCGACAACGACGTCCTCGACGCGGCTGAGGCCGCCCTGCGCGAGATGGCCGACGAGTCGCAGGATGGCCGGGTGCCCCCCGGTATCGTCTCCGTCGTCGTCGAGGCCAGGTCCAAGAACCACCGCGGTGGCAGCGACGCTGCCCACGCCCTCTACGCGGATTTCCGGCACCTCACGGGCGAGGACCCCGCCGCCTCTACAATACAGGATATGATCCTGCACAGCAACGTGTTTGACCGCACGCGCGGCTACCTGGACGACTACAAACGCCTCGTTCCCGGCGATGAGCCCCCGCCGCAGAGACTGCCCATGGCGGCGAACAAGCTCGTGGGGATATGTCTTGACTTCGGAGAGCTAGGCCTCGCCTTCCTCTTTGCTAGGGGAAGCATCGGCCGTCACCACCATAGACGAGGCGATGGACACAGCGGCGACGTTGCCCCCCCCTGGCTGAGGAGACTGACGCAGATGGCCATCGAGGCAGAGGACAACAGGCTCTGGAAACTATTTGACAAGTTTCAGAGGGCGGGGCATCAGGCCGCTGTTGTGGTGATTCAGAGGACTGCTAGGCTTGTGCAGGCTAGACGGAGACAGGACGGTGTGTCGTCTGAGAAGGTGGAGGGGGAGGGTAGAGATGGATTTCCCCGGTCGGTTGCTGCCAGGGAGAGGACATGAGGTTCAGTGTATACGATTTGAGTCGGCGGCATCTCGTCGCGGCATCATTTGCCGAGGCTATCGGGGCTATCGGGGCTCATCCGTGTCTTATAGTCGGCGGTGGAGTGTATAGATGACAGGGTATTTTGCATCATAGTTGACATTGATGGATGTCTCGGATCGCATCCTCAAATGTTTCCACAGTCTATATATCTCAGCAATAAACTGAACAGCTACGAGACCAGACGACTTCACTTGGAGGAAAGGGGAAAGGGGTGCTACAGTACTTTAACCTAGAACACGTGCCTTGTTCCATTAATTCATCGCTTTTCTTTCCGATTTTTTTTCTGCTTAGTACATAAAACAGGCTGTCAGAATCTACGAGTAAGGCCATGGTGGACAGAACAGGAGAAGATTGGCAGTCTAAAGAAACACTGTCCTATACCCGAGCACCATCGTTAGACACAATAATTAGAGACAAGTGATGTGCAAACAGGTGCAGGCGGAGTGAAAGAATGCATATTCAGTAGACATGTGCCCTTCAGGCATGTCTAACATCTCTGGCGTTGGTATCGAACAAGAAAGAAGCAAATTTATAATACACCGAAACCCTCATAAAAGAATCTCCAGTGAAACTAGAGAAATCCCCGTCCCGACTGCGTGTAAAAGTTCCACGCACCCTGCTGCTGCTGTTGCTGGTCGTGAGGCTTGCCTTGCTGTGCCCTCTGGGCATCCACACCGAATAAGTCAACCCCGTGGGCCGTAGAGGCAGCGTTTGTGCCTGTGGAGAACGGGTCGTAGTATGGTGCTTGCGTTTGCTGCTGCGGATGTCCCGCCGTAGTGCCGTACGAGTGGTGGCGCCCGTCTGCGGGCTGAGAGACGGCCGCTGCGGTCCGGCCGCGCTGCATGTCGTTGGGGGAGGAGGCCGGCGTAGAGGCCCAGGCGTTCTGCGGCAGTTTGGTGGCTGCTTCTTGTGCCATGGCGGCCATGGGATCGGACAGGGTGGGAGAGGACGTGTCCCTACCGCCGAGGGTGTCGCTCCCGCTGTAGCCGTGGGAGCCATACCGGTCGGGGTCGCGCTGCTGCATCATGGCCTGCTGGTGCGAAAAGGGCTTGTAGGTGATGTCGCTGGATGCGTTGCTGTTGCTGCTGACGATGGGGGTGCGTCTGCCGGACTGGCTACCGCCGTCATTGTATCGTAGGTAGGCGGGTGAGGGTCTCCGCGTGGTGGAAACACCAGCCAGCACATGGGCCTGCCTCTGCACCCGGTCGGGGGCGGGACGCGGATAGGCACTGCTGTTCTGCTGGGAGGGTGAGAGGCGTGATCGTGGCGGTGCCGTCGCGACAGGACGGCGGGGTTGCTGTGACAATCCTGGCGATGGCGATGATGACCCGGCCGATGCCGATGCCTGCATCATCTGGACATCCCTTGCCGATTGCTGTTGCTGTTGCTGAGGTTGCGGCTGCGACTGCCGCTGCTGCTGTTGCTGCTGTTGCTGCTGAAAAGGCTCGTTATGGCGCTGGTGATAGCCGTGCTGGTTGTGTTGGTCATTTCCAACAAAACCATGGCGAACACCGTTGTCTGCAGGGGCACTTCCTGTTGCTTCCGTCCACGGTGTAGAAAAGGGGGGGTGGATGGAGAGGTTGGTACTTGGGTCAGCGGACGCATGTGCCGTCGGCATGTCGGGGGTCCCGCCCATCTGAGGCGACATACTCGTCCTCTGCTGCTGTGAGAGATTGGCGAGGGGAAGGGCTAGGCCAGACACCGACTGGGAATGAGGTGTCGGCTGTGGTTGCGGAGCTAGTTGGGCCGGAAACTCCGGAAGCAATGGAGGTAGCTGCTGATGCTCCATCTCGGTATCATCATGCTCTTCAGCATCGTACTGCCCCTGCTCCTCTTCAACTGGCAGCCGAGGTTGCTGCTCGTCGCGGGCAATGACGGTAGTCCCATCACCATTATCGCCCTCAGCAACCGCGGCCTCTGACTCCCTCTTGCGAGGCTTCTGAAGCGGATACTCGCACGACTGGCCCGTCGACTGACACTCGGAGCAAGAAGGCCTGTCCTTGGGGCACTTCGCCCTACGGCTCTTGCACTGGTAGCAAGAGACGCGGGACTTGCCAACCTTTCTCTGCTTAGTGGACCTGCCGCCACCGTTCTCTGTCTGCTGCTCCTCGACGCCACCGCCCAGGGCGAGCTCCTGTGTCGTCATCACCGGGCCGGTGCTTGAATTCGTGGTGTTTTCCGAGGCATCGTCGTCGTTGTTGTTGTTGTTGCTACCGTTGTCGGTCTGCTGCTGCTGCTGTTGCTGAGACTGGGAGCGAGCCTTAGCCTGTGGGTGGACGATCTGAAGCTGCTGCGCGCCATACTTGGCCAGCATGGCAACCGAGTCTTTCTGGATATTGGGGGCCTGATTGGCGAAGATATTCATCTGCTCCGTCGAGAGGGTGTCCGGGTCGACGCCCGCGTTGAACAGGAGCTCCCTGGCCGTAGCAAGACGACGAGCCGCCTCCTCCGCTGAAACGCTTACGAGTGGCACGTTGCCATCCTTTTGGCCAGAAACAGCAGGTTGTTGTCCTTGCTGCTGGCTAGAGGAAGAGGCCTCGACCGAAATGGCATCCCCCATAGGAACGACCGGTGCAGGGGCAGTCTTCTTATCACGCTTGCGCTTCCTGGGCCGATCCGCCTTATCGCCATCCGACTTCCATGGCCTCTCCCTCTTATCGCCTCTGGGATTCTCGCTCCTTGGCTTCTTCTGCTTCTTAGGTGTGTTCCTGATCTCCAGCTGACGCTGGTATCCAGGCCCTGGCTCGCGCACTCGGACGGGAAACTTTTCCTTCAGCTGTCCCACCGTCTGGTGCATGAGGGTGTGTGAATATTGCACAGTGATGGAGTGGTTGCCACGGTTGAAGCAGACGGAGATTGATCCGCGACAGTCAAATGCGGGCCGGTCTGCTTTTTTTGTACGTCTCACAATTAGTACGGTAAGACGAGAAGGCGGGAAGAATGAGAATGACAGGCTCACCCATCAGGGCCGGGTCAGGCACCTGGAAGCTGTAGGCGCCAACGACAGTCTTGGGCGGATTCTTCGCACTCTGGCGAATCCATTCCTGATATGATGCGCCGCATGCATACCGCAACGTCCACCCATCACGACCCCTCGACAGGCCGCGCAACACCCAGCAGCTCCCATCTGCAGCGGCGACAGCCCGAATAATGTTCTTGCCCACAGCTCGCTGCCGCGCAGGATCGTCAGTCTGGTTCACGATGACCTGGTTGGCCGACACGACAGTAGTCAGCTCCTCAGCGCCACCGCTGAGCAACGTGTCCATGACATTGACGGTATTGTCATCCTCCTCCTCAGAGTCGGACTGGACAAGCGTAAACTTTGTCGTGGTTCGCAGCTCGTACGCGACGCTGACGTGCTCGGCCCGCGTCTCCGTCACCTTCTGCTCCAGCACGACCCGCAGTTGCGCCACCATTTCGTCGACGGATGCGCATCTCGAGTCGTTGGATTGGCGGGGTGCATCAGTGCCGAAGTCGAAGCTCTCGAGGAAGTCGACCATTTCGGGTAGCAACCACGGTGGTGCGAATTGCGGCGGCTGTCGTTGTTCTTCTCCTTCTTCTTCACGGTTACCATTGGCTAGTCGGGAGGCTTCTGCCTCGGTCGCTGACGACGGTTCCTGCTGTTGCTGCTACGGCGACCTTCGCGCTGGTCCGGCCAACTGGCACGCGTGTCGAGGTGATGGGGGCGACTCAGGCATCGCATCAACTACGTTTTCGAAGAGGAGTCCCAGCCCAAGTTCTGCCCCTGCAGCTGTTGCTGCCGTTGTTGGGCTTGATGATGTTGTCACAGGCACGGGAGCAATGATTGATCTCTTTGGCATCGGCGTATGTGTACGTGTTGTAGAGCGCCACCCTGTACCAATGTCCGCGTCGTCTTCGCTGCTGCTGCCGTTATCATCGCCATTTTCGAGTGTCTCCATGATGAGATGTTGGCAATTTACCCAAGTTGGTTTGGATTCGAAGACGGGGCTTTTTTTTATTTTTTTTTTAAGGTTGGGCTTTACAATGATGATCCAACCTCCATTTTTTTATAGTCGTGCGTTGGCTGAGATTGAAAATCCGAGCTGAGCTGCTTCTCAGATCATTATGCAGACAACCATTCACTCTTGCCATACATGTACGTCTCATATCATTCACATTGCCACTCTTTGTTGGCAGGATATTACAACGCACGAGCCTCTCTAGCGTTCTCCTGCGAATGCATCGCCAATGACCTCCATTTAAAGAGGATAGACAATCAGATGAAATAAAAACAAAACATGCACTTTACTTACGTCAAACACCAGTCAATAGAAATAAAAAAGGAAAGCCATGACATCATAAGGCACATATATATACATACCACTCACGCCTGCTCAACCCACTGCTCAATCCTCTCAATCAAGTCCATCTTCTTGCCAGACGTGCTGAGTCCCCTAGCCACCAGCACATCCTTGAGATCCGCCGTCGTCATCTTCGTGATCGCGCCGCTCTCCACAGCCGCCTTGATCTGAGCCAGGTCGAGCCCCGGCTTGCCACCACCTGCCACCGGCACACCACCGCGGCTCTTCTTGCTAGGCCGTTCAGGCAATGCTGCAGAGTCATCTGGATCACGCTTTATGGCGCGTGTCTGACGCGCTTTGGCGGCTTCCTGCTTGAGCGTCTCCGACCAGTCCTCTAGATAACCCCCGGCACGCTTGCTGATGGCCTTGTACTTGGGCTCCGTAGCGTCGTCTGCTTTGGAGGGGACCTCGTCTTCTAGCGCCATGGCCTGGAGGATCCTGTAGTGCCACTGGAGGCTGGGGTTGGGATACTTGAGCGGATTGTACATTGCTTTGGGGAGCTGGAGCTGCTGCACCACGGTGCGCATCTGGTTCTTGAGCTCGTCGGAGCTCCTGGACTGGTTATCGGGGGGTTTCGAGTCCCTCAGGTCATCGATGAAGGGGAGAGGGTACAGCCAGAGGCCCGAGGGGACATGGGGGCTACCGCGGTCGTCATCCGTGAGCTCCTTAGAGGGCAGGATGGCCACCAGGACAGGCTGCGCGTTAGTTCGCGTGATACACCATGCTATGCCCATCTTGCTGTCCCGCACGAGCTTCTTCCACAGGGACGTGTACACGCGCGTGGACCCCACGTAGTCATCCTCGCTTGGGTAGATGAAAGTGCTCTTCTTCACGCTGGCCCACGGCGGCAGGCAGTCGCGTGGTTTGAAGCCGATGATGCGGATGATGGGTGATCCGAAATCGCGTAGCTGTCTCTGCTCTTCTGGCGTAAAGTAGACGTACTCGCCGCCAAATTTGTACGCTTTCCTGATCTCCTGTCTTTCCACCGTCCGTGCGCTGTCCTCGGCGATTCTCGTCGTCTCGCCCGTGGCAAGCTGGGGTTTCTCGCCTTCGAGCCAGATGTAGCATGTCCTGGCAGGCGTCTGCCTGTGCACCACATTGTACCCCTTGACCGAAATCCTCAGGCCAGGGGCGATCTCAAAGGGGACGTTGGAGAATAGCGCCCTCTTAGCTGTCTGCTTAGAGTTGATATTGGAGATCAGCGAGGACAGGAGAGACAGGCCATCTCCTGACTTCGAGTGTCGGATCTCGGACATGTTGGCCTCACCCGCGGTGGCATCATGGTAGATGATGTCCTGGAAATGATCAGACAAGGTGGATACGGTGTTTGAGGAGGGGAGGGGGTCAGGCAGCTTACATCGTAGAACTGTTCTACGCGAAAGGTGGCATCGCCTCGTACAACAGGAAATATATCAATCGTGACTCCTAAATCATACAGATCCTTTGCCCTTACAGCGGCGCCCGACTTGGCAGCCTTGTCCGACCCGTGCGGGTCATCATTGTCCGTGACGATGAAGAGCCGCCGGCTGCCAAAGTTGGCCGCCCGGGTGGTGAAGATCTGGTTGGCGCAGAAGAGCATGCTGGACATGAGCACCGTCTCCTTGGTAGGCTTGAGAACCTCCTCCTCGTCCTCGCCCTCCTCAGCCAGGGCCTTGAGCGCCTTGACGTCCTGGGCGTCCGGGACGTTGAGGTCCGTGAAGAGGTAGCAGTGGGGGTAGCTCAGGCCACCACCACCACCACCACCTCCTCCTTGTTCATCCTCCTGTCGACTACTGAATTTGGACTTTTCCGTGCCGAATAGCAGGACGCCCATCAGATCCTTTGGATTGGAGATGATGCGTTGCTCCATGAGATGGTAGGCGCATTTCAAGGCTGCCTGGACAGGGCTGTCCCGGTCTGCCTTTTTAGAGTCTGAGGGGAGAGGTGGTGTGAGCATGGTCTCGCTCACTTCGACAGCGAAGAGGATGGCATCCTTTTGCGCCTTGTAGCTCTGTGTATCCATGCACTCGTGATTAGCAACATAATATCAACTCCTTGGAGCGGGATGCATGTGCGTACAGTCTCATCAATATCCTGGTCCGCCTCGTCCTCTTCATCTCGCCTCCAATCGTCTGCCATGACTGCCACAGAAAAGTAAACGCGTTACTTTGGGAGTATTATATCGGGAGAACAGATGAGATGACAAGACGGTTGCAACCTCATGAGCAGAAGAAGAGCCGGCAGTTCGTGCTATTCACGCCGTGTGTACGTTCGTACGATACACGCGGGCAAGCTATAGTGGGCCCCTCCCGTACGAGTAGGCAAACGCGCCTCAGCTCTAGGAAAGCGGGATATGCATCGCGAGATCACGTGTGCTGCTTACCACGGGTTACTTGCCCACCATGTCATTGGATGCGAGCGATCAGGGAGGAGAGGTACATGTGTCTCTGCCGATGGTCTAGCTGGGAAGAAAGTACCTCTCCGAAGCTAGTACGTGTACGATTACTAGTAATTAGTAGCGATTCGCACCGTAAAAAGTGAAACAGAAAAAGGGTTTGGAATCGTTCTCCCAGCTTTCTGTCCACGTCGGAGCTAGCGACGTCCGAGGGGCGGATCAGTATTACTTGTACATCATCGACTTCCCTCCATACGAGACCCCCGTCTCTACTTTTTTTTTTGTCTCGATCTTTTCTCTGTACATGTACTCCTACTCACTCCTGCTAATTCCTCCCCAACTTTTACGTCGCTCTCACTCTCTGTCTTCATCACAGAAGTAAAAGAGCCAGCCTACTGTCGACCAGTTCCTTCCATCTCTCCCGTCTCGTCTCGTTCCAGAGTCCGCGCGATCGGGCGCGGCAAAAAAAGTCATACACTACATACATACATCATGTCATACCGGATCTCGACACGACTGCTGCCCCAAGTGGCAGTGACGCCCTTCCGGACCCCCCGACTCGGCGCAATTCAGACGCGATGCTTAGCCACCCAGGCGGTGCCACCGGTAACTCAGGATGCGACGGGGTCCAGGGGGCCTACGGCCATGGTCTTCCTCAATATGGGAGGACCTTCAAAGACAGACGAAGTTGGCGACTTCCTCAGCCGACTATTTGTACGCTGACACGCTCTCAGCCAAAAGGAAAACTTTATCATGGGCGTGAATGTATGGCTAACGAGCAAAATCGACAGTCTGATGGAGATTTGATCCCCCTAGGAAGGCTACAGTCGTACATTGGCCCTCTGCTGTCGAAGCGGAGGACGCCCAAGATCCAGAAGCAATACTCCGTCATTGGTGGCGGGTCTCCGATTCGAAAGTGGTCCGAGTACCAGAACGCCGAGATGTGTAAGATCCTGGACGAGATCTCGCCGGAGACAGCACCGCACAAGCCGTACGTGGCCTTCCGCTACGCCAACCCGTTGACTGGGGACGTGTACCGGCAGATGCTGGCGGACGGGTTCGGAAACGGCAAGGGCGGGCGGGCCGTGGCCTTCACGCAGTACCCGCAGTACTCCCACTCGACGACGGGCAGCAGCCTGAACGAGCTGTGGAGGTGGCGCCACCGTCTGGAGGGCAGGACGACGACGACGACGGGCAACAACAATAACGGCAACGTTAGCATTGGTAGCGGCAATGGCGAGGACGAGGGCGCCATCAAATGGAGCGTGATCGACCGGTGGCCGGCGCACAGCGGCCTCGTCGAGGCGTTTGCGCAGAACATTGAGGCCAAGCTGGCCGAGTACCCCGAGGAGCGCCGGCGACACGTGGTGCTGCTCTTCTCGGCCCACAGCCTTCCCATGTCCGTGGTGAACAAGGGCGACGCCTACCCGGGCGAGGTGGCGGCCACCGTCTACGCCGTCATGAGCCGCCTGGGCTTCTCCAACCCCTACAAGATCTGCTGGCAGTCCCGGGTCGGCCCCTCGGCCTGGCTGGGTCCCCAGACGGCCGACACGGTCGAGCAGTACATCGCCAAGGGCCAGACAGACCTGATCCTCGTACCCATCGCCTTCACGTCGGACCACATCGAGACGCTGTACGAGCTCGACATCGAGGTCATCGGCGAGTCCGGCCACAGCAACACAATCAAGAGGGCTGACAGCCTCAACGGGAGCCCCGTCTTCATCAGGGCCCTTGCTGACATCGCAAAGGGGCACCTCCAGAGCGTCCAGTCCTCTGTTGCCTAGATGGACTTCTGCTGCCCTAGCTGCAAGAGCGCGAGCGGTGCACTGAAATCAAGAAATCCTTCGCTATAGCAGGCGCGTCTGTAATGGTGAGAAGGTGGTGGCTTGATAATGGATAAGGCTTGCAAGTGCAATGCATGATAACAAAAAAAAACAATACATTATTTGTAACATTTTAGATGCATGTATGATTATTTTGATGGGAATAGGGAGTGCAAGAATTCGTTGAAAACAAATAAAGCTACTACTATTGCTCTATAGACGACGCACTTGTGCTAGTATAGTTCTCTACCAGTACTACTACGAAGCCTGTGTACGCGTGTGTGCAATAGCCATAGGGCTCTCGAGGCTCTTTGCATAGGTGATAGTAGTAATAATTGATACTCGTACTCGGACGCTTTGACTAACGACAAATATGTAGGCACCGATGGGTCATGACTCATGAGCCAGGCTGCCAGGACCCTTGAGGAAAAGGACAGCTGAAACATCTGGTAGCAAACGAAGGTCGACAGATGATTGAAACAAAACGCCATTTCCAGTACTCTTCTACAGAAGGGACTCTCAACGCATCATTTCACGCGAAGCCATGCTGTATTACTCACTCGACAGGTAATAACGTAATACTGATTATTACCAGTGCTGTAATGCTATTCCTCTTCTCCCTTTCCCTTCATTGTCTATGATGCCGGTCAGTCGCGGAGTGAGTGGTCCTGAAAGAAGAAGAAAAAAAAAGAGCATAGAAAGACCAAAAAATAACGACATGGGACGGATTTGAACCGCCGCGTCCGAAGACATGAGATATGCCCTATTGAACCCTAGAAAGGATCGTTCGAGTCTCACCCATTAACCACTCTGGCACCATGCCTTGCTTTGTAGTAGGATGATCGAGCAAGGTTATTCTTGACCTTGGACGATGGCCGGGACTTAGGGATCAGCAACTTCCATCCAATTCTGGGCCCAGAACAGAGGGGGGGATGCAGGGCGCGCACACGAGGGTTGGGCGACACGACGGCAGTCAACTGCAGTGCCACAGATTGAGGTGGCGTATCATGCGGGCGGACAGAGGCTATTCCTCTACTGTTATTACCGCACATTCTGGCATGTACTAACATGTGCCGGTGGCTTTCTGAGGGTGGCTTGCGCCTATTGGTGATGCATCCTTTGACGTTGGGATTACGACGCACGGGTCAAAGACGTACGAGTCCTGCGAGGATTACGAGCATTCTGACCTGTACGAGCACTCGTATGAGGTCGGCGCTATTGCTGCCGGAAGTAGCAATTACACGAAGTCTACAGGAAAAGAATGGGGAACCGTGCATCCTTGCCGCAATCGGGTTGGGGTTGGATGGTATGGACCATGGGCCACGGGAACCGAGAAAGAGAGACGTGGCCTGTGCTCTGTCGACGTTTAATATGGACGCCTATTCCTGGCTTTTGGGGCGCTAGGTATGTACATATATAATTGCACACCACTGTATGATAAAACTCCATGCCGTTCTTGACTTTTCTCCCCTTCATTTTTTCTTCGGCACGGGATACGCAAGTAAGAAATAAAAAATAGCCGGCAACTTGCGGCATTCCACAGATACGGCAATCTATTGGGCTCTCTGCTGTCTCTCCTCGAAAACTGGGTGAAGCTACAAGCCGAGGGTGCAGCAGCCAATGTGCATGTAATACAGCATCAGTAATACAGCACCGGTAATACAAGGTGTATGGATCGACAAGTGTCATTATACAAATATCACTTATATAACGAAGCACTATTAAGGTATTACGACGTATTGATACGCTGTGCTCCCTACTTGTACTTACGACATTGGTACGATGTAATAATAATATTGCTCCGTACGAGTACCCATTCCATCGACAGCATAGGAAGAGAGGAAAAAAGCAGGGGAGAACAAGAGACAGAGTACAGCTACCTACAGGCTACTAGGTAATACCAAGCCCAGAGGCCAAATCTCCGTGACCCCCTTTCATCTCTTAAGGGCCTCTATAATTACGGTTGGGTCCCATCTAGCCAATCAGAAGGACATATATGTATTCCCCTGCTGCTAATAACTTGGTGCTTGGTTCCCCCAGAAGACGGCTATGAGAACTAATCCAGGGCAGGAATGGCGTATTTCAAGCCCCTTTTACTTCTTTTACTCTTTTTTCTTTTCGCGCGCGTGTGTGTGTGTGTGGTGAGTTCAGGTAATGAGAGAAGGGGCATGAATGGCCTGTCTGTAGGCAGTAACAATACCTACTTACGGGCTGCTGGTATGAGTAGTATTAGGGGATACAGGGAATAACAGTCAACGCCAACCGTTGATTTCAGTGACCTCCAGAACCAACACCCGCTATAATATTCACCTCCCAGACGGTTGGCAGTGAACACTCGACGAGCCAGTAGATGGCCCACTACGGGCACCAGCACATACTCTTTCCCCTATCATCAACGGTCGCCATAGCACCAGTCGTACCAGTCCATTCTCCTGTACCCGTGTACCTTGCCCCCTCCTCCCCTGTTGCCAGTTGGCCACCACCGAGAGCTGTACCTCACCCCTGTCCCTCTCTCTGCGTCGCTCCTCCTCTCCTTTGCCCTGCCCCTAACTTTTGGTCTCTCGCTCCCGACCTCGCTTTCCACCTTCTTCCCTTTTCTAGCCCGTCCCTTTTTTTAATCAAACCCCCCCTCCCCCCGTTATTACTTCATTCTTCTTCGTCGTCGACAGACTGCGCATCGTCCTTGCCGGTCCATCGTCGATTCTCTGTTTCTTCTCTTGGTCGACTCTGCTTTTCTGCCATCAACTCTCTTGGGAGACGCTAATCGTTACGCGTCCGTGACCCTCCCTAGGTAAAGACGCCCTCCTGAACATTCACCTATCCACCGACGAGACCAAGACAAGTCCTTCCCCTTCTGTTTTGGCATCTCCCGCAGCAGACACACGAGAGACGGTTCCGATTGTGCTCATCTACAAAGACCTGAGTCGAGTCGTGCCATCTTGCGAGCTCTCTTGTCGAGCGGCTGCTTCTTTCCTCCCCCCCTTTAGCCCCTTGTTTACACACGCCACGGCTTGTTTGCTAACACATCACCTAGAAGCTCGTGCTTTCTTCCTCTTTTCATCTTCCAGACCGACCGACCGCTCGTTACTACTTCAAAATGGGTAAGAACTACTACCACTACCCCTTTTCCTGCAGATTGGCGTTGTGTGGTGCGCTTCGAGGCCAAGTCTCGAGTCATCCTTCTTTCTCTCCCCATCGGCCCCTCCAACCAAGCTCTCTCCATACCCACTGTCCCGCGCCTCTCTTGGATTTCGACCCCCGCGACTGCCGTCCTGCTCTCGATGTTTCCTGCTCGTCCCTCTGATTCACACAATATCCACGTTACCGTATAATGGAGTAGCGCTGGGCTGGGCTCCCGCTCCCATGGTGGCGTGCACATCCTCGATCTCAGTGGCAAGATGAACACATGTAATACCGACATCGATTCCAACTGAAAAACGCTACCATGGGTTCCAATACGGCTTGCGCTCGAGAGGCCCCCCATGACAATGGCAGACTCAGTCATACTTTGCATACGTATCCGCATTGCCTGGGGGTGCCCCAAGATTCCGCGGACATGCCGCTCCCACCCTTTCCCCACGACGACGACGAGCAAGCATTGGATGAGAAGATTACGGGGGCCGCCACCTTCAAGCGGCCCAAAGGACGCGGAGAGAGCTCTCAGGAAACTGAAATGGATGGAGCCCAACCCAGATGTCCATCCGTTGACGCGGATGGAACTTATGTCGAGGTTGAACAGCGGGACATGGTGGATGCAACTCGTCAGGGATACCCTGCCTCTGCACCAATAACTATGTATATCGAGCCATACTTCAAGGAGTTTTGCTAACCAGTATCTTCCAATAGCTTCTGCCGACGTCGCGCCCGCTGTGGCCCCCTCGTCTCCGGGAAACAAGGACGACATCATGGAGTCTGTCCAGGGTGTTCCCGCGACTGACCTCTCTACCCTGACCCCTCAGGCCCCCACTGCCCAGGAGAACCAGAACATTGTCCGTCGTAAGCTGACTGGCTACGTCGGCTTCGCCAACCTCCCCAACCAGTGGCACCGCAAGAGCGTCCGCAAAGGCTTCAACTTCAATGTCATGGTTGTCGGTGAGTCGGGTCTGGGCAAGTCGACTCTCGTTAACACCCTCTTCAACACCTCCCTGTACCCCCCCAAGGAGCGCAAGGGCCCCAGCCTCGACATCATCCCCAAGACGGTCACCATCCAGTCCATCAGCGCCGACATTGAGGAGGCTGGCGTCCGCCTCCGCCTCACTGTCGTTGACACTCCCGGATTTGGTGACTTTGTTAACAACGACGAGTCGTGGCGCCCCATCGTCGACAACATTGAGCAGCGCTTCGATGCCTACCTCGACGCCGAGAACAAGGTCAACCGCATGAACATTGTCGACAACCGTATCCACGCTTGCGTCTTCTTCATCCAGCCCACCGGCCACTCTCTGAAGCCCCTCGACATTGAGGTCATGCGTCGCCTCCACACCAAGGTCAACTTGATCCCCGTCATTGCCAAGTCTGACACTCTCACCGATGAGGAAATTTCCAGCTTCAAGTCGAGGGTACGTAATCCACTCCAGCCTATGCTCTCTTCTGGGCGTAACATGACGCAGCAACGACGAATACATGTGCTAATCTGCCATAGATCCTCTCCGATATCAAGTACCACGGCATCCACATCTTCGAGGGCCCCAGGTACGAGCTGGACGATGAGGAGACGATTGCCGAGAACAACGAGATCATGTCCAAGGTCCCCTTCGCCGTCGTCGGTGCCACCAACGAGCTCAAGACTCCTGACGGTCGCAAGGTCCGTGGCCGTGAGTACCCCTGGGGTATCATCGAGGTGGACAATGAGGAGCACTGCGACTTTGTCAAACTCCGCCAGATGCTCATCCGCACCCACATGGAGGAGCTCAAGGAGCACACCAACAACCTGCTGTACGAGAACTACCGTACCGACAAGCTCATCGCTATGGGCGTGTCGCAGGACCCCAGCGTCTTCAAGGAAGTCAACCCCGCCGTCAAGCAGGAAGAGGAGCGCGCTCTCCACGAGCAAAAGCTCGCCAAGATGGAGGCCGAGATGAAAATGGTCTTCCAGCAGAAGGTGGCCGAGAAGGAGAGTAAGCTCAAGCAGTCCGAGGAGGAGCTGTACGCTCGTCACCGCGAGATGAAGGAGCAGCTCGAGCGACAGCGTATGGAGCTCGAGGACAAGAAGCAGCGCATCGAGAGCGGAAGGCCGCTCGAGAAGGAGGGCAAGCGCAAGGGTTTCTCCCTCCGATAAGCTCTCTACGCAGTCGTGGTTCCCGTGACGGTGCCAGCGTGCTTCTTGCTTTCTCCCTCCATTCCACGATGAATGCCCGAGTTTCCCTTGCCATGATGCCCATACAATACCAGCTCGACGCTCTCCCTCTTTTTCTCCTTGGCTGTTTTACTTTTCGACAACTTTTTATTCCCACTTTCCGCAGCACTACTACCGCCACCATCCTCTTCTCTTCAATTCCCCCGAAGGAGCCTTGATTAACGCTACGATGGCCGTCTAGATACAGACCATGCAAACAAAGGTTGAGGGATTTGTCCTATCTTCTTTTCTTGCATGTAAGCGCCTAGAAAACAATGGCCCAATATAACATGGTCCAATATTAAGGCTCTTTTGGCGATATACGGAAATGAAGGGGTTCGCCTGGTAATTCTACGGAAAGTTGTTCCTCTGGCGCGGGGTTTTCGTGGCCGACACGTGTCGAAGACACACAAATACCTGGTTTCCTTTTTTTTATTGTTGTTTCTTTATTTCCTGGTGTCTCTCCTCTCTATATCTCCTTTCTTCTCTTTCTTTTTCTTTAATCTTAGTAACATCAAGGAGCATAGTTTAACGGCACCTTGTTCTCACTGTCATTTTTTTTTCCTTGGAATGGGAATGGCTTCTTGTTTCTTGGCCTTGGCCTTGGAGACGACGTGGAGAGATGCGAGGTGAAATGTTTCTTGTGTTAGGTGCGAATGGGGGGAAGCTGAAAAAACTGACATGTATTTTGAGTTGTTAGGTTGGGACAGGCTGCTTTGGATGTCTCGACATCCGCGTATGTCTAGGCTTTTGCGTATTTCTAGTAATTGTTTTTCCCATGTTTTTCTGACTGTTGTGTTCCTTTGCCATCTGTGATGTGCTCTTGATATTTCTGTCTTGGTCATGTCTATGCCATGTTCGGTTGAGCAGAGCCTCTAAATCCGAGTCGAAAGGCTGGATATTGCAGTTGAACGAAGTGCAAATAAGCCCATTACGAGCACACCATGTAAAGACTGAATCATGATAGTATACAAAAAGAGGAACCCCTCGGCCTCCCTTATCCTTTTATCCTCGACATGTCTATGACAAGGGGGGGGAGGACAGACATGCATACGACAGTGGCAATCCTTTGCCACGTATCAAAAGAACAGAAGACCACTCAGCGGCATGCCTTCTCTTCTTCTCGTGCCTGCCCCCCTGTGCCACCGATATATTTGACGATGTCTTGTTTCCATTCACGCCGGCTGACTAAACCACCCCCCCCTCGATAATTTACCTCCTCCTCGCATTCCGGACGAGAAAAGCGCCGACGACACCAGCCACAACACCCACACCGCTAAGGATGGCCACGCCCATGAGCCCCTCCCTCGCCACCTTGTCGTCGATGAGCTGCCGCAGGTTTGAGGCCTGTAGGTTGGCGGGCTCGCGCTCCAGGAGGAGATCGTTGTAGCGACGGGCCTCGGCGTAGCTACCTAGCTTGTAGTTGCCTAGGGCAAGATAGTACAGGCACTCGCGGCGGCGCTCGGGGGAGACGCGGAATATTTCGGATAGCAGGCGGACGCCTTGTTGCTGGTCTGAGCGGTTATCGGATTTGACAAGGCCCTATGCGCGTGCGTACATTTCACAAAAGTGTGAGCTTTGAGAGGGACAGCAAGAATGGAGAAACATACCCAGGCGTAGTTGAAGCGGGTCTGGACACCGGCCATGTCACCTTCTTTTTCATATTGGGCTCGTAGGACCTGGAGCTCGGATGGGCTCAGGGGACTATCGTTCTTATAGCGTTAAGAGAATAATGTTATCTAGTCGAGAGAGGGGAGGAGAGGAGATTAAAGAAAACGTACGTCTCGGCATCGAGTGCGTCTGCGTTGACATTGTTAGCATGATGATGGGACAGGGAACAGAACAAAGAACGTACAAGGTAGCTCGGTCATCATGGTGGTCGTTGGAATGGCGGTTTACGTATTTCGGGGTGACTCGTTCTGGAATACGTGGATAAAAGCGTGCGGGTTTTCTAGCGTCTATGAGGATGCAATTGCGATTCGTGATGCGAATGTTGGTTGTTGCCGTTAGGAGGAAGAGTGTCCACGGCTCAGGCGTCCTTCGTCATGTGGCTGAGGATGTTTCCTGGTGCGTAGGTTGTGGCGTGTGGCGTGGTGGGGGAGGAGGGGAGGGAGCGGTCTAAAGGACGGGTAAACATCGGGTATTGTTTTGCCACAATCGCTGGGGAGACGCATTTGTTTGTATTGGGGGGGGGGGGGGGGATGATGCAACAACGGCTTTAATATATTTGGTCTTTTCATCCGCAATCACTTCTGGTCATAATTCAAGCTCGTTTGCCAACTATATAAAGACAACAATAAGAGAAAAAAGGAAAAATACAAATAGGAGCCAACAAAATGCTGCTCTCTGAAGAACCCGCCACTGTATGTTTTCCCCATAATCATCATGAAAAACCTTACCCCCTATACTAACTGCGAACGCAGCTCATCCACCACACGGTGCGCAACTTCAACATCGACCCGGACAAGCTGGCCGTGTCACGCGTCAACGAGTCGCTGTCCACCCTCCAGCAGGCGCGGGAGCTCCGGCTACGCGAAGCCGAGCAGTCACTCAAGAAGCTCTCACGGCAGCTCAACACGCTGTCTTCGCAGCACGACGACCTGGCCGCGGCGCACTCGTCGACCGACCACGCGTCGCACATTGCACGCCTGGACACGCAGAAGTTCCGCGTCGCCAAGGCCGCCAACGACGCCGAGGTCGAGACGGAGCGCTTGGCCCAGCAGGCCGCCGACCTCTCCGCCCGGCTGCAGGAGCTCGAGCTCCAGGGCGTCGAGGGCGGGGCGGATGACGCGTCGTCGCGCCGAGGTAGGGACCCCGTCGACGACGAGGTCCTGCTGCGTCTCAAGGTCTACCGCAGCCTGGGCATCGACATCGAGCGCGACAGCAGGGACGGCGAGTGGAATCGTGCCGTAGTGCGCAACGATCGGAGGGGCGATGTCCACGTTGTCAATTTGGATAAGAAGTTTTCGCGATACTTTTACGCCAACCATTTCTGGTCGACGCTTTGAGCAAAGGCATGGCGCTGCCTTCCTCTCGCCATGCCCTTTTTGTTTCTACTATCCAGACATGTTGGCATCTGCGGCAAGTATAAACTCATGATTTTTTTTCCCTTCTGATGCGGCGTCGGACCTGTTTTTCTTCTTCTTTCGGGCTTGGAAGTTCTGACATGATACCACGGATTTCTGATTTCAAACGAATACATGTATGAATTACTACACACTTTATTACTCCAGGGTTGTCCAATTTTCGTACCATTATTCATTTCGCTTCGTGAAGTTATTTCGAGACAAGAAAAGAAAAAAAAACCTTGATCATCTAGAAAGATGCATAAGCGCCTTGATGGCTGCTAATGCCTTTTTGTTGCCTGAGGAGACGTATTTCTGCTCAAGGCAAAATACCCATCAGGCTGCTGCGTGGGTGTGAACTTCAGGCGCGGCCCAGACGGCGTACGCGCCCTCGAGTTGTTGGGCGACGCGGCCAACGACGGCGACGAGGCCAAGGGATATGCGGTGGCGCTACTGCTGCTGCCGACGCCGGCATTGGCTCTCGGCGTGCGACTCTTCATCATGAGATAACCACCTTCGCCGGGGGTGGTAGGTCCGCCGTTGGCTGAGGATGACCTGTGGTGGTGGCCGTGTCCGAAGTAGGACACCGGGCGGTCGGGCATCTCGAGAGGAGGGTTGCACGCTGTGCTCCACAGGTCGTCGTCTATCTGGCCGCCGAGACGCCAACCGCCGATACCTTCGAAGTCACGCTCGGCACCGACGCTGGGGACCAGGCCGAGGCCGCGCTCGCCCAGGGACGATGAGGAGGCGGTTGAGCTGCGGCGTCGGCGACGGGGGGTATGGCTGTGGCGTCGCTGATGATGGGAAGTGCTCGGATAATTGGTGGCCCCCGTGTCGTTGTCGACGGCGGCAGTGGTGAAGAATAGTCGGCGAGAAGGCCATCGTGGCGCCAGGGATAGGAGAATGTCTAGGTAGACGGTGAAGACGCGCAGGAGAAGGACGGAGAAGGCCAGGGTGGTGGTTATTCCGGCCAGGATGGCGAGAGGAACGGTGATGAGACAGAAGCCGGGTATCACCAGAGCTCGAACGGGATTGAAAAGCCCCATGTTTGTAGATGGACTGGGGTGTGGCGGTGCATCACCAAGCTGTGATGTGAAGTTATCTAGTCAGAGGTTTCCCACGACGCGATGGCCATGATTCGATCTCGATTTGAATTAATTCGACAAGTACTACCACAGAGTTGGAAGGGGAGGAAAAAGAAGAGCAGAAACAAGGCGAATAAAGGGCTGGCTGTTGGTAATGGTGTGGTTTGGGGCGGGGAAGCTCAGAAATCAAGGAAGGGGGATTCAATCTCTTGTCTCAATCACATGCCAAGTCGGTTCGTACAGGTTACTCTTCTCTCTGCCTCTACCGCGCGCACTACACAACATAGCCTCGCTGCATCTCTCATTGATGGATATGGAGCTTCACGCGCGCACACAGACACATGCACACACATGTTCAGCCTGTATGGGATTGACGGCACAAGATGACATACAATTCCAAGCTTGGAGTTGGATGAAAATCCGGGGTCCTTGACTCCACACATCATCGCGGCTGACATCATTGGCCATCCAGCCGTCTTTCTCACCCACCAATATACAGCTGTGTAGGTAGGTGCACAACGCATTTCCCCTCTTTCCGAGGAACACTTTTCTAAAACAATGATGGGAACAGCACCATCACGTCAACACGCAAGTATAGTGTACCATGAGCCAAACCCAGGACCGGCATAATAATACCGTACCAAGTAGCAGCGACGATGACGGGAGACGTGAGGATGACGCCCCCTTCCCATGGCATCTAGGCGCCGTTGACGCCCACTGCCATCCGACCGACACGATGGGCAAGATACCGTCGATACCAGGGATGCGCACCCGTGCCATGGCTATCATGGCGACCCGCTCTCAGGATCAGCATCTTGTAGCCAGCGTGGCCGACGACCTAGGTCTGGCGGAGGATGACTCCCCCGTCACCTGTCTCGTCGAGCCGGGGCGGCGCTGCTTCGTGATCCCCTCATTCGGATGGCATCCTTGGTTCTCGCATCAGCTCTACGACGACACAGCGCCCAACCCGACATACTCCCCTGCTAACGAGGGCAAGCAGGAGGAAGCCAAGATGGCGCACTACACTGCTGTTCTCGCCCCGGCCCCCAAGGACGCGGACTTTGTCGCTGCACTTCCCGTGCCCACGCCGCTGTCGTCCGTCGTCGAATCGATGCGCGAGCTGGCGGCTGCGCGCCCGCACGCCCTGATCGGCGAGACCGGCCTCGACAAGGCCTTTCGGCTTCCCTTCCAGTGGGGCCCCGACGACGATGCTGCCTCGCGCGCCGCTGGCGGTGACGACGACGAGACCTCTCTCACCCCCGGCGGACGCGAGGGCAGACGCCTGAGTCCCTACCGCGTACGCATCCAGCACCAGCAGGCCATCATGACGGCCCAGCTCCGTCTAGCGGGCGATCTCGGCCGTCCCGTCAGTGTCCACGGCGTTCAGGTACACGGAGTCTTGCACGACACCATCTCCAGTTGCTGGAAAGGCCACGAGAAGGAAGTCGTCTCCCGTCGGCAGAAACGCATGGTCGCCCCCAAAGCAGAGGACTTGCCCGACTTCTCCGACGATGACGGTGACGGCCCTGCGGATCCTGACTCTCTGAAAGATAACAAGAAGCAGACCACGGTAGGTGGCAAGCCTTTTCCTCCGCGCATATGCCTCCACTCGTTCAGCGGCAGCGTCGAGGTTCTCAAGCAGTGGCTTCGCCCTGCCATACCGGCCGACATCTTCTTCTCCTTCTCGTCGGCTGTCAACTTGGGTACCGATGGAGGCCGTGCCAAGCTTGGTGATATAGTCAAGGCTGTGCCTGATCGGAAGATCCTCGTCGAGAGCGACCTGCATGTTGCTGGGGACGAGATGGAGGCTGCACTGGAGGACATGTATCGTTTTGTGTGTCGGGTAAAAGGATGGACTTTGGAGGATGGGGTGGTCAGGATACGAGAGAATTTTAGGCGCTTCATCGTTGGATGAGATTCTTTTTTTTTTCTCTCCTCTCTCCCTCCCTCTCTCTCTCTCTCTCTCTCTCTCTCTCTCTCTCTCTCTCTCTCTCNCTCTCCCTCCCTCTCTCTCTCTCTCTCTCTCTCTCTCTCTCTCTCTCTCTCTCTCTCTCACACACACACACACACACAAGAGCATGTATCCCTTTTTAGTGGTAAATATGAATGAGATGGTTTGAAATGTTACATCCTGTAAAACGGCATTATCATTACTGTAGGTTGTCTTTACTTGGACTCATTGGGACTCATCATCTGCATCGACAAACAGGAAATAGAAGATTCAAGAACGCCCTCCCAGTAGCCAAAACAGAAAAAGTGGAAAGTCTCGCAAATAAGAAAGCTTTGGTTCCATTCATCCTTGTAGCCATAGCCAAGTCTGCCACTTCCACCATCTCCCCTAGAAAATGGCTGCACATTCTGGAACCCGTCCGTCAGCATGCTCCTCAACATCGCACACTCCGTTCTCTTGCTGCTGCTGCTGCTGCTGCTGCTGCGTTTATTGTTGCTGTCGTTGCCACGGCTGGGGACGAGCATTACAGTCCTGATATCCCTGTTCCTCGACCATGCTGCTCAGCATGCTAGCCACCTCCCTGAAGCCAGCGATGTCCTGCTCCATTGTGGTATCGTACTCCTGACATGACACGTCAGGCCTGGGATGTGAGCCAGTACCCCTATGCATGACCGAGCGTCTACCCTGCAAAGATGACGATGACGTGCGTCGGCCGTTACCGTCGTCGCCAACGTCCCTCTTCTCATCCGAGTTGAAAACGCCACAGAGAAGACGGGGCAGGAACGACCGGAGCGCAGATCGACTCCCGGCCACGCGGGCGAGACAATCCTCCCTGGTGTCGCGGTGGATGATGTTGTAGGTCGTGTCGGTGCGGCTGAAGATGGTGACGCCTATGATGGAGAAGATGAGGAAGAGGAGGCCTGCTATGGAAAGGGTGATGAGGAGGTCAGCGTCTTGGGAGGACTGATACTGTGTCAGCTCTTGTTTTTAGGTAAGAGTATTTAATTGGGAGAGAAAGATTTTTTTTTTTTTCAAAAAAAAAAAAAAAAAAAAAAAGACGGAAAAAAAGAGATAGACAGAAGAAAAACCAAGGGATTCGGCGTATGGTGGAATAGGGAATTCGGCAGGCACCGGATCATCCTGTCCGGCCTCGGCAGTAGAAGTGATGGACTTCATGTCATGGCTGTCAGTCTGCGGCCTGCGGATCAGGTAGGAACCGTCANCGGTGCGGCTGAAGATGGTGACGCCTATGATGGAGAAGATGAGGAAGAGGAGGCCTGCTATGGAAAGGGTGATGAGGAGGTCAGCGTCTTGGGAGCACTTACTAGGTTGCAGATAAGAATACCACGATCTACATCCCATCTGTGCTCGAAAGATTTTTTTTTTTTTCCAAAAAAAAAAAAAAAAAAAAAAGACGGAAAAAAAGAGAAAGAGAGAAAAACATACAAGTGATTCAGCAGAGAGTGTAGGGAGCAATTCGGCAAGCACCGGATCATCCTGTCCGGCCTCGGCAGTAGAAGTGATGGACTTCATGTCATGGCTGTCAGTCTGCGGCCTGCGGATCAGGTAGGAACCGTCATCGGCGCTGACCGAATCCGTCGCCGTCGGTTGAAGACGCACCAGCCCCCCGAGCACGACGCCGTCACGATGCTGCTCGTCCAGGAGCGTCCCGGCAAGGTCGACCATGCGGTCGTACATGTAGTCAAAGTGCCGGGGGACGGCGAAGTACGCGGTGGGGATCGCACCTTTCCCGTTGATGGCCAGGGCCAGCAGGACGAGAACCCGTCCCCGGACCGGGGGCCCATCGCCAAAGAAGCATTCCACGGTCCAGCGGGCAGTCAGATGTGTGTCGTGGCCGATGTCCAGCGTGGCCTCGCTGCGGTAGACGTCGCGTGTACTCGTAGAGGGGAGCTCGTGACCCTGAAGGGACACGCCCGTGGTGGTGTCACATGTAGTATCTGACTCTGGCTGGGGGATGTCGACACGGAGTGGCTACTTATTGTCAGATAGGGGCAAATAATAATAATAATAATAATAATAGATAGATACAACCAAGGATAGAATTGAGGGGCGGGAACAAACAATATGAGTGTATACACCTGGCTCCAGCTCTGCGCGAAAGGGGATATCTCCAGACAGGACCTGACTGGCGCTATCGTGTCGAATCTGACGAGGGGGTACCGGGCGTGCTGAGACTGGGTACAATAGCAGAGAAGCGGTCGCGAGGGCAGTAGTGGTAATCTTGACGAGGCTAGGCATGATATCGTGGGGGGAGGGGGGGGGGAGGCGAAAATGTGGATATTAATCGATGGTCAGGTCAGGTCAGATTGCGATTTGATCATACGTCGGAAATAAATGACATGATACTTGGCATCCCACTCACCCTTACGAGTGAGATATCTCGAGATTCAGGGCTGGGCCGATGATAGCACGAGTATTGTCGCCTCGGTGGGCCTAGATGCCTTTTATTCTTTATTTTTTATTTTTTATTTTTTCAAGAAAAGAGTTCTTTAGTGAGGAAGAGGGAGGGAGGGAGAAGAGGATGAGAGAAAGGAGGCGTCTCTGGTAGGAGGGAGGAGGGGGTGGGGGGGGATCGTACAGTGTGATGATGACATTTGGGAGAGAGATGATAGAGTTGCTATGCTGGTATTGATACCGACGACGACGTATACTAGTGGTGATATCAGACTAAGATCTCCTGATGATACGAGGACACGCGTTCTTTTCTTTGTATGTGTGCATCATGTATGGATATATATATATGCTTGTATGTGTGTATCATGTATGTATATATATATGCATGTATGTGTGCGTATGTATATGTGTGTATGTATATGTGTGTGCGAATCCGTGTGTGTGTCTCCTCGCTACGAGTACGAGTACAGTACGAGTACATACATGTACATGCCGATATCATCCCATCCCAATAAGGCAACTTTGGAGCGGACTCGACTTGGGGTACATACAGATTGTAATGCATACAGATTCTATACGTGCAAGGAGTGGAGGGAAAGACAAGGGTGGCTGTGTAAGGAGGCAAATGCGTCTAACTCGTACTCGTGCATGCAGCGAATAATACCGGATCCGCTGCCCACGGACGGACTTTAGACGCACTTACTAAGTTTACTATCTCGTATGCACGGAAGTTGAGGGACGGGCAGACCCGACCTCGATCATCACGGCTGTGAACCAATAAGCATCCTGCAGATTTAGGCAACGAATAGATACGCAGCAATAATACATGCAAGGATCTATACGTTGTATCATTGCCACGGTCAGCATTCCGCCTTTTCGGAAGGATCCGTTGATTATACGTGATGGCTTTGATTTACGTGTAGTGGTAGTAATCGTGATGGTGTTAGCAGCAGCAGCAGCAGTAGTAGTAGTAGTAGTAGTAATGTATTCCCTTGCACGTAGACGTGTCCTGGTATTGGTATTCCGGGAGAAGAGTGAATTCATAATGGCTTTTTCTTCTTCTTTTTGCTCTGGAAGGCTGTCTTGTCGTACAGTTGCGTGATACTAGTATATGTTTCCCAACCGCGCGAGTATGTAATGCGTCATGTTATTATACAATTGAAAAGAGAGAGAGAGGCGGAGAGACGGAGAGAGAAGCGTAAATGCAAGGAGGAAAGATAGCAAAAGAGGTATCCTAAGTAAACAGAAACGACAGTTTTCCGAACCAAATAGTCTACATGCAGCCCATTCATTCATGAGAGAAGAGGGAGAAGTAAAAACATAGAAATAACAGGAAGAAGAGAGGGAGAGAGGGAGAGAGGAGAGGGAGAGAGGGAGAGAGGGAGAGAGAGAAGAAAAGGTCAGTTGAGAAACTCATTCAAGGCTTGGATCCGTGTCTGAGCATCCTCCGAATCGTCATCGATGGCCTGCATAATCTGCATCATGCGTGCTGTGTATTCTTTGTCAGCATTCTTCCTTCTCGGACTCATCCCGTCTTGTTTGGTAGCTACGGAGGACAGAGGACACGGGTAGAGAAGGATGTGGGGGGAGAGGGGGGAGGGACTTACCGATATCAGCCCTTGCCCTGACAAACAAGGGATCCCTCGCCAGGAGATTGTCCGCGTCCCCATGTCTCGCTGCCTCCTCGCGCAGCACGTTGCCGATGCAGAGGGCCTCGAGGAAGGCCCGGTGCTTGAAGACCCACCAGACGCGGGCCTCGAACTCGAGCAGCGAGAAGAGCAGGAAGAAGGAGGTGATGGCGTCGTGGGCGGCCTCGAGCGTGGCCCTCGCGTTGGCCGGCACGTCCGGGCTCTCGGAGGCGTGGACGAGCATGAGGTTGTGGAAGTAGTTGCTGGTGAGGAACAGCGTCTGGCGGACGACGCGCTTGTTGGTGGCGGCCACGGCCGTCAGGCTCTCGGCGTCCCAGGATCGGAAGACGTCGGGGAAGGAGCGGTAGACGGCGCGGAAGTCGGCCACCAGCTTGGACTTGTGCCGCGCCGTGGCGTAGATGGGCAGGTCCAGCGACCGCGGGGAGCAGATGGTCTCCTGGACCAGGTTGGCCAGCGTCCACGAGGCCCGGATGTAGGCCGTGTCGGTCGGGTCGCTGCTCGCTATCGACGAGCCGTCGTCCAGGAGGTCCTCGACCGACACGTCCGTGTGCGTGGCCGACGGCGGCAGCGAGAGGAGCACCGTCAGGAACGTGTCCTGGAGCAGCACGGCCTGCCACACCTTGCGCCGCTGCTGCTTCTCGAACGGGCTCATGGTCGGCGTCACGATGTTGGGGTCCCGGTGGAGCCCCATCGCGTAGGCCTGCCGGATGAGCACCCCGGCGAACGCCCAGCCGTCCGACGCGTGGTTGTCGTTGATCAGGAAGTAGGTGATGAGCACCATGGCCTGTATCGACCGCAGCGACGTGTTGCTCAGGTACGAGAAGACCCGCAGAGACTGGTTGCTCGCCGAGGCGTAGAACTCGGCCCTCTGCTTCCTCTCCCGCGGTGCCGTCGTCGAGACGAACTGCGTCCCCAGCGCGAGCATGACGAAGATGAGGGCCACGAACGATGCATCCATCTTTTCCCCTCCCCCTCCTCCTCCTCCTCCTACTCCTCCTCCTACTCCTACTCCTCCGCTCCCGTCGCTCAGCGCGCCATCCCTCTTGCCGTCGCCGCCGCCGGCGCAGTGCATGTCCATCCGCCAAAACTGCTCGTAGTCGGCGTAGAAGGTCTGACGGTGTATCATGGGGTACACCGGGTCGACGCACTCAAAGTACCGGCCGATGAGCATGTCGGCATGGGCCTTGTCGGGCAGCACAGACACCACCTCCGGCAGCCCGCCCTCGCACGTCCAGTAGTTGGCGAACGGGTGCTCCGACCCGATGCCGAAGACGTTGCTCGCCTTGGACACCCAGTAGGGTACGTGGGAGAGCAGGCCGGTCGAGAGGGCCACGGCGCCGCGGGATAGGTGCTCCGACTCTGGACCCCGGTCGGCGACGTTGGGGGCCGGCGTGCTCTCGACTCCGGAACCTCCGGTCTTGGCCTTGGGAGGTTTCGTCATGCGGCGGCCGTTGGTCACGGTGCGAGAGGTCTCCCTGTTTTTTTCCCCTCGTCAGTCAGGTACATTTAGGTGGTAGCCATCCAAGGCTGGGGAACCTACTCGAGAAGGTTGGCGACGCGGGCATATTTGCACTCTGTCTGCCTCTTGATGCCTGTTTGCTTGTTAGTTTTTCTTCTCTGCCAAATAGTGTTTTTTTTTTTAAAAAAAAATGGAGATGAGAAGATGAGAAGGGCTGAGTGGCAGCTTACACGCGAGACAATGGGGCCTCCCCCGATCACATTTCGTCTTCCTGTCGACGCATTCCTGACACGACAGAGTAGGTTTGTTGCGCTTCTGCTTCTTCTTTGGTGGCGAGTCTGCATCGGTAGGCGTATAGTTGCCTCCCAGCAGCGGCGGAGAGGGATGAGTCTCATATGGCGACGGTGACTGCTGCTGCTGGTTCTGATGCTGCTGATGCTGCTGCTGCTGCTGCTGTTGTAGCTGCTGCTGCTGCTGGCGATGCTGCTGATGCTGCTGATGCTGCTGCAACAACGACGGCTGTGACTGCTGCTGCTGCTGCTGCTGGAGCTGTATCTGGACGGCCACGCCAGGACCTTGATGATAGCTCGACGAAGAGGGGAGCGGCAGTGGCGGAGGCGAGGGAACAGACGAAGGCACAGAGCTGGGACCGGACGAGGCCGAGCCAGGCGTGAGCGTCGTCGCGCGTCCTCCAGCACTGTAGGCGGCCAAGCTCATGGGATGGTGACGGTGATGATGATGACGATTGTGTTGCTGTTGCTGGTGCTGATGATGATGATGTGGCGGAGGAGGTGGCGGAGCCGTTGCGGTCAGCAACGGCGAAGGCATTGGCGGAGGTGGCCTGTGATGTTGGCGATGCAGATCCATCCAACCGGATATATTCTGCTACCCCAGATAATAGAATACTTGGAAGGGTAGGGAGATCAGGGTCCAACTTTTTTTTTCCCCCTCCTCTTTCTCAATTGTATCCGGCTGTTTTGGGGGCGATGGGGGAAAAAAAAAAAAAGCAAGTAAGAGAAAGATATCTCCGGTGGCGGCCAGAGTGGTTGTGTCCCCCGGGAATAACGTGGGTTGGGTTGTGAAATAGAGTAGCACACACGGGGACGACACGGAGACACCAAAAGAGGGAAGGGAAAAAAAACCGGAGCGTCCTCCTTTTGGAAATAACCAGGAGAAAAAGAAAGTAAGTGACGTATCGTTGTGGTGTGTGTGCCGTTGCTTCAGCCTTGTGAGAGGGGGGATGGAAATATGCTAAACCCGCTCCTTTTTCTGTTCTTTCCTGTCCTTGCCGTGTTCCTCTGCCGTGCTCTCTTCCCGAATATATGTGGGATGGGGCGGACGTTGGTCGGGGGGGGGAAAGGTCAAGGAAAAAAGCTGGGGACCGTTGAACGCTTGAAGCGGGAAGCGGGAACAAGAAGAAGGAAGAAAAAGGACTGCGGAGGGAAAGGAAGAGAAAAAAAGGAGGAAGAAGCAGAACGAGGCGCAGTCCCCAGACTACCCCTCAAGGTGTGATGATATAATAATCAAACTTAGAGAACCCAGGATTTGAGAAATGAGGAGAGTGTGGGAGAGGGAGGGATAGAGGAGAGGAGAGAGAGAGAGGGAGAGAGGGAGAGGGAGAGAGGGAGGGAGAGATAGAGAGAGGGAGAAGAGGAAGTGTAAACGTAGTGAGGAAGAATAGAGTGAGATGGGGAGACGGAGATTCGGAAAGGGAATGACGCCGGTTGAAGCTGTACAGGTAGCATGACCTGTACATACAAGTACTTTCTTCCCAAATGAAGCAAAAAAGAAGGAGGGAAAAAAAACGGAGTAAGACGACTGGAGAATACAGATACAAGTAGTAGTAGTAGTAGTCGTCGTAGTAATAGTAATAGTAATAGTAGTCGGAATAGTAGTAGGACGCACAGCTACTACTACCTACTACTACTACTACTACTACTACTATTACTACGTGTTACCTTAGTATCAGTACTCCCAAAGTCAACAAGTTGTGACCCCGTGTACGAGTAATTAACGTGGTTATGGATTATTTTTGGGGAATAATATATTATCTGTACGAGTATCCGTACTACACACTAACAATGGCAGGGATCTCTAAGATCGGTTTTTCCTTCCTTTTCTCGGCAGTCGCCCGTTGTCGGCACATGGCAAGGGGGGGGGTGTCCGGGTGGAAGGGTTGAGGGCCGGGAGTGCGGGCTGTTGAGGCAGGGCAAATGATGCAATTCGCCTTGTTTTCTTATTCCTCTCTGCTTTACTTCTTTCTCTTTCCTCTTCTGCTATTACTGCTGCTCGTAAAGGGAGTAGCAGTGTATCGTATATCTCTGACAGGCTGCAGTCCACGCATATACCACGCATTTACTACACATACACACACACACACACATACACAGGTATATAGATAGATAGATAGATATATACGTATATATACATATATAGACAGGCTGATTGGTGTAGCTGGTACCGGTCAGTACTCCGTACATGCACCTGTAGTATGTGTATACATGTACAACGTACATCCCACTTCTGAACAGGTATGCTGCTTCCACTTCCTAGCTGCTTTCCAAGACAGGTACGGACTGGATTGATCCGCGTCCTGGGTTCCATGTTACGGTTGTATGACATGTGCAGGCTAGCATTGATACATGATAGTATTTCCTGTATGTGTATGCTCGTACGCATGTGCGGGTGGTCCGTGGGTTTCCTCGAGCACTCCTGGTAATAAAACACCAATGGAAATCCGTCACGATCCTGGTACGAAAGGATACAGCAAATGTCAGTGAAGAATGAACTGCAGAGAGAAGAGAAGCATGGAAATAGAGTAGAAAGAGGCAGAATAAGAACCCTAGTCCTGGACGGGTACATGATGGACAGTCGTCCTCTCCTCTCTCTCTCTCTCTCTCTTTTTCTTTTTTTGGCGCGCGCACCCGGGGTCATCTAAGCCACCTCCCCGCGCGCGCCTCCTGTCAACTCCTTTTCTATGTCCTTGTAGGCACTACTCCGCAAGTTCCGGTTTGATTGGTACGATTAATATCGACTCCCTATTTTAATTTTTTTTCTTTCTTTTTTTTCGTTTTCTCGCTCTCGCTTTCGCTATCTGTTCCTCCCTGACATCGTTAGGAACAAATTGTTATGACATGTCGGAAAAACTCCCCAACAGTAGAGTCGACTATGCCAGCGATCAACTCTCCACGAGTATGTGAGTAGTATCAGTAGATTGCGGATACCTGGTGGTTGAAGCGAGCATGTGTAGTGGTGAATACCACGGTTGTTCTGCAGGGCGGCCTCCTCCGTTCAACCTACTTGTATGCGTAACGGGCGGCAACAAGAGAAAAGGAGGAGGCCGGGACTAAGGAAAGATAAAACAAAAAGAAGGAAGGAAAGAAAGAAAAAGAAAAAAAAAGGGGGGGGGGGGCCCTCTCCCCACTTGGATAATTTATGAAGCGTACCAGAGCAAGCATGTTCCGCAATAGCTAATACCCGTAGCCCGGACGCCCTGACCAGTACACTAAAGTACTCGTACTGGTACTAGTATTAGTATACGGTAGTACTACTCGTATATACAGAGTTGCAGAGTGTACCGTGAGCTCAAATGGCGGACTTGTATTGGAACCGAGTGCCGGTTCCGGTGGGATTTACGCGTATCATCAAGACTTGAAGACTACTACAACATTGGGTATGGAGAGGATGGAGAGGGGGAGGGCCTTGTTTCAAGGTCCAGAGTTGCGGATGATTCCATGGTAGCATTACGAGCATGACCGGGTAGCGTCGTTCGAACAAGAAAAGAGAAGAAGAAGGAGAGAGTCGTCAGTACATATCACTGCCCCATACGACAAGGTTGGAGGCTGCCGCCCTATGCACCGAAGTGACGGATTGCCGTCATATGCTCCACGGTACGAGTTATTACCTGTACAGATGAGAGAGAGAGACAGAGACGACAGGCCCCACGTACCCGTACATGTACCGTCGACGACCTGGGACCCCAGCAAGAATAATTCCTCTCTTTTGGCCTAGACCTTCGCGGGGGGGGGGGGGGAAGTGGTGTGTGTCCTTGCTTGTGGAGGGGACAAAGAGACGGACAGCGAGAGAGAGAGAGAGAGCGAGAGAGAGAGAGAGAGAGAGAGAGAGAGAGAGGGTGTCAAGGAAACCAAAATCCACTCTGTGGGGGTTCACACTAAACTGGACGCATACATTGCACTAATGCTGGAAACAGGAAAGAAAGTAGAGGGTATAAGCTAGCGCAGTCCGTCTCGGCGCGACTAGTGATGGTCATAGTTAGTATTGCTAGTTTCGTTCTGTTCCTTTCCAGATACATGTACGGAGTAGTGATATTAGCTACTGGTACTACTACGAAGTACTGGTCGGTCGAGGGATGGTGTGGGGGGGAGGATCCCCCTTTTTCAAGACTCGTACGTTTTCATTCGACAAGACCCCGGTAAGGATCCTCGCTGACCAGTTGGATGTTACGGAGCCAATGAGGGTGGTGCGCGCGTGTATGTATGTGTGTGCGTGTGTGTGTGTGTGTGCGTGCGTGCGTGTGTGTGTGTGTGCACGTGAGCATGTGTACTGACAACTCGTACTCGTACAGTACCTCTCTGTACGAGAGTATATGTGAAGGAGGAGACACGACGGGGTTAGGTAGGATATTAGTCGAGGCCATGTCATCCTTGTCACCCACATACTCTATCTTGCTCTTGTGCTATGGGAGCCTTTGCGGGTGGACGCGTGTGTCATGTCATGCAATCTGTAAATCAGCAGCAGCGCTGGCAGTAAACCGGCAGTAGGCAGACCTGGGAAATACTGGTAATAATAGTTGGCTAGTCCTAGACTCCTAGACGCACACGCACACACATACATACACGCACACACATGTGCAAGTATATATACGTATACGTATATACGTATATATACGAGTAGTGTCGATAGCTAGGATCAACACCATCAAATCCCAGGTTCAATGCTGTGAGCCGCAAGATCAAGGTCAACGGGTATCGCATAGCAACTGAAACCAGTGGTGTAGAACTGGTAAAACACGGATAGAACACTATATCTTACTCCTACGGCAATAGTCGACGTCACACCTGCAGGTGGGGGCCAAAACTGACCACCACCCACACTCCTCTCAGCCGGCATGCTACTACGGAGTACCTCTAGTATCCAATGTACTCCGTACTAATCTGTACTGCGAGTACAGTCTACAGTCTACATGTAGCTCCTAGGGCCCTAGGTACATGCAACGTGCAATTTACCCAAGGCCCCATGGGCCATGTCACTCCCAGTACGTTATTCCCAGGCATACCTTGCATGCACTATCGATTTGGGGGCGACTTTTTCATCTCTTTGGGGGCCAGAAACTGAAGGGAGAGGGGGGAGGGGGGGACAGACCTGGTGATTATCCCTATCCTTACTAAGCCAGTACTAGCGCATCACCTAGCAGTACAGGTTACTCGTACATTATTAGTGATATCAGTGGCTGCTCATACGAGTACATGTATATATGTATATGTAGGTAGCATGTTTTATCCTAATTCTTCTTTCGTCTCAGGTTCTGCTGACAGAAACAACAGCGGAAGATGGTGTACATTTGACGAGCAGAAAAGAAAGGAAAGATTTTTTTATTTTTTTTATTTTTTATTTTTTTAAAAAAAAAAGAGGGGAGGGAGAATATGGTACGAGTCAAGCACCATACAACAGGGAAATGAATCCACTCATCAGAGCTGCCCGAAGAACGAGACAAGTTTCGCGGCACTTTTCTAGCCTTACTATTCCCACCTCACCCACTACCACTACTGCCGCCGCTGTGGTTATTGCTCAAACCCCTACTGCTACTACCACTGCTACTGCTACTGCTACGACGACGACGACGACGACGACGACGACGACAACTACTACCACTTCTCCCATTACTTCCACAGCTCCCACTACTCCCGCCGCTCCCGCTGCTCCCGCCGCTCCCACTATTATCACTGCCGCTGCTGCTGCCGCTGCTCGTACAATAGCGACAGCCGCCCCTGTCGAGTCAGCCACATCTACCACTACGAGTAGTACGACCGACACGGCGACAGACGCCATGACGACCGATTCAGCCGCGCCTTGGCGCCACGATTTCCTATCCCACCTCGAGACCACGGATGAGCGGAGCTTTGTCCTCAGCACCCTGCATTACGACGTGGAACCGCAGCAGGCCACCACCGCTCGTACCGGTACGGGGGTTGATGCTACGAGTACAGGTACAGGTACAGGTACGGGTACGGGTACTGCCCATCCTGAGGCTGGTCCCGGTCCCGGTCCCCTCCCCGGGGGCAGTGCACCAACAGCAGCAGCAGCGGCGGCGGCGGCGGCGGCGGCATCGTCAACTGTAACCCCCCGCGCACGTACCGTCATATTTCGTGGCATGTGGGCGGGTCTACCCGTCAACTCGAAGAATCCCGCCTCTCTCAACCCCTCCGGCATCTACGAGACGGATCTCGCCACGATAACGACGGATATCCGCATGGAAAAGGTGTCGGAGTTGGGGGTGGGATCAGCGACAGGGGTAGCCAGTCATGGTGTTTCCCATCACCGTGCAGGGACTGCAGCAGGGACTGCAGCAGGACCAGGATCAGGGTCAGGACATGTCGGCAACAACAGCAGCAGCAGCAGTACCACCACCACCACCACCACCACCACCACCAGAACCACCAGATACGAGGCAGTATTCTGGATGCCCAAGGCCCAAACCCAGTGGCGTATGCGCGGCTGCCAAGTCTACATTGTAGGACGGGATATTGAGTCCGAGGACTGTGCGCCCACCAGAGAGGCTCTGAGTAGATATATGAGACGAGCGAATGCGAGCGCTGATCTAGGGGAAGAGACACGCGAAAATCAACAGCAGCAGCAGAAGCAGAAGCAGAAGCAGAAGCAACAGGAACAAGAATGGAGTTGGAATCGTGAGCTGACGGCGCATTTCGGAAATCTGAGCCCTTTGATGAGGGGAACATTTCGGAATCCCCCCCCTGGTACACGGTTGGTCAAAGCTGGAGCTAAAGCCGGAGCCGAAGCTGGAAGCGACGAGGACCGGACCAAGGAGGCAGCCGACCATGACGACGGCCTTGGCCTGGGTCAAGAGGTACACGACCTGGAGGACGAGGTGGCCAGACGCAACTTCTGCGTGTTGGTCCTGGTACCGGACGAGCTGGATCGCCTGGACCTCTCGAACCCCAAGAGGGCTAGGAGGTGGATATATTCCCGGCGTTCCGGAGGGGATACCACGGCCAGTGAGGGGGCGAGGACTGGTACGCTGTCAGACACGTGGGATGTTGTCGAGGTATGGCCTTAGGGGCCTTGGGGTGGGTTTAATTTTTTATTTTATTTTTTTTATGAAGACAAGATGAACATAGTTTGAAAATTCTACTCTTACAACAAATATTTAGAGAAAAAACCCTATTGAAAAAAAACAAGGAGTGTTAAAATAAAACGTGGAGACATTTGTTCGAATTCACCGAGTAAAAAAGCATCAGGTAACCAAGGTGAAATTCACACGCGCCAGTGAGAACGAGCTAAGCGGTGGGATGGAACAGGAAAACTCCATAGTGGAACCGAGCCCATTATACCATTCCCCTTCCCCCCTCCCCCCCCCCCCCTTTTTTTTTTTTACTCCATGGTCTCTCCATGGGACCATCTCCATGACCATCTCAGTTCTCCATAGACTACATCCCAGTAATACAATAAGACTATTAGCAGTCTGACAGAAATGGATACAAGACCCCCCCCCTCCTCCCGGGAACCATAAATTAAAGATGCAAGCTACGAGTACATGGCATATGCATCAAGATGGATGGCTCGGTATTACTCCTAACATGTACTTTTTTTTTTTCAAAATAAAATAAAATAAAAATCTCCGTAGTGTCAGGGAAAAAAGAAGGGGGGAGGGGAGAAGAAAGTTGATTTCGGCACTCGCGGTGTACATTGGTCCGTAACAATACATTGCCGAAGGAGATCACTTGACAATGCCAGGGTAGAGAAGGATGCAACTGCAACTCTGGTCAGGTTCCGGACCCCCGTCTCCCATGACAGGATAATATATACACACACAACCAACCACTCGCACTTCGTAATAATACAGGTTAATTACAAGTACAGATTACAGATTGTATTACATGGTAGACCCGCAACGCTGATACAATAGTACTGGGTAGATCTACGGGGACCGGAACTCGCCCACCCCCCCCCCCCTCCCCCCAAAACCCCGGGCAATCTTGGAAGTTGTTGGAAGTTGTCATCAAAACCCTATATTATGCACTACGTTACGCCCGTACGAGAGCCTAGAGGCGACGGGGGGGGTACGGTATACGGTAGTATTCCTTTCAACGAATACGACGTTCTCGCCAGCGAGTACGGAGTGCGGATAGGGTATTACCTTTCTTCTATTATAGATGTTATCACAGGTACACTATCATCAATCAATAATAATAAAAACCACCTGACCAATGTACTCACCCGTACGGGGAGGGGGGGGGACAGGTACATGCGAGTATGAGTATAGAATTATATATTATATCTGCAACTCCAGCCCTGCCCAGCCCAGCCCAGCCCAGCATGCCCCCCCCCACCACGCACTCGTCCGGGATGTGGTGGGCTATTAATATTCTTCCTTCCTCTGCGCCTCGTCATAAGGACTGCTCTGCTCTGTTCCCGCAGTACGGATTAGTAGTCATAATAATGCTGGGCGCACGCCTTGATAACACAGTCGGCAACATTATACATATACAGAACTACGGGTGCGAGGTACATATGGAGTCACGGAGGGAAGTAGTAAAACGGTACTAGTATGTATTCGTTTTCTGACACGTACGAAAGTCTTGACTTGTATGGAGCAATACTACCCAGTATAGATTTCAACAAGCTACAACGTGATGGGTTCACGTCGGCAGGGGGGAGGGGGAGGAGGTCGTACGGGGTATTACTGCGCAGACCCGGCCGAGTTGGTTGAACGGCGGAGTCTCTGCACAGAGTGAGAGAAGAGAGGGAGGTGTTGAACGGCGTCCTCGTATGGAGCCTTTGCATAGAGTGAGAGGTGCCTTGATTGGATGGCGATCTTGTATGGAGTCCCTACAGAGAGAGGCAGAACAGAGAGAGACAGAACAGAGAGAGGGGGGGAGGGGGGGGGGGACCTCTTGAACGGCAACCTCGTATGGAGGAGTCTCTGCACAGAGAGAGAGATGCCTCGATTAAACGGCATCCTCGTACAAGAGTCCTTGACTTAGGCTGATACAGTCTCCATCACATCATGACGACGACGACGACGACGACGACGACGACGACAGTTCGCGGGGACGGGAGGGGACGGGAAGGGAACGGACGAGAACGATAAAGACAGATACCCTCTCTTGCCCGATGTGTTGATATCGTGTACGGTCCGGACATGGGCGGTCCGGACATGGTCAGCTTATAAACAGAGACGGTGAATGCTAGCACGTAACGGTTGAGGGCGAGGGGGAGATGCGGGAGCAGTGGTAATACTACCGTACGAGTAACTGTAGCAGTATCGACCATCATTAGAGAGATCTGGGTTCCCGCCGAGATGACGTCGGGTATCTATTCGTATGCGTCTTGTCATCTCCTGTCGTTCTCGTCCCCTATGCATGTTTACATCTGCCTTACGGTAGTACGCATATGTCTGGATCGAAGGTGAGCCATGTTTCGGATGAAACCTAGCATATTCGTGGACCAGCGGGCATCAAAGGTTGGAGAGGAAGAGACGAACACCTGTAGGAGAGAGAGAGATTTCACGTTGAAGGAATGGGGGAAGAAGAATCGAAACAGATCAGTATAGGGTAGTTGGGAATAGCAGTGCTCCAACTTGTCTCAAAAGGAAAGGAAAGGAAGGAATTTTTTTTTTTTAAAAAAAAAAATCACGACGGACTGAAGTGTCAGTTCCAGACGGATAGAGGATGACTTGCATGACTCTAATATTACGACATTGTCAGTCTCGATCAAAGAAGCGAGCCTTGCGAGGTGTGTGGCATGTGTGGCATCTGTTTGTCGTAGGATTGTCTATCTGTACAGATCACTCGTAGTACAGATTAGACTCGGCGGCAATCAGTGATGCTGATTTGGGAAGAACTGGGATATAAGAGGGGGGGGGGGACCAGGGTCTTGTGAAATGTAAAGAAGGAGAAGAAGAAAGCGAAGGAGAGAAACAGGGGAAAAAAAGAAGAAAGAGAAAGAAGGAAAAGTCAGAAGTCCATGTCCATGTCTATATCTTATGTCGCGGTATACCTGTACACTGCAGTCCGGCAGTTGTTACTGTGCACTGTACGGCACTCTCTCAGACTGACAATCTTGACGACGAGGATAATTACGGTATCATCTCACGGCGTACTCCAATTATAACCAGTAATATCTGCCCTAAACCTCTTCTCTGCGTCGGCGGCAAACACAGCGCACGCGCAGGAGGGAGAGACGGGAAGAGAGAGGGTTTGCGTGGTCTCTATGCGAGTGATGGCCGTGCACATGAGACTGCATACGTACATGTATGTATAGGTGGTAATCGTCAATGCACATGATGGGACACTTGTCTTGTCAGGTATGGCCGAGGCTTTCTTTTCTTTTCTTCTTCTTTCCTTTGTTTTGTTCTTTCTTTTTTCCCTCTCGTCACTTTTGGCTCTTGTCCGTGTCTCTGGTCAGAGGATCGACACAACGGGGGACTGACGTTGCCTGGTTGAAGAGTGTTTTGCTGAAGAGTTTCGTACAGAGAGTCTACAGTAGTCGATATTACTCGTAGGATCGAGATCGTACTGGTTGAAGAAATATAGATGGGATTATTCCTTGTCATGATGTTACCCGAATGATTATTACTGCATATCATATGTTACTAGAACTGCACAGGTGCAGAAACCCTAGGTTTATGGTTGCATATCCGCCTTTCCCCCCACTGTCCGATTTGTATGCGTGTTGTGTGTGTAGGGACCACAAAAAAAAGAGGAAAGAAGAAGAAAAAAAGCACACCAGTTGAACATGATGAATCCAGTAAAGAACAGATAGAGAGAGGTAGAGAGATGTAGATAGAGTTAAGGATGATGATGATGATGGCTGGCAACAAGGAAAGCAATGATAATCAAACAAGCCACCACTGCCGCGTATCAAGTTGATCGAACCTCATCCATGTGCTGAATCTGATCTCAAGACGGTTCCGAGACCCGCCTACGGTTCGACTCTGGATGGTCTATATGTACTCGTATATGCACATGTCATACAAGTACAGAGAGAATGAGCAAAGCAGTTGTTGCCGACCTGCGTGCGAAGGGGGGGGGAGAAATACCGTTGATTCAATGACCGATTGATGATGTTTCGTCTCTCTCTCTCTCTCTCTCTCCCTCTTCTCCCTCTTTTTCTTGCTGCCCCGTGCGTCTTCGATATTACCCCTCACCTTGGAAATGTTATTATGCTGTCCACGTGCTTCATCGTGCGTACATGTACATATATATCTTTACACAACACACACTTGTATGTGCAATTCGGAAATATCTGTGTGTGTTTTTTATGTGTGTGTGTGTGTGTCTGCGTGTCATGAACACGCTCATAGTAGGGCTTGGATGGCCCTCCTCTCTCATTCCCCGATGTCTTCTCTCTCTCTTCTCTTTAGGAAGGAAGAGAAGAGAAGGAGAGGAAGAAGAGAGGAGGAGGAAGTGAAGAAGGAAGGAGAAGGTGGAGGCGAAGAAGGAGCAGAAGAAGGAGAAGAAGGAGAAGAAGAGGGTTCCCGTCCCCGCTCTCGGCCGTGGAAACAGCGTTGGCACCAAGGCACCAAGACGCAAGGTTACCAAGGCTTTCCCCACTCGGCTCGCCTCCCCGGTGGACCCACCCTTTCTCTCTCTCTCTTATGTCATTCTTTGTCTGGCCAGTCATGAGAGAGGTCTAGGACTTGAAGTCTCAGCATCATGGTTCTCGAGCCTCTTGTAGGGTTTCTTTCTTTTCTTCTTCTTCTCTCTTATATATGTCTCGTCTCCTATCCTCCTACACGGGTAGAATAGACGTACGATGCTACGAAATGGAAGCCGTGGTAGGATGCATGTCGTAGACGTCAAGTCATGTGTCTCGGGGCGCACGGTTCACCGTGAATGGGAGGGAGAGCTCTGCTGAAGAATGAGTCAGGAGTATTACGAGCTGGAGAGTCTCATTGGGGAAAATGGACAGGAAACGAGAAATAAGTATCTACCAATACGAGTAGAGGAGAAATCAGACCATCCGTACAGAGACAGAGAGGGGCGGGGCCTGAGGAGAGAGGTGTAGAGGAAGACGACGACTCATCTCGGCCAAATGACTGTCAATCGCCGAACAGAGAGTCCAATCTAGCAACAATCAACAGGCCCAACTGCATCTCCGGGCACGGATGATGATATTACGACGTGCATGGCCGGTAATATCATCCTTCTCCATAATCTGCAGCTTCTTATTGCGCCTACTATCTCGATCGACTCTCACAGCCCACAGTCGTAGCAGCTACGAATATGGCTACATGCAAAGAGTATGCAATGTACCCTACCAATCCGTACCGGCGCTGCTACCTTTTCTATCTATTTATCTGTTTATCTGTTTCTTTTATATATATATGTATATATATATATATATATATATATCACTCAACACTCAACACTCAAAGACTCAAGCCGCACCCACAGATTATGAGTGATACCGTAATCTATACAGAGAGAGAGAGAGAGAGAGAGAGAGAAAGAGAGAGTGTGTGTGTGCATGCATGTACATGTATCGTCCTCGTACACCTCGCGATTTTCGCCTGGCCCGTCCCGCTCTCTAACCCTCCTAAACCCCCTCACTCCTCACTTCGTTCCGTGCCAAAACCGGCTCTTGGCCCGATCCAAACAATCCAATCCGGTGTCAATGTGCTGTTGATTCCCTCTTTTTCTCCCTTGTATGTTCTAGTCCTCATCCTCTTTCTTTCTTCTACACTCTTCTTCTCTTGATTTCCTCCTTTTTTCCCCCCTTCTTTGGCAGCCCCCCCAACCTCCCTATAAAAAAAAAAGACGTTCTCCCTCGGCAATTCAATTGGAAAGAAACAAGGCTCCCCCCCCAATTTATCTGAACATAACCGATACAAGTAATCGTACTATTACCATCACACTCTACGAGTATTACCTATTATTACCAAGTACCTCATCATTCTCCCTTCTATTTTTATTTCCATCTAAAAAGTTCATGACCTGGAGATAACGTGGAAACCCTGTCGCCTCCTCCATATCTCGCGCTACCTTCCCGTTCCTCCAGTTCTTTTTTTTTTTTTCTTCTTGACCACCCCGCCATCCATTGAATTCACCCAAAACGGCCCCCTGCGTCCGTTTTACACGTGCAACAGCCGACCGTTTTTTTTTCTTCACATTTTCTTTTTTCTTTTTTCCCCCCTAATCTCTCTTCCCTTTTCTTCCCCCTCCCCCCGTCACCCCCGTCTCCGTCTACATCACACAACTCACGCTCACACCAACCAACCGACCGTTACATTAACATTCAGAGCCCTCTCTCGTGTGCGCGTATACACGTTTTTCCCCTCCCGTGTGTGACTGACATTCTCAATCGGCCACCTTGTCCATATCACCGACCGCTCCGACCCGTCTTATAGCCTGCCCGACCTATATTAGCGCCTAATTGTCTCTACTTTCCCTCTTCTACTCCCGCTCTTACTCCCGCTCTTCCTCCCACACATATCGTTCATCATCTAACGACCACCGATTCTATCATACACACACACACACACACACTTGGTGGCCTGAATCCTTCACTCCTATTACCGAGTGCGCAAAATCTCTGCAAAGTGTTTTGAACACACACACACACACACACACACATATATATATATATAAACACCGCAGAACATCAAGGTCAGCAATACGCTGTTGGGTGTCATCTAGCACACCCGACGCGCCTTGCTGTGACCTTCCGGAAATCTTCCAACACGGCTTTCCCCAGAGAGACAGATGGCCGCCAGTTGGCCATGGACGCCCTCAATAACATGACGGGCAACGTGCCCAGCTGGTTGACTCGACTCGACGAGCTGAGTGGCCAGGTTCAAAAGCGTCAGGCCGAGCTGGCATCCATCGCCGCGGCCGAGCAGTCGTCGTCCTCGACACCGGCAACCGACACCAAGTCCCTGAGGAATAAGGGATCGACCGAATCCCTCAAGCCAAAGGACGACGGTCCCGCCAACATCCCCGCACCGCCTCCCGACGTCGTTGCCAAGCCCACACCCGAACCCGAAGCAGCAGAAGTAGCAGACTCGAGACCAACACAATCAACAGCAACGACAACAACAAAGAAAACCACAGCAGCAGCAGCAGCAGCAGCAGCAGCGACGACGACTCCCCAAGATGGTCAGCAGCAGCAGCAGCAGAAGCCGTCGACACCGCCGGCAGGGTCCGGACCCGGCACCCTCCCATCGTCTCATAGGCCGCAGCGCGACGCCACAGCAGCCGCAAACTCGCGCGCCAAGGCTCAGATCAGAAAGAAGGTCAAGACGACATCGATCATGTCCGTGGAAAACCCGACGCCCACGTACCGCACGCGCAGCATGATCATGGTGTACTACGACAGTTATGTCCAGGGCTTCTTCGACGAGCTGGTACGCTTCGTCTCGTCGAGCAGGAACATGCTCCGCAAGGCCAAGATGGCCGCCAAGGTGGCCCACATCAGGAAGATGGCGTCGGCCGAGGGTGACGGTGACGACGGCCTGGAGCCCCTCCCCTCCCTACGTTACATGAGCGCGCGCCGCATGGGCGCCGGCGTCGGCGGATCCCCCGGCATCCCCGGCTCCGCCGGCCTCGGCGACGGCAAGCCGGACGTCTACGACAAGCTCGACAAGGGTCTGGAGCACGTGCAGGCCACGTGCGAGCACGGCGCCCACCAGTTCCTCCGCGACGCAGACTGCGACGAGGAGATCAAGAAGATCAAGGAGCGCCTGCGCGAGGTGCTCGACATGGCCGTCGCCGAGACGGAGCGCATCCATTCCGAGGAGTCGGAGCGCACCAGCGAGGTGGCCGCGGACGACGTCACCGTCGCCGCCAAGCAGCGCACCCAGCGCCCCGTCAGCATCCGCCGCGAGCTGTCAAAGGACAGTGGCGCCGTCGCTGCCGGCGGGAAGCCCACACGCTCCATCAACTCCGAGAGCTCGTACATAGAACCGGCCGTCAACGCCATCGAAGCAGACAGCGGGGACGAGGCCATCGATATCGATGCCGTCATGCCAAAGTTGAACTACAGGTCTACGAGGGGTTTAAGGGTCACCAGGCCGCAGTGAGAAGTGAAGGACAACCAATATATATATATATATATAAAAGGAGGAAAAAGTTAGGGGGGGGGTAAGACCTCTCTTTCTATACATATCTGATAATCTCTCTCTCTTTCATTTCAATCTTTGCACCTCTGCTACCAAGTTTGCATGAGCATCAGGGATGGAGTTATTACTGTTTATTTTTTATTTCATGTTTCTTTCTTCTTTTCCTTTTCCCATTCCTTCTTTCTTTGGGGGGGAGGCTTTTCCTGACGTGATGGAGAAAAGGGGGGGAGGGAAATGAGCTCGGGAGCCTTTCCTTTACATATATACATGAGAGTATATGTAACTGTATTGAAACATGACTCATGAATGATGAAATTGGATTTTTTTTCTTCTTCTCCTTACCCCACTCCTCCCCCCCCCCCCCCCCCCCCCCCCCCCCCCCCTTCCTCTCTCTCTCATTTTCTGGGGGGGTTTTTTTTTTCCCTGTCCAAAACCAGGACCAGAGTGATGTGTGCTTGTGAGTGTAGCGAGGAGACGGACGGGACAACATGGTGATGAAGAGTATATTAGGAGGGTTATGGATAGATGCGAATTGCTGGGCGCTTATTGAATATCTTTTTATAATACTCGACATTCATAGATATACATGGTGTTAGTAGTTAGTAGTAGCAATGTATCAGGGTAGTAGTGACGAGCGAAGCAAAAATAGCGAACATGTACATATCAAGATAAAGTGTAATATGTACTCAATCATCATATTGCATCAGTGAGCAGTGAGCGAGCGAAGCGAAGAGAGCTCTTCGCAGGAAGCCCCCGGCAGGGTAATAAAAATCAGAGAGAGAGAGAGAGAGAGAGAGAGAGAGAGAGAGAGAGAGAGAGAGAAGAGGGCAAAGAAAAGAATCAAAGGATTCGACAAGTTTACAAATGCAGGTAATACAGGGCAAATGCGTGAATCATCTGATTGCCGTAGGGTTGGTTGGTGGCTGACTACAGAATAGAGCGGCCGGGAGAGGGAATGACGTCCTCACAGGTCCAGCCTTGTGCCACGAGCCACTGCCGCCCACCTTCCAAACATACCACCACCACCGCCATCGACCGCGTGACGACGACGGCACCCAGCACCCAACTCCAGACCTCGTCCCTCATCACGCAAGCTACCTGCCTCGAAAAGAACTGCTTGGCACCCCAACATGATCATGACTGGTAGAGCTACGCCGTCCGGCCCATAGCTCTCTCCAGCTCTCTCTATCTAACCGAGCTAACGGCGGACACACGCACCCACCACCACCACCACCACCACCACCATGGGTCAAGGCTTCTCCCTAGCCACGCCGTCGGCCGGCTCGGCCAGCATCGACATCCCCCAGCTGGGTGACGTCCAGTATGAGAAGAGCATAGGCAATGCCCGCTTCATGAAGAGCATTCGCGGGCGCACGCATCACGGCGCAGTGCTGGTCAAGGTGCTCGTTAAGCCGTACACCGAGGTTCGGTTGGACGAGTACAAGAGGGAAATCATAAGTATGTTCCCCCCCCCACTGGCCCCTGGGGTCTGATGATGGAAATACGGATAGCTTACCTCTGGCCGAAACAGACCAACGCAAGGTCCTTGCCGACGTACCTAACGCACTCGCCTTTCAGCGTGTCATCGAGACCGAGACGAACGGATACCTGGTCCGACAGCTCCTCTACAGCTCCCTGTACGACCGGCTCAGCACGCGACCCTTCCTCGAGGACATTGAGAAGAAGTGGCTTGCCTTCCAGCTGCTGTGCGCTCTGCGCGACTGCCACGCCCGCGACGTCTACCACGGCGACATCAAGGCGCAGAACGTCGTCGTCACCTCGTGGAACTGGCTGTACCTGACAGATTTCTCCTCCGCCTTCAAGCCCGTCATGCTGCCCGACGACAACCCGGGTGACTTCTCGTACTTCTTCGATACGTCTGGTCGGCGGACGTGCTACATCGCCCCCGAGCGCTTCTACGATGCCTCTGCTGCTGCTGCGGCCCAGAACCAGGACCAGAAGCCCCGCATGACGTGGGCCATGGACATCTTCAGCGCCGGGTGCGTCATCGCCCAGATGTTCCTCGAGTCCGAGATCTTTAGTCTGGCGCAGCTGTACAAGTACCGTCGCGGCGAGTACGACCCCGTCATCACCCACCTCAGCCTCATCCCGGATAAGGACGTGCGTGACATGATTGCCCACATGATACAGCTCGACCCGGAGAAGCGCTACTCGGCAGACCAGTACCTGACCTTCTGGAAGGACAAGGTCTTTCCCGGCTACTTTTACAGCTTCCTGCACCAGTACATGGAGCTCATTACTGACCCGTCGTCGGGTAACAGCGCCATGTCCACCGCCACCAAGAACCTGGGCGAGTCGGACGACAGGGTAGACCGCGTCTTCTACGACTTTGATAAGATCTCGTACTTTCTGGGGCACCACCAGCCCGGGGCCGAGGAGGAGAGGCTCGCTACCGTCCCCGCACAGCATTCGCGCCTCTCGCTGAACCACTTCCCCGTCAGATCTAGCATACCCAACCACGAGCATCTCGCCTCGGCAGACCTCGCTCCGCCAGAGGACGACGGGACGCTCATATTCCTCACACTCATCGTATCGTCCATGCGGGCCACGGCGCGCGTGTCGTCGCGCCTCCGAGCCTGCGACATCCTGCTCGCCTTTGGCGAGAGACTTACGGACGAAGCCAAGCTCGATAGGGTGCTACCGTATCTGGTGGCGCTGCTGCACAAGGACGAGACGGATATGGTCATGATATCCGCCATCAGGGCCATCACGCAGCTCCTTCACCTGGTCAAGCTCGTCACGCCCATCAACTCGCACGTCCTCGTTGAGTACGTGCTGCCGCGCATGGAGATCGCTCTGGGGACGAAGGCGCGCCCCGCGAGCTCGCTGGTGCGCGCCACGTACGCCTCGTGCCTGGGCAGCCTGGCCATGACGGCGCAGCGCTTCCTGGAGATGGCGTCGAGCCTCCGGGCTGACGGGGCTATGCCCGTGACCGACCCCGAGGTGGAGCAGGGCGGCAGCGGCGAGACCAGCTTCGAGAGCGTCTTCGACAACGCCGGGAGGCAGCTCTCCGAGGTGCTGGAGAGCCACACCAAGCAGCTGGTCGAGGACTCGGACGTGCACGTGCGGCGGGCGTTCCTGGCCTCGGTGCCCGAGCTGTGCATGTTCTTCCAGGAGCAGTCCAATGACATCCTGCTCACTCACCTCATCACCTACCTCAACGACCGCGACTGGACGCTCAAGTGCGCCTTCCTCGACACCATTGTCGGCATCGCCGCCTTCATCGGCAGCGTCAGCCTAGAGGAGTTCATGCTACCCCTCATGGTCCAGGCCCTCACCGACACGGAGGAGTCGGTTGTCCAGTCAGCCCTGCACTCGCTCGCCCAGCTGGCCGGCCTGGGACTGCTCTCGAGACCGAGGGTGTGGGAGCTCGTCGACCTTGTAGGCCGCTTCACGGTCCACCCTAACATCTGGATCCGCGAGGCGGCAGCGGAGTTCATCGCCATGTCGGCCCGGTTCCTCGAACCGGTAGACGTCCGATGCATCCTCGCGCCCCTGGTGGCTCCCTATCTCAAGTTTGGCACCTTGCACGACCTCTCGGACGAGCTCGTCCTCCTCGACTCCCTCAAGAGGCCTCTCCCGCGCGCAGTGTTCGATCAAGCCGTCAACTGGGCCGCCAAGGCGGACCGCGGTGTCTTCTGGAAGTCGCTTAGCGGCCAGGTGCGCTCTCTGTCCTTTGGATCCTCCTCCTCGGGCGCTGCTCGGTCGTCCAAGGACCTGACCGACGCCTCCATGTCCAAGGTCGCCCGCAACGACGAGGACGAGCAGTGGCTCGCCAAGCTGAGGAATCTAGGTCTCAAGCAGGAGGATGAGCTCAAGCTGCTGGCCCTCAGGGAATTCATCTGGTACCTCAGCAAGATGAGAGCGCGTGACGCTGCCTCGACCTCGTCGGATGCCGGCGATGGGGCCCCCTCCCCGACGGGCCTCATCTCCCTCAAGGACATCGGAGTCGCCCCCCTGACCGTCTTCTTCAACGACCAGCCGGCGCTGAACCCCGACATGGAGCCTGACCTGGACCCCAGCGGGCCGTACACCATTGCTGACGCGCTCCTCGATGCGTCCATGACGATTGATGACGATTCCGTCAGCAGGAGGAAGCGTGCTGCCGCCAACCTGCACAAGAACCGTGTCCAGAGCGTGGGCCCGCGCGCGGCTGCCGCTGGCCGTCGCGTCCTGTCGCCACCGGCAGCTGAGAGGGCTAGCTCCATGGATTCCACCGTCCGCAGGGCGCATGGTGGTCCCCGGGCCCACGGCAGCAGCAACAGCGTCGACGGCTCGAACAACACCGCCTCGAGGTCAACCGTACGCCACACCTCGAGCGTGCTGAGCCTTCTCGACCGCAAGGACAGCAACAAATCCATACCGGAGACGGGAACTACCGACGCGAACGCATTCGGGGAGGTCGACGGGTTTCCCATTGCGCAGCCGGAGCGCGGGAAAGTTGGCGGCGGAGCAGCAGCAACAGAAGCAGACGCTCCGACCGCCACGGCCCCGGCGCAGAAGCCGTACAAGCACACGTACGAGGGGACAGATCCGAATATCCACAAGATGCTGGACAATATGTACCTGGAGAACTTCCCACGTGACGTCAAGGACTTTGGACCGTTTGTACAGCCCATATCACGGATCAAGGCTAGCACCATAGCCGGCAACAGCCAAGGCAGACATCAGCCGCAGCAGAACCAGCAAGGCCGCTACTGGAAACCCGAGGGTAGGCTTGTGGCAACGTTTGGAGAGCACAAGGGGCCAGTCAGCAGGGTGCTCCCGTCGCCGGATCACGTCTTCTTCATCACGGGCGGGCACGACGGCACGGTGAAAGTATGGGACTCGGCACGTCTGGAGAGGAACATTGCGCACCGGGCGCGGCAGACACACCGGCATGCCGAGGGCACGCGGGTGACGGCTCTGTGCTTCATCGAGAACTCGCACTGCTTCGTCAGCTGCGCCAGCGACGGCAGCGTGCACGCGGTCAAGGTCGAGACGACGACGTCGCCGGCGGGTAGCGGCGGGGTGACGCGGTATGGCAAGCTACGCATAGTACGCGAATACCAGCTCCCGCCCGGCGAGACGGCCGTGTGGTGCGAGCATTTCCGGCACGAGTCGAGCTCGGTGCTGCTGCTGGCGACGGACCGGTCGCGCATCCTGGGCATCGACCTCCGGCTCATGAAGCTCCTGTATGTGCTGGAGAACCCGGTCCACCACGGGACACCGACGTGCCTGTGCGTCGACAGGAAGCGCCACTGGCTGTGCGTGGGCACGTCGCACGGGGTCGTCGACCTGTGGGACCTGCGCTTCAAGATGCGACTGCGCGCGTGGGGCGTCCGCGGCAGAGGAGCCATCTACCGCATCTGCATCCACCCCACGAAGGGGAGGGGCAAGTGGGTCTGCGTGTCCGGAGGCACGGGCCAAGGCGAAGTGACAGTGTGGGATCTGGAGAAGACGACCTGTCGCGAAGTATACCGCATAGGCGGCGGCGGCGGCGGCGGCGGCGGCGGCAAGGATATCAAGGACAGCACCAGCGGCGTCGGCCCCAAGTCGTACGAGCCGTGGGAGGTGGACGACGACAGACCAGAGGGCATGCTCGCACGGTTTGCGACCAACCTCGAAACAGGCGAGACTTCGGGGGCAGACGGCGGGGTTCGAGCGATGGTCGTCGGCACGGGCGCACTGTCGGCAGAGGGGGATCCGTCGTCGACGCTCAAGGACATACGGACAGCATGCTTCATAACGGCCGGGTCAGACAAGAGGCTGCGGTTCTGGGACATTTCCCGACCGGAGAATTCGTGCGTCTACAGCGGTCTGGACCCGGAGGACACGAAGCCCACGTACTCGGTAGTCAACCCCACGGCCGGGTTGACGGTGACGACGGAGAAGAGGTTCAAGTCTCTCGTCCCCTCCGCCCCTCACCCTCCTCCTCCTCCTTCTTCTTCCTCTCCCGCCTCTCCTTCGCCTCCTCCTTCAGAATCAGGAGGGAATCGCAAGGGTAGCGGTAAGGCCGGCGGGACGAACGGTCAGGGCAGCAGCGGGAGACCGCCTAGGTCGACGGTCATATCGGGCCAGCAGGGGCACCTGATGAGGTCACATCTGGACTGCGTGCTTGACGTGGCACTGCTAGAGTATCCGTTTTCCATGACGGTTTCGGTGGACAGGTCAGGAATTGTGTTTGTTTTTCAGTGATCTGAATTTTGTTGTTGTTGTTCTGTGGTTCTTCTTCTTCTTCTTCTCTTTATTCATTTCGTCGTAGTAGAGTGTAGCATTGTTAAGCTGACATATATCAATGGGATCATTTCAAAAGACGATGTTACAACTCCTGGCAGGGAAGGGTCGGCAGAGGCAGACACAGAATAGAAGATGACTTTTTTCTTTTTTAAAAAAAAAAGAAAAAGAGAAAGAAAACAGAAAGAAAGAGTACAACGTGGTTTACAAGTAGTGCGAGCGTAGCGCGAGGAGGACTCGCGGTAAGGTCGCCGGAGAGACAATTACACAATATAAGACGGAAGGGGGACATAAGGTGTGGCGTACAATATGTGGCGGTAGTACCCCACATTAAATTCCTTGAGCAATGTTTCGTTCAGCCTCGCTGCGACCAAAGGAAGCACCACCGCCAACGACGAACCACGACAACAACAACAACAACGACTCGACTTGACCCGACGGAGGACCACGGCATTTCTCTGGCAGTATATAAGACGAGAGGCACGTGAAAAAAAAGAGAGGTGAACGAAAGGAAAACAACAGGAATAGAAAAGAAGGGAAGTGAGGACGGTACACGACACGACACAGCCCAAGGCAAACAAAGGAAAGAAAAAAGAAACAAAAAAAAGATGAGGCTCACCCCAGAGCTCATCCGGGACTCGCTCTCGTACCTCAACACTCTCAAGGAGCGAGAACTCGATCTACGAGGTGCGTCTTACATTTGTTTAACTGGGAAGAGCAGATTTCTACACTCGAGTGAATGAGAGCAAATGGTTGATCCAACAACGTTATTTTGTATCATCTGGTGCTGCGGGGGAATACAGGTCATCGAATCCCCGCCATTGAGAATCTGGGTGTCGCTGGGGTGAGTACACTGTCCTTGACACGAAGAAGAGGAAAGGAGAGAATGAAGGATAAGAAAGGAGAGGATGAAGGAGATGATGAAAGGAGGAATAAGAAAACTGATCATTCCACGGACAGCCCCACGATGCCATCGACTTGACAGACAACGACATCCAGGTCCTAGGTAACCTGCCCCTCTCGCCGCGCATCACGACGCTCCTCCTGGCGCGCAACCACGTGTCCGCCATCCAGCCCTCCCTGGCAAACTCGGTGCCCAGCCTGACGAACCTGGCCCTTTCGTCCAACAATATCGCTGAGCTGGCGGACCTGGATCCGCTGGGGAAGCTGGGGAGGTTGACGCACCTCGTTCTCGAGGACAATCCCGTCACAAAGAAGGAGGTCAGTTCCCCCTCTTGTCAGATGGACTCTGTCGGATCGATCAATAGAAGAATTGGGGGGGGGGGCAGGCTGTGCTGACAAAAGGAAACAAACATAGAACTACCGCTATTGGGTCATCTGGAAATGCCCTTCGGTGCGATTCCTCGATTACAGCAAGGTCAAGGAGGCGGAGAGGAAGAGAGGAGAAGAACTGTTTGGAACGGCTGAAGAGCCCACGGCCCTGGCCACAGAGGTAAGGAGGATCTTGCACAATTACATGCTGCTGTAACGATGTCTGGCTAAACGCGGCAACACAGATCATGAACAAGAAGTCCAAGGGCGCATCCGTCACGACCAACGGATCGTCAGCACAGGCCCCGTCCAAGCTGTCGAGGATAAAGCTCACCGACTCGGAGAAGAAGAAGCTGCAGGAGAGGATCAGGAACGCCACCAGCCTGCAGGAGATCATCGCGCTGGAGAAGGAGCTCAACGAGGGGAGGCTGCCGACTGGTATCCACGGGGATAGCGAGGATGTTGCCATGCAGGAATAGATGGTTCATTTTTATATCCATGATTTCGGGATTCGTTTCCCCTTCACTTTCAACTTAACAGCATGATGCGCCGAAAGCATTCAGGGATAGGAAAGATGAATGATGAAAATACGGCGGAGGAACGATGTTTTTGAATAAAAGTCATGTATTACACTATGCGCCATTGCATGCTGCCATGCAGTACCTCGGTTACTTTGACGAGACTTGCTCCCGAGGGAACATGGGAGTAAATGTAGTTGATATTGCCCACACGATCCCTCTAATCTGTCATGTCGACGTCGCGGTCGTGACTCGATGACCGCTGCGCCTGCCTCATCTCCAACTCCAGCTGGGAACTCGGATCCTCCTCTGACGCAGCCACAGCGCCTACACCAGCCAGCTCCGGCCCAGGCGGCGCTCTCCTCGACAAGGATGGGGACAGGAGCAGGCGGTGGGAGGACGAGTTGCCGTTGACGGCAGAGGCACTGCCGTTGGTCATGGGGGTCAGAGTCGTCTGGTGCTTGCCGTCGGCCGTCTTGCCCTTGCCCTTGCCGCTGCTCTTGGTCCGCGGCTGCTGGGGCCCGGAGGGCACGCCGCCCTTGACCTGCTTGTAGGGGACCGTCTTGGGGACTATGTCTTCCAGGAATTCGAGGTTATCTTGGCGGGCGACGGCGTTGGCTACGTACGTGTGAGTCGAGTATGTCATAGCAAGGTAAGGGTGTGTGTGTATTATATATATATATATATACATATATATATATACATATATATATAGCAAGAGATACAGAGACAGAGACAGACAGACAGAGAGAAAGAGAGAGAGAGAGATGGTAGGAGAGAAACGTACCGACGTCCTTATATTGGATGTTACGTCGGGGCTTGGGGTCGACCTTGGCCTGTGTGTGTGATTCCTCGGCGAGGTGCTGGATGAAGAGTTCCTAAACCCGCGGCTTGTCAGAATGGTATACGGTTGGGTATGCTGGGTAGCCGGAAGACGTACAGCTGCTAGGGTCAGGACAAAGGCTGCATTGTTGGAGCAGATGGCTATGTCCTCGTCCTGGGCGACAATCTTTTTGATTCTAGAGACTGGGACGTGTCAGACGTATATACATCCAAATACATTGACAGACGGGTAAGTAGGCGGGGGGGGGGGGGGGGGGGGG